TTTTCTCCGGGTCCTCAGGTTTCCTCCCACTGCTAAAGACCCCTACGCGCAAGTGAGTTATTGAAATAAAACTGAACCATACGTTAGTCCCGAAATGACCTAGTTTGTGTCGAGAGGAGGTTAAACCCCACCTCTCTCTCTCTCTCTCTGTCCCATGGGAGCAACATGGCACATAAATACAGCACAAAATAAACTATCTTTAACTACACTGATGCAATCTTCACACCTCATTCATTCATGTGAATGTAATTAGCATTTACTAGTTTGGGATATATACTGACCAGTGAAACTAACCAGAACTTATTAAACAGCGACCTATACATCCATTTTGTCCAATCTCCCGACCAATGTAACAAGTTTGTTTCCAGTGCCAGCACACCGAACCTTCCCAATGTAATCATCACCCAAAACTTTTTTTAAACAATAGCAACCGCCCTATTACAGAGGTTTTCACTAACTTCCCTAACAATTGCAACTGCTCCATCACCAACTTTCTTACACTTAGCAAAACACGATTACTACGTTAATAATTAGTGTTTTTATTTTTTTATTGTGGACCGAAGTGTGATGATTTGGGTGTTGTTTTCTGTTTGAACAGAACATGGCATTCATTACCTTTGCGATACTCGGTACGGATCCAGAAAAACGGCAGTAATCCGAATTGATTCGTAAATAATTATTTTATTTATTGGGGACCCGATCATGATGATTTGAAGTGTTATGTTGCGGACCCAAGCATAATGTTGTTTTCTGTTTTGATGGAATATAGCCATTACCTTTTGGGCTTTGTATTGCAACTGGTCCAGAAAAAAGACAAGTCCTTTAGTACCCTGTTATCATGTGATAAATAATTGATTTACATTGAAGAGTAACTGAGTTTGGTGTACTAGTATATAAGTAAACAGACTTATCTATTCTATATCCTGATTACCATCTTGTTTATTTACTTTAGTCCACGAGTTTTTATATAAAGTACAGATTATTTGGCTATACAGTTTTAATACTATTTACGTCGTCTTAAAATGGGATGAATAATACCCTTATATTGAATGTATTTAGAATGAAACTTGTAGGTGTGTTGTATACACTACAAAATAACCATATGAATATGTCGTTTACATGTTCACATGTATGTTTACTATGTTAATGTAGCTCGATCAGTATGAATAATACATTATACTGAACTTATTTAGAATGTATATGGTGTACCGTCTTCATTAGCCCAGTCGGAGCAGAACAGTAGGACGTTAAACCCAATTTCATTTCATTTGTATACGGTTTATAAACTACAAAATATAAACTTGACACAATGGGTCATTCCAGGACTTACATATGTTCGCTTGCGCGTAGGGGTCTTCAGCAGTGGGAGGAAACCCACGAGGTTGTACAGGCGACCCTACTCCTTGTCACATCAGCTGACTCAATGACAGACATTAGAATACAACGCGCACCCGCTAACCATTCAGCCACCCAACCGCCGTCGAGTTAAAAACGTAACTCTTTTGATTTGGTACAATTACGTGCGGACGGGGGCGACGAAAACAACATACGATCACGTGGTCGTATAAGAACAAAACGAATAAAAATATGAAACTTATGATACAACGCGCACGCGCTAACCATTCGGCCCCCCCTTCCATCCCCCCCCCCCGCTCTCATTCCCATGGTATATTTTAATAAACCACTTGTTAAGTAGAGTCATTCTGTTTGATTAAAGGTATTTTGCGCTATAATCATATGTATTGTTGTTTATTGATGGTTTGATAAAATAGTTTAATATCCCTGTATATTAGATTTATTAGTAATGATAAGGACTGGAACAAAGTGTGATAAACACATGTTGCTACAATTATCATCCAAATATATATATGTATATATATATTACCATACCAATATAATATAATTGTATAATATTGCTGGCGATATAAAATAACAAAAAAGTAGAGCATAATTGATTTGCGATTTTGACAAGAAAAATCATATATATATATTATAAAAAAAAATATAAAAAATATATAAAACACAATATATCTAATCATGGCGAAGATTATGGATATAGGATAATTTACATTAAAGGCACATTATGTAGGCGTATATATACGCTTTTGCTGTTTTGTATTGTCGTGGGTGGCGGAGAGTGTAGGGATGCTCATCTATAACAACAGTGCGTTTCGCTCCGAATTGCATACTGACTTTGAAATTGGTTTGTTTTCCATAATAGACATGTTGGGATGGGTCACGTTGATAATTATAAAAAATATATATATTTAAATATATGATGGGCAAATAGTAAAAATAGAAAATGGACTTCTTATACGGGAATATATTAAATTCTAAGAAGTAATCCAATAGAAAATGGATTTCCTATATGGGAATATATCAAAACAAAATCTCCTATCCTAACAATTAATCCAATCCATTACATGATGGGCAAATAGAGACAATAGAAAATGGATTTCCTATGTGGGAATATATCAAAATAAAATCTCCTATCCTAACAATTAATCCAATCCATTACATGATGGGCAAATAGTGAAAATAGAAAATGGACTTCTTATGCGGGAATATATTAAATTCTAAGAAGTAATCCAATCCATTACATGATAGAGACAATAGAAAATGGACTTCTTATACGAGAATATATTAAATTCTAAGAAATAACCCAATCCATTACATGATGGGCAAATAGTGACAATAGAAATGGATTTCCTATATTGGAATATATCAAAACAAAAACTCCTATTAGTGAATAGGTATCAGGTGTTCCGGAAAGAGTAAGCATATTCAGTCATGTGTGCAGCATGTGAGAGTATAACAGATAGGAAGTAACAAGCTCGGTATCGACCAGTTCTATTAATGGCGACCTCAACATGCCATGAACTCATACTGACCGGAATACATGATAAACCTTGATCAGTCCATGTCTGTAGCAACGTACTGGGGAATTCTCTATCTTAAATTAACACGTAACCAGGCAGGGTCCATAATATGAATTTTAAAATCCAACAGGTAGCAAAAAAAGTGTAAAACTTTTTTGTTTTTACTTGTAGTTTAGATGAAGGGTTTTAGACGGTACATATAGCTCCCTGTTTCTAAGCTAGATTGCTATATCTCCGATATTTGTACAACTGATTTTAGGTGTAATCCCGACATAGGGATGGTAACTTTGCATTAACAAGGTTTGGTATCTCCACCATGTATTAAAATTACTAACATTCTCTTAAGCATCACCGACTTTTATCTAGCGTAGAAGGTGGAAAGGGGCTTTATATTACTTGGTTGGTGGGAGTTCCATTATACATATTATATAGTAGGTCCGCTGATAAGAGGTCGGGGCAGTACATAAGCCAAAGGGAACTACTAAACAAGGACTATCGCTTCCTTTCATTTCTTAACTGGACATTGGCCATACATTGCTACTAGCGTAGTGTATTTATAGCCCGATTATGTATATATTGAGTATACATATACAAACACCCACTATTGTAAGCGTAATGTATAATACAGTACGTACATCACAGGATACTATCGGTGTGTACAGTACTATAATACATGCGACGTAGTGACTAATAACTGACAAATCGCGCTGGTGATTAGCTCTACCCAACGACGTAGTACATAATAACAATCACTACCGATTCCTATAAATCGGTTGGATAATTTCAGTTACATATAGGACACAATTGGTCGGATAATTTCTGTTACATAGGACACATATTCACCCTATATAACCCCAAAACATTTCCCAGAAGGTATATGTACACAAACCTATTAGATGATATAACAGTTCAACATCAAATTGTTAGCTGATCATATGTTTCATTTTAAAATCAGAAACTTATAAATACAAGAGTTCAAAGTAAATTGTGTAAATCTATGATTAGATCCTCGCGTAATATGTATTATGTACGCCTCCTTTGTATAAGCAGGTTACTGGCCTATTCGATCTGATTAAATAAAGACTTACATAATAGTCTATTATAACATTAATTACTAATCAATTATTATACCTTGTATCAATCCTTATATAACAATATGATTATACAAATCCTCTCTTGTAACAATTTGAATTATATGCCAAAGATTATTAAGATCTTTATATTACAATAAGTCACCGACCAATCTCACATCTTCTTTACATGTGAGATGTAGAAATAATAAAGTGAAAACATGGTTAATAAAAATAGGGGGTTGGGGTATACAATAGTAATAACATTTCAATAAATGAAATGAAATGAAATGGGGTTAAAGGTTTCACTGTTCTGTTCCGAAACGTCCATAAACATCAAACTATAAATAACTTAATATCAAAATAAATAAATAAATAAATTAGAGGTATGATTCAGTAAGATTATGTAATCTAGAATTGCTTTTGAAACCAATGACAATTAAAGAAAATGGGTATTATATAATAACTGAACTAAAAAAAAATAAAAAATAATACCCAAAACAAACAATAAATAATTTAAAAAATAAATACTTAAACGTACCCTCAGTAATATTTAACGACTTCAACATCTGACGAGTTCATATTTTTTTTTTCAACCAAGACACAATAAAATAAAGTCCAACGCGGTATATATAGTAACCACCCTAATACACTATTTACCATACATAGGAGGGGTAAATCCGTCCATTTGAATTCACACACTTTCACTCATTCATTGATGATATCATCATCAATATAAACTAACTCAATGTTCACGGGAAAAATAAGTTCAGTTTCCGGATAGTAGTAATACACGGAATATCATAAGACAAGTTTATAAATATCCACAAATAATCATAGTTATCGGACTGTTACTCACACCTCCGTCCATCGTTATTCACGAGTTAAAATTGAATATTAGTTTCCCTGACCAGTGGTATGGGCGGCCAGCGAGGTCAACAGCGAGCTGTTTCACAATTGTAAACAGAAATCGTAACTGTAGCCTCGGTTCTGCTCTCGTAAACAAACGTGCTACTAAACTGTTTTAAATTGAATTAAAAAATTGTCTCACCTTTCGTGCGGTGTGACTAATTCCGTAAGTTGACTTCTATCCTGTTAGGCAAGATGTTGTAATGATGCGGTAACTGAACGTAATCCCCTCGCCTCTCGTTCTCTCTCTCCCTTTCTCGTGTAACTTCAAGTTGACCCCAGTTGACGCCTGCTCGGCCAAGCTAATGCTATGCGGCTTCCCGTATCACGTAACTCAAGTTAGCTAACCAATCACTGACCGCCTTACATCCACTCTACCACGTCAGGCCTACACGGACCAGTGACATCACGGCCCTTAGGTAACCTATGATTGGCTGACTGGACGCTCGGCTCAAGGTTGCGTAAGGACATGGCAGTTACATTACGGGTCAAGGGGTGAGAGCCTCGCTTTGACCAACAAGCATGTGACCTTGTTGAGTTTATTTATATGTGTGTGTATCGACCAAGTTAACACATGCTGTTTACGCCAACATTGCGCAAGTTCGTTTTATTGATTAAAAACTAAATATAAAAATCGGTCAGCATATTGGCGAAAAAAAGTTCAAAAATGCACTTCCATTCATTGATTTATAGATTTGTTTGTATTCATATTGACTTTCTAGCACGAGAGGAAAAGAACGAGATAATGAATGTCGATAACATGTATATGTATAGCACTATAGTATTACTTGACAGTTGCTGGTCATCGGGCAAAGTTCATGGTGAAAAGCGTTGGTTGGTAATTATCTTATACCGTCCACCTACCCTATCGTGCACGTTTCTACCAGATATAAAAAGATTAAAAAATCCGGATGGTACTATCTGGTAATGGCATCAAGTTAGCAAAACTCATTGCATGGTGAAATATGGCCGCGAGCGCTGTCGGAAATCAGTGATCGTCTGCACAACTAATGTTTAACATGTGTATACGGGGTCAAATCGAGGTCGGTTAAGGCCATGAGAGGCTATTTTCAGTTGAAAAGATTCTTTTTTTGTATTTGCGTGTTTGATGTGAGAGATGAGATACACGACTACTCTGTAATTCAATATCTTCCAATCTAAATCTCCAGCCTTGAGCCGAGTTAACAAAAAAAAATATAAAATAACATGGCTTGATAGATCTACAGTTGAATAAATCGATATAAAAGAACGCGGTCCATAGACGTAAACACATTACAGAACTGACCGCTTGGTCATTTATTATCATGATATGCAGCTGTCACGGTTTATAATCATACGTCGGTCGAAGATTACGACGCAGTAAGAATAAAACCCTGAGAAACGTTAAAGTATAAAACCTTCCCAATGATATTAATTATCAGAGATTTTCAGTTAATAAATGCAATTATGTGAATAGGTCAATTGAATACGATATGAATGATCCTGTTGATGCTAGAGTCATCCATTTTATTTCTATGGTTACGTGAAAAATGCGAGCTGAAGCATTTTGCTTGGACATCGAGGGTTCTTTTGCATGCACGCCAAATTGTACACACATGTGGGCCCCCGATTTTCTTCCAGTCCGAAGAACTAGACACATTTCTTTTTGGTTAAGCCCTTGACAATATTGAGAACCTGGCTTGAAAAATCTAGTCCATTATGCACACAGACAACTATCTACTTTACTTCCAGAATAGATCTCTGCCCTAAATGGCCGCCATATCCAACAATTAGTATGCCGTCTTGTAACGCATTTCTACTCCGTTTCACATCTGTTATACACACGAAGACTAATTAAACTTTTCCAATTTTGTTTTTAACTGAAAGCAGAATATATATTAATCGCAAAATTCTCGAAATATATTTAGTGTTTTCGACTAAAATCTTCGATTTAAGAATTAAAATGTCGGTCAACTAGGTTAGTGTCTGTTCTCAAGCGGAACTAATTATAAACAGACAGCGAAAGTTTAGTATGATTCTAGTAGAGGACACTACCAACGTTCGAATTCCCCCACCTACCCCCCATATATAGAGAAACATTATTTTTGACATAATTATTTGTATATGTTCATAGCATACTGTATGGCGTAGGCTCTGCCCGTCTTCATTTTCCCAGTCGGTGCAGAAAAGAAGGGCTTTAAATCCATTTTATTTCATTTCATTTCTTTATGTAAAAATATGTTTTGATATGATTGTATATGTTCGATTAATCCTATAATTGTTCACCGGGCCCGTAGCCTGAAAAATATTTTGTTCCCCCGAAAAAAAAGTTGCCGACCATAGCTGTAAAATACCTACTGTAGACTGTGCCCCCACCCCACCCCTACAACCTTCATTGCCCCCCCCCCCCTCTAAAAAATTTACTGCCCTTCCGCAGCCAGAAAGCTGGCTACGGGCGTGTATCTCACACGTGCATTAATATACTATTTATCCTCCCTTCTAACACGTGCATTAATATACTATTTATCCTCCCTTCTAACACGTGCATTAATATACTATTTATCCTCCCTCCTAACACGTGCATTCAAATACGATCTATCCTTCCTTTGTTCATATGTAACACGTGCATTAATTAATATCGTTAGAGTGATATTAGATAATAACTGATAATAATACAGATGAATAATGATTAGGTTAATTAGTGTAAATGAACTGATAACCCATACACATATTATGTTAAATATAGAAAATATAAGTTTTAAAAAAAAATAGGAGTGCTATTTGGCGCTTGCTATGTATTTACAGGTTTGTTAGAGAAAATCCCAAACTAGTAAATGCTAATTATATTCACATGAATGAATGGGATGTGAAGATTGTATCAATCTAGGTAAAGATAGTTTATTTTGTGTTGTATTTACGTGCACTGTTGCTCCCACGAGAGAGAGAGAGAGAGAGAGAGGGAGAGAGAGAGAGAGGGATGGGGTAGGGAGCGCAAAGTGATGCAAGGCGTTAGCGACTACGGCTATTTAGTATTCCTGATGTTTGTCTCTGTGCCATTTTAATTCTAACTGGTCTAATGAAGACGGGCATACGCCGTACAGTGTGCTATGGGGACGTCAACGTGTACACGGGACCTCGACTTCTCGTCCCATCCAAACGACTAGATGTTGTTCCTTGCCATGCCATCCATCCCGCATCACTCATATGTATATATAGTGAAAATCCCGAGGTACTGTCTCGGTCAACACCGGGATCGAACTATGGACCCCCTCCCGATAGTGGGCATCTTTGAATCCACGGTCACCAAAGAAGATATCGCAGGAATACTTTTCCAACGCTAACCCGGGTAGTGATCGGCCAGGTTCATCGAAAATAAATCTATATGTATCCTTTAAATGACCCAAATAAGTGGGTTGGTAATTTCTGCTTGTGTCTGTGTGTGGGTTGGTTGGGTGGGAGGGGGTCTATAACGGGACATAACTCTTGAGATGACCATCGAAAATTAATGGAAATCATCCGACTTCCTTCTGTCAACAGAACTGACAACCCATAGTCTACAAAGTGCTAACAAGATTTTTTAACATCGAGGAATAACCTCGGATATCGTTTTTTCAATGTAGTTATCAATCCATATCAACTATAATCTACAAATGAGGGATAGCAAAGAAAAAGCGTATATATAGTCGTTCGGATAGGACCAAAAAAGGTCCACCTGTGTACTTTCTAACGTGTGCGTAAAGGAACCCATGACAGTTGGAATATACGATCAAAAGTAGGCGTCAGAATATCCTCCATAGCTCACTGTATGACGTAAGCCCGTCTTCATTATCCCGGATGGTGGCGGTACAGAAATTAATTATGTTCTATTTATATATACTTCCTGTTTTTTTATTGTTTGGTTGTTACTGACGTTTACACGCCTACATCTATTTGTTAAGGCCAGTTCAGTTTTTTTCAAGGTCGCTGAGATGTAAATAAGGTTAGGGCACGTGATTGTTGGCGAGATTGTAGGTTAATTTTAGGGTAAGCATTGGGGTTAGGTCCAAGGTTAGAATTATCATATATTCCAACTGTCAAGGGTTGCTTTACACTGAAAGGCACGGTCATACTGGACCGATTACCACCGTAAGTCGTCATTAACAGGAAGAGCGGAAGAGTTACCCCCCTGGAATCGATTGCGATAGCTTCATTGGCTTCAATGAACACCAAGGTACCCACCGTCCGTCCCATCGAAAGTCTTGCCAATCCTTTCCCTTTTCAAAGATAGTTTGCTCTCGTATAAATATGAATAAACTACGAATAAATGGAATATTTTCTATATCGGTGGGTATAACTAATTCACTGCGGACGAAATGAAATGAATACGGTTTAACACCCTACTTGTCTGCTGCATGAGACGCGCATTCGCTATACGGGGGTGGATGGCCGAATGGTTAGCACGTGCGCGCTGTATCATAAGGCCCGTCATTGAGTCAACTGGCGTGGTTTCTAATCCCCGGTTGTACGTGACAAGGAGTAGGGTCGCCTGTCCAACCTCGTGGGTTTTCTCCGGGTCCTCAGGTTTCCTCCCACTGCTTAAGACCCCTGCGCGCAAGCGAACTATTGAAAATGAAATTAAACCATATGTTAGTCCCTAAATGATCTAGTTTGTGTCGAGTGGACGTTAAACCCCATTTCTCTCTTTCTCTCTCACTCTCTCCCCCTATCTTCTCTCTCTCTCATTCGCCATACAGTGTACTTATGAGAGCAATTATGCCCGGACCGTGACGTTTCGGTCTCACTCTTCGTCAAAATCCAACTACCAAGAGTTATGTTGAGTGCACCGCAAGTCCGCAACGTGTATACGGGGCCTCGGGGTTTCGTCCGATCCGAACGACTAGCGCCTTATCCACTAAGCCATCACTGCTCCCGGGTAAAATTAAGAACACACAGCACCACCTTGCCAGTCTCCTTACAAACTTTACGATATCCGTAGATATGTCATTTGTCGAACTCGGTTTCGAATGAAAGAATGGTAGATTACAATCTCAATCTAGGTAAAAATATCCGAAACGAAATAGTAATCTGATTTTAATAAGACCGTTATTAACGTTATCTTTATTTTCACTTATGTATGAATTAAACAATACTTTTTTTTAGGGGGAGTTTTTAACTATATAGTGAGAACTGCCCGCTCTTTATCAAATCTTCTATAATTCCCCGTTAAGCAGAAAATTTAATATGTTACAGGTGTTGCTGATAAAAATTGTTCAATTGATAAAATACGCACACATGTGTTACAGTCAAACTCAACAATATGACATAATCAATATTTATACTGGGAATATTAAAAACACGTATTGTTTAATTCATACACAAAGTATAGGTAAGTCTTATGAGAGAGAGAGAGAGAGAGAGAGAGAGAGAGAGGGAGGGAGAGAGAGTCTAACGTCCACTCGACACAAACTAGGTCATTTCGGGACCAACATATGGTTTTAATTTTATTTCAATAATACGCTTGCGCGTAACGGTTTTTAGTTGATGGAGGAAACCGGAGGACCCGGAGAAAACCCACGAGGTTGGACAGGCAACCCAACTCCTTGTCACGTACATGTTCAACCGGGTAATCGAAACCACACCAGTTGACTCAATGGCAGACCTTATGATACAGAGCGCACGCGCTAACTATTCGGCCATCCAACCCATCAATGTTAAGTAAATGTTGTCAATCGCCAACAAAAAATAAAAAAAAAAAGAGTGAGTGACTTTTTATTTTCCCCGTGATCACATAGTTTCTGATGACATAATAAAAGAATAGAATAATAAACTTAAATATATATTAAAAGACGCTGTTATTTGATTTTAATTTTTTGTGTGACGACCTAAGGTCCTGTTTTTTTTACAGGTACGCACCTTTGTATCACCTCCTGATGTATCTATTCACAAGGTCAGGGCCTCATCAATTCTAAACCCGGCAATGGTGACGTGAACAATGCTACTTTTGTTTAAGTCACTGATTAAATAATACCGGTATACCTATCTAAGTTGACAAGCGGAAATTGCATCCTGATTTTATAACCAATTGAAGTTTACATAATAAAGCCTACACAATTACACGATTCAATTCACGTCAAAAACATTTTTATATAATTTCTATTACACATTTGTAATTTTTTTAAAAGAACAACATGCTCGCGACATACTTTTACACAAAATGAATCCCACACAATTGTTCAACAATGTAAACCTATCCCAATGGGAACCAAAGGTTTTATTTGATATGCTCCTGTTTTTCTTGCAATTCGAATTTGAGCACTTCTAAAAATACTTTTTATAACAGCAAATCTCTCGAAATCCGGGGTATTATTTATTTCGCATCTGGTCGTCAACAATTGGCTTGTGAACGGGATAGAATAAGCTATTTTCGAATTTGCCGTGTCATGATAGGATGAATCCTATCGATTTTCTGACAAGGAGTAGGGTCGCCTGTCCAACCTCGTGATTTTTCTCCGGGTCCTCCGGTTTCCACCCACTGCTAAAGACCCCTACGCGCAAGCGAATTATTGAAATAAAATTAAACCATATGTTAGTCCCGAAATGACCTAGTTTGTGTCGTGTGGACAATAAACCCCATTTCTCTCTCTCTCTATTTCTCTCTCCCCTGTCGATTTTCAATATTCCACGATCCTCCGTTTCGGAGTTACCCCTCCTGTGTTGTGAACGTGATGGAGGATAGTATTGAAGTTGGGTGCGTGTTTGGGGGGGGGGGGGGTCTTTACAATTTATTTGGCGTGAAGCATTAGGGTCATTAGAGGAAGAGCCCTTATCGACTTTCAATGGTATGCAGCCCTCCATAGCGCTACACCCCTCATTTGGGAAAACCGTGTGAACGCAATCGAGGCTACAGTTACAAACGGATTTTCTTCCAGTTTGTGTGAAACATTGGGGTCGAGAGACGACGATCCATATCTATTTCTATTTTCAGTTGGTGATAAATCTTATTGATTTTAAATTTTTTTAAACCTAACCCTCGGCAACAATCACATGCCCTAACCCTGTTTACATCTCGTGAAATTGACGAAATCTGCTGGTGGTCTTAATATTTAGATCCGACCAATTAGTAGATCTTCATGTAGTGTAGGCCATCGAAAGTATAAAAACGAAACGAAATATATTTGGAGCAAATGAATTCTTTGATTCTTAGGCAAGTTTCATCATTCCCTCCCCGGTTTTATTGTTCTAATGTCTCGACCAATTAAATTGCTCAACTCTGTTTAGCATAAGCATCAAATGCTTGTCATCGAACTCGGTAAAGACATTCACATAATGAACATATTTACCGTGATTTTACAATTATATCTCAATTTGAGAGAGAGAGACAGAGAAATGGGGTTTAACGTCCACTCGACACAAACTAGGTCATTTCGGGACTAACATATGGTTTGATTTTATTTACATAATTCGCTTGCGCGTAGGGGTCTTTAGCAGTGGGAGGAAACCGGAGGACCCGGAGAAAACCCACGAGGTTGGACAGGCGGCCCTACTCCTTGCCACGTACAACCGGAGATTCGAAACCACGCCAGTCGACTCAATGACAGACTTTATGATACAGCGCGCGCACGCTAACCATTCAGCCATCACCCCCCCCCCCCCCCCATCTCAATTTGAAGCAATCTGATTACAATACATATCTATATTTCGTTTCGTTTTTTAATAATTTCGATGGCCTACACTACATGAAGATCTGACAAGTTGTACTCGAAGGTCGTGTCAGGGGTCGCACGAGTGGCTTTTGACCCTATGGCGTCAGACATTGATTAATCAATCAGCGTTGACGTTTGTTTCTAGTGGTTTACCCACAGTTCCGCGCATGACACGCCAAGAAGTCGCAGTAACAAACCGTTTCATTGGATTCAACGAAAACCCCGGTAATATAACAACTCTTCCAGATTCTAGTGTAGTAAAGACAAGTCAAACAAAATTTTGAACTATAAAAATCGAAACGAAATAGGATCTGTGTTTTAGTCAGATTGAATTTGAAGCAGTGTTATTGCATGTGATACGAACAGACTGGTCAGAGGCACGTAGCGTCTTAGCCTGTATACTCGCCATCGAACCTAGTCAATGTCACACACCTAACTAACAAATGAAATGAAATGAGGTTTAACGTCCTACTGTCCTGCTCCTAAACTAGGCTAATGAAGACGGGCATACGCCATGCAGTGTGCTATGAGGGAAATTTTGCCCGGGCAGCGGCGCTACGGCCTAGTCTTATATCGACTTCCAACTGCCAAGGGATCTTTTACGTGTGTACACGGGACCTCGGTTTTTCGTGCCATCCGAACGACTAGACAGCTGTCCTTGTGAGGCCCTCCGTCCTGCATCACTGACAAGGGGAAACCACGCCGGAAAAACCTAATTAACAACTACAACAACTACGTTATTGTGTTCCAAATGGTGTGACGGGCAGATGCCAGATGCTTAGTCTGTGCAGAAAATGCTCATCATCGAACTCAGTCAAGACATTTCCCGAATAAACACCCCACTCTCCCTCTCCATAATATATAAATATTAATCTATGTTAATTTTGTTTTACTGAAATTTGTGAACTGAACAAATATCGTGATTGAAATCGTATCACGACACAGGAGCCAGGATGGTACCGTGAGTAAGATGTGTTGATCCCGGTGTTGCCCGAGAAAGTTAATCGAGATTTTCCGGGGTGGTCCCCACTTGTCTGTGGCGCGGATGGGACGAAAAACTGAAGTCCAGTGTACACCCAGTCTGATGAAAATACAGATCTATATTTCGTTTCGTTTTTTTTATACTTTCGAAGGCCTACACTACATGAAGATCTGGAAAGTTATAGCGATATGTCACGTCAGGGGTCAAAAGACCGACTTTTGACCTATGACGTCAGACATTAGATTAACCAATCAGCATTGATGTTACTAGTGGATTACCCACAGTTCCGGGCAAAAAAGGTCGAACACTCGATTCGACAGACCATTTGATTGGCTGACCCCTCATTTCAAGCAGAACACGAGTTAAATAACAAGTCTTCCAGATCCAAGTGTAGTAAAAACAAGTAAAACGAAATTTTGAACTCTTAAAACGAAACGAAATAGGATCTGTGTTTTAACCAGATTGGAGAGAGAGAGAGAGAGAGAGAGAGAGAGAGAGAGAGAGAGAGAGAGAAAATAAAAAATGGTTTTTAACGTCCACTCGACACAAACTAGGTCATTTCGGGACTAACATATGGTTTAATTTTATTTCAATAATTCGCTTGCGCGTAGGGGTCTTTAACAGTGGGAGGAAACCGGAGGACCCGGAGAAAACCCACAAGGTTGGACAGGCGACCCTACTCCTTGTCACGTACAACCGGGGATTCGAAATCACGCCAGTTAACCAGATTGGTGTACACATTGGCGTGCTTGTAAAAGAACCCTTGACAGTTGGAATTCGAAATAACGAGTCGACCGTAGTTTCGCTGTACGGACAAAAATTTCCCTCATAGCACAATGTATGGAGTATGCCTGTCTTCATTAGCCCACAGCCGGTGCAGAACAATAGGACGTTAAATGGATCACGACACCTGTATTGTCATTCGTATTGGATCGTGAATAGTCGCCATTGTCAACAAAACGATCGTGACTGTATACCACAAAGAATAAATTGTTTGTAACAGATTTTATAATTCTTTTTATTTACACATATCCATCTACATCATTCAACCAAATAGGCGATACATAATTACGTCATCTGCTGATCCGGACACAAACAAACTACCGGTATACATAATTATCTCTTCTGTTGATCTAGACTGGATATTAAAGTCAGAATAGTGCCGTGACGTAGAAACAAGCCTGACGTCATTTAGAGCAGGTTATCCAGTCTACTGTTGATCCAGACGTAAATAGATGATATGCTTACGTCATCTGTCCATCCAAATACAAATATATCATTTAGACACATAAAGTCGATACATAATTACATCTGTTCATCCAGACGCAAATATACGATACATAATTACATACGTTGATCAAGACACAAATAGACGACACATTTATACTTTTGTTTATCCAAACACTAAGTATATAAATATAAAATTGTTTGTAGAACTGTCAACATCACTGGTCCGATAAACCCCACCTTTTATAATCTGTTTCTCGTGTCTGATAACCAGTTTTCTCTCCAACCCAATAATATGCTTTAAAAAATAAAAATATAAAAATAAAAACAATATACACTTTACAAAAATGAAATGAAATGGGGTTTAATGTTATGCTCCGACGGGATAATGAAATGAAATGAAATGGGGGTTAACTTTCTACTGTTCTGCTCCGAACTGGGCTAATGAAGACGGGCATACGCCATACAGTGTGCTAAGAGGGAAATTTTGCCCAGACAGCGGCACTACGGCCTACTCTTATATCGAATTCCAACTGTCAAGGGATCTTTTATGTGCACGCCAATGTGTACACCGGACCTTGTTTTTTTTTTTGTCCCATCCGAATGACTAGACAGCTGTCCTTGTCAGGCCCTCCCATCCTGCATTACTGACAAGGGGGACCACACGGGTTAACGAAGACGGGCATACGCCACGAAGTGTGCTATGAGGCGTAAGTCCGTCTTCATTTGTCCAGTCAAAGCAGAACAGTAGGACTTTACCCCGCCCCCCTCCCCATCTCATTTCATTTCATTTCTCCTACACTACTGACAAGGGGAAACCGCTTCAGAAAATCCCCATCAACTTACACATTACAATGTAAAGACACGAATAAAAAATATTTGTAGTACGCGATCCAATTTATTACGTTTTATTTCCTCGTCAATAAAATGTTACGGAATTCGTTTCTCGTGTCCAATTATGATCTCATTACTGAATTTAAATACATATATGTACGTATTAGATATCCCTGTTCATTAGCCCAGTCGAACAGTGGGATGTTAAACCCTGTTTCATTTCACTATATATCAGATAAACCGTTCTTCTCCGTTTTAAAGAGCAGTACGCGTAAATCACGATCGGTTTTGAAGTCAATTGGGCCAATTGCTCCCAACTGGGTCCCGTGCAACAATCATCGACTCTAGTCTTGTCAAATAGAACTGATTTATCAAGGTACGTTCTAAATAACAAAATGGCAATTTCTGGTCAATTTAACAAATAGTTCCTCTCAAATAGACTGTGAACCAGGGGACTCGTCAAAACATTGTTCCCAGTTAGGCCTCCCAACTCCTATGACCTAAGATCCGCCCCGACGTGTATCTGAGATTTTTATCTGCTCTTGTAATGTGTGTGACTATTGCATTGTTTTTTCTATTCTTGTTTTCGTTTTGCTGTGCAGTTATTCCGAATTTTACAACCGTGTCATAGGGTTATGGTCCATTGAACGTAGCGCCACATGAAAGATGTCCTGTTTAAAATTCCAAACAAATTGGGAAATAAAAGCATTTAAAGCTACGTTCCCAGAAATGTATTTATCGGGTGGTTATTTCCAATAAAATTATGGCAATTTTGGTATATATGGAAAGTAGAAATATCCAATCTTACTAGACAAATACTGGATTCCCTGAAAAACACTCATGGAGCGTATACAGGTCAAAAATGTACGGGTTTCCCAAATCGACAGCCCGACAATTAGGAGTGTCTGCACGCGTGACGTTGAAGGTTGCACGCGGAGATTGGGCGCAATATGTACATGTTGATAAACTTTATGAAGAGTTAGACGTACAATACTTTCAGCTGAGATAAAAATCACGGAAAAAGACGCGGGCAGTGGGTAATCAGAGAATTTAATTAGGCTTCCATATTTGTAATAAATAGTCAGCGATTAAAGACAACATCGTCTTTTGTATGCAATGAATTCTCCTCCGACATCGCACCCGTTGTGTCACGTGACACAAACATGACCTCTTTTGATAGAGTTTTTATAGCCGGGTATTCCCTGACAATTGCAATGTTTTGAGAAGGATTTGAAGCAAAATTATGATAAATTAATTAGTTTGAATATGTTTTTAGTCCAAATATATCATCAAATCACCCAGTTTGTACCCGGGAATGTATCTTTAAATAGTGCGACCAATTTTCTTTTTTGTTTTGTTTTTGTTTTTTTGTTTTTGTTTTTAAGATAGTCTTTTGTTTTTGTTTTTACGATTGTCTTTTTTTCTGAAGAAATAAGAAGATCAAATTTAATAAGCGTTTCCGAAGGACGGAAAATCAAATTGGCGTGGTCGTATGTGTAGCAGTCCTTCTCCCAAGCAGAGTTGTCTTGCATGCGAGAATGTTTATGACTATTGTTACGTAAATTTACTATACGGTAGGCCTACTCTTCGCGAAACAGGTTCCACGTACGATAATCTGGACTGCCAGGTTTAACCATTGGCATTTGGTGAGTATTTCTTTAGGACGTGAGTATTCTTTAAGTGTTCTTACCATTTAAAACTGATGGATATTTTTTGTACATCTTAAGCCTAAAATCTGTAACATATAATATAAATATATCAATAAATAAAATACTACAGGAAGAAATGACAGTAGGGGGAATAGGTCGGGAGGGGCCGGGGGCGCATGGCATGTGTCCAATCTGTCTGTTAGGTTATTTATTCGACAGCAAGAAGATAGATACTACTAGCCTATAATTATATAAGATAATCATCGTTTTCTATTGCTATAATGTAATGAAGGTGGGCATATAGCCTACGATACTATGCGGGGTGGGGTGGGGCGGGGGCATCCACTCGTATTTCGATTTTGAACTTCCAGGAGATGATACGAATGTATATACTGTATATGGGATGTCGGTTTTTCGTCCCTTATTAATGATAAAACAGCCCCCCCCCCCCACACACACACACTGCATTGCTGAAAAAACACATGGCAAAATAAATAGACTGAAAAGTATAATCTATGGCCAACATTAAATAGTACGTTGTAGAATTCGTATACGGTATTGGAAAGAACCCCACCCATACACCGCCGTACGTCCCCACGGTCATTAAGCCAGAGCCATAGCAGGGCAGGCTATTGATAAAGATGAAAATAAAAACATAAATACGCAAGGTCTAATTCTAATGTGAAACTGGTACAAAAGTAAACAAATAAATAAATGAGAACTATTGATAATTGACCTTGCGATGAATTCATTTGACGCCAGAGCAAATAGGATCCTCCAAAGAGCGCTAATTCAATAGCTATTCCCACTTTGATTCCAGTCACAAGAAAGCTGGTCGCCCCTCCTCCTTTAGGCTGCTTCAACATGTTGAAAGTACAATAATTCTTAATGAACCCGAGTTTGTTTTCTTGATTAAAAGTATGCAACTTTATGTTCACATGTCGTCGTTCATTCCAAGGGAGGGCACTCTTATTAACAAAATGTTGTAAGCGACCCATTAAAAATAGATACCAATATAAAAGACGGAAAACGAACATTTAACTATAAAAAATGGGATTTAACCAACGTTATTGGATTTAACGCCCACTCGACAGAAACTAGGTCATTCTGCGACTAGTATACGGTTCCATTTTACTTCAATAATTCGCTTGTGCGTAGGGATCTTTAGCAGTGAGAGGACCCTATGAAAACCCACGAGGATGGACAGGCGACCTCACTCCTTGTCACGTACAAACTTGTGGGGAATCGCGAAACCACGCCACTTGACTCAATGACAGACCTTATGGTTTCACGCGCACGCGTTAAACCACCAGACCCCCCCCCCCCCCTTCAACTATTAATATAATTTTACAGTTTGAGAATGCGAGTTGTGGAGTTCTTTTATTTCATTTTTATATTTCTGTTTTGGATAATTATGAAGATATGGAGAGATAGCTACAAATGTCGTAGCGTTAAACTGTTTAACGCTACAATTGATACAGTCTGAGACTCCTTACGCAAGTACAAATAGGTTCAAACGCACAATTTTCAACACATATCATTACAGTTTGTATTGAAATAAATAATTCTATCACAAATAGTGAAGACTGAATCACTAAAATAGTTATTGAACAGGTTTTTTTGTGGTAATTATGCGTTCTACATTTTCAAAGCGACATTTCTTTTAATGTAAGCCGCCATGACACCAGCCTGGTGAAATCTCGCCAAATTCGCGTAACAGTTGGGTTACATCAAATCACATATAAATTATGTGATAAGGCTTCACCTTTATTTCAATGGGAATTGGTTTATTATATGTTAAAGGGTCAATCCCGATAATATTTTGGAGAATAAAACTGCTTAATTTTGTGTTAAAATCCCTTAAAATCCTCTACCTTATAGGGCCGAGCAACTCTCATCTTCAATAGAAGGGTTAATCTTATCAAGCCCTTCACGTAATACCCCGCATATTTTGGCACTATTTTTGATTGGGTATAAGCCCAGCTTGTAATCCTATCAGATTCCTTCGTTAAAAATATCGTTACGATTATCAAGTCTCGCACTTATAGCTAAAATGTCTACATATGACAATCGAGTTGCAAAGTTCAAGGTTTGATCAATGTCAAGGTTGCTGGAAATCATACCTGATCAACAAAAAGTTTCTATTTGTTTACAATGTGTTATGTGCGACGATCCTGATTGGACAATGCTAATTGATCACGTGTAGCAACGGTTAGATGTTGTAAAACTCGCGATCGTTGCTTCAGGAACATGAGCAACTCTCAACATATGAGATGCGTTTTCAAAGAACTTAAACCCGTCAGTCTTCATCTGAAAATGGAAACCGGTGTCCCAAGCTGTATAAAGCAGTGTCTGGATAAAACCAGACTTTTACTTTATAAAAATAATGTGTAGGTGAAATTTACCGTTCGTTATCAAGTACAGCACATGGGTCATTCATTGAGTAGACCTCTGACGGAATGGGAATCGATTATCAGGTCATCCAACGAAAAATTTGATCCGAAATCTTAAAAGGGTTACGTGTCCGGATAAGCAGTTTTTACGTTCACGCCCAAACGACTCAATATTTTGAGCTGAAATTTTGAGACAAGGTAAATACACCATTCCTCTATATTTTGGTGCTTAAATTTCATACGTACTCAGACTTATATTTTTGAGACTCTGTTCAAATCGGGACAGTCCCTTTAAGCTATGTGCATTACAGTTTGGGGTCAGTTTATGTGTAAATTAAGGGGGCTATAGGCTAGTAAACTTTTTGTAGTCATTTGACTAAAAAACTTGCGCAAAGGAACTCCGTAGGACGAGCCACTACTGTGGCTGGAGTAAGGCAGAAGACATCAGTAGTGGAACCATTTCTAATGGAGAGACCGTTTACAAATCAATGGCCCTAATTCTAGAAACCATTTTATTATTGTAATTATTTAATTTGCCAAAATGTTTAATATTTAGGCTGTGTAGGCCTACATAATTCACCTGCAGCACTTGATCATTTTGTTTTGAATGTGTAATAAGACTGTTAGTGCTAAATGATAAGGCCAGCTCAATTTTTCGTCCAAGTTCACGAGATGTAGCGCTATAATCACAACCCTAACCCTGTATCCAGAAACGGAATGGTTTATACCTAATAAATTACCCAATAATATCAGACTGTGGCAGCGAATCATATAACGTATCACAATATATAGACCATTTCTTATTACCCCTAGCATGCCAACATCCATCCTACCTAAAAGACACTAGCGATTTTATTCACAAAATCAAACAGTTAAGAGTCCCTGAACACACCATTTTTTTAGGGGGTTGGATGGCTGAATGGCTGAATGGTTAGCGTGAGCGCGCTGTATCATAAAGTCTGTCATTGAGTCGACTGGCGTGGTTTCGAATCCCCGGTGTTCCTCCCACTGACTGCTAAAGACCCCTATGCGCAAGCGAATTATTGAAATAAAATTAGACCATATGTTAGTCCCGAAATGACCTAGTTTGTGTTGAGTGGACGTTAAACCCCATTCTCTCTCTCTCTCTCTCTCTCTCTCTCTCTCTACACACCATTTTAATATACATCGACGCAGTGCTCACTCTGGGTTTCATTTTTTATCCGCCAAATTTTCATTTTAATTTATTAGCCCTATACATGTATTTTCTCCGCCAACATAAAGAACAAATATCTATTAGATTTTTTCAGTATTTTTTTTTACATAAGTACATGCAACATACATATGATATTACAATTTACAATATTCTAATCTGCTTTGCAGAAGCCCATTTTTTGAAAGCCTTTTCAACATCTTGGTTAACCACTTTTCCATTACTTAGTAACATTAAATTACACAGTCTATTTGTTTTTAATGAATATCTGTATATCTGAAAATTTCCATTGCATATTCTAAACGACATCCTAGTGCACAGTAAATTAGATTAAATAAGACCAGTCTCCACCCTAACCGTTAGTAAATAAAATCAACTAGATATAAAAATCCCTAGCCCTAACCCGGTTATGTGGAACAAACACATTTTTAGAAAATCCAATTCGTAGTAGGAAACACACTAATGTGGCTCTCCCCCGAGAGCCTCAAATTTATTCTTTTTTCTTCAGAAACCAAAATACCAGAATACCAGAAGCACCATCCAAGGAAGACCATCAGCGCCACCAACACCAAAAAAACAGTAAAATCATATTTGTATATAAATCTAATGTATGTATTTTTAATAAAACTAGGAAATATCACGAACTAATTTTTCATCGTCCTAGGTCAGTGCTTATGTGGAGACTTAACCTCTCCCCCAAATTCTTAAACCTAACCCACAATCTCGCCAACAATCACGTGCCCTAACCATATCCACATCTCAACAACCTTGACAGAAATTGAGCTGGCCTTAACAAATAGACTTAGCCGTATATATATATAAGACTTATTTCACATAATGAACACATAATCAAACTTCATTAGTTACCTATAAGCAGGGGCGCAGATTGCCATAAATTAGTGGTGGGGACAGTCCATGCACGGGCGACTATTGATCCTCCCCCGAAATTTTTTGAAAACTAGACGCTCTAAAACGCACTCTGTAGGTATTTTCAGCATCATTTTTCTTTAGAAATTTATAAGTGTTCATACAGAGTCGGGCCCGTAGGCTGGAAGCAAGGTGGGCGGGCACCTTTGTGAAAGAAAAGAACCGACTATATAACCGAACACCGCTGGCGTGAGGTGCTAGGTGTGCGGGGGGGGGGGGGCTTCTTTTAGAATTTTTGTTACAAAATGGTGTCTAAATAAGCATTCTCGGCGATTCTGAGGAGTTTTTACCAATAACAAAATAGTTCTGAGAGCAATGTTTTAAACCGAAAAAAAAAAATTCAATAAAGTGTTTAATATATTTAAAACTAAAGAACAGTACACTTATATCCACTCTACCCGTTTCTTCCCCCTTCTTTATGGACGGCCAGGGTTGGGTTTTAAAAAATGTCTTTTCCGATGAATTTCCTAAATTTCTAAACCATCTTCAAAATTTTTTCACTAACTTGTAATAATAAGTACACGATTCTTGGCTAAGCTTACTGTACTCCAAAAAATAGAGGGTTCGAGTCTTAAATTTTAGATTTAATTGCCTATATTCCACAGAGAGAGATAGAAACCATTCTTTAAAAATACGTTTATTGAGTATGGCTGCAAATCTCACTATGAAGGGTTCCCCTGATATACAAACTAAATCCTTTAGTTAGGTGATTTATCATCCAGTATACCAGATAAAAACAAAATCTCAGTTATTCCTTAACCCTTTAATTGTAATTGTAAATTAATGCACCTTGTACACATAACACGTCATTGTCTGCGATATCACCTCGGTGGAAGCGGACGTAAAATACAACTAATTCATCATATTCCTTAACCCTTTAATACCCAGCGTATCAGATATGCACACCTACATGATGTACATATTATAATCCCTATGGAATATTTTAATTATTTACTGTTATAATATGAATTAATTATCACTTATTCCCTGTTAAATAAAAATCGGTCACCGGGTGCAGCTGTACAACTTCAAGGACCCTGGCCTCAAGTTCCTGAGACCAACTCTACACTTTCTGAAAAGTCAATAAAAGCTCTGGAATGATTTCAATTTAAAAAAAATAAACAGTAAGCAAAACATCGGAAATAAGTGGTGGGGACACAGTATATCATGTCCCCACCACTAAAAATATTGGTGGGGACGCGTTCCGGTGTCCCCACCGGGATCTGCGCCATGCCTATAAGTAATTTTAAGATTCGCCTTTCAACATAAATAGTGTGGCGTACGTCATGTTATTTAAAGTCTATAAGAGCAGATAACACATGATACAATTAAATGGAATACAAGTTACTTATAAGATTTATTTCTGGAGACGTTTCGATGAGTTTTCTGTCGTCGCTAGAAATAAATCTTTTAAGTACCTTATTTTTCATTGTGTCATGTGTTATTTCTCATTCAGTTACGAAATGCCGCTTAACAATATGAAGTCTTGGATCCTATTTCAACTTTTACTGAAAGCATGGACCTTATTGAACAGGGGTGGTGGGCCCTGGGCCCTTATTCACAAAAACTTAAACTAAGATACAATCGAAATTTTAAGAAATACTGCAATTCGATTGGCTGACCAGTAAAATCAATTTGCACATATCCAATGAAGTTGCAGTATTTCTTAAAATTTTGGTTGTAACTTAGTTTAAGTTTTCGTGAATAAGGGCCCGGTATCATACGGTCTGTCATTGAGTCAACTGGCGGGGTTCGATTCCCCGGTTGTACGTGACAAGGAGAAGGGTCGCCTGTCCAACCTCGTGGGTTTTCTCCGGGTCCTCCGGTTTCCTCCCACTGCTAAAGACCCCTACGCGCAAGCGAATTATCGAAATAAAAAAATTAAACCATATGTTAGTCCCGAAATGACCTAGTTTGTGTCGAGTGGACGTTAAACCCCATTTCTCTCTCTCTCTCTCACTCTCTCTCTCTCTCTCTCTCTCTCTCTCACCTTATTGAACCATATCGTGTCCATGTTGAACACTGTAATGTAAAACTTGTACCATACAGCAACCCGCACAAATTCCACTTCTGTGAAATAGTCTTCCATTAAAATAATTTACGCAGTAGCCCTAATCAATACTTTTTAAGAAAAAATAGAAAATCCATTATTTTTACAGAATTTACTATTTTGTATTTTAAGTACAGTGTTATGCAAATTTAACATTCGTCTTTTAAAATACGATATACATGTATAATTTACTTGTATAAAGCACATTATCGAAGATCTTCGGTGAACTGAAATTAAATGAAATTTGGTTTAGCGTTAAACTTTTCTGATCCGACTTGGCTAATGAAGACGGACATACGACATACAGTGTGATATGAGGGAAATTATGTCGGACAATAATTGAATTCCAACTGTCAAGGGTTAATTACATGCACACCAAAGTGTACACGGGTCCTCGGATTTTTCGTCTCATCGGACCGACAAGATGCTGTTTCTTGCCAGGCCCTCCGCCCTACACAACGCTGGAAAACCCTGGGGAACTTTCTTAGCAAACACCAGAATCGAACCTCGGATTGATGAATCAGGGCCTTACGACTGAGCTACCGTGACTCTCCACTTCGGCGAAGAAAGAGCCGCCCATATAAATGTTTTGTATTTCGTTTCTTGAAATAAACCTGGATTCCCACTTTTAATTTCAGCCCCTTGCATCAATGCAAAAGCGCCTCTGTCGAAACCGAACATACATAACACGTCATGAATTGTTTTTATCGGTAGAAATCAGTTTATTTTTTATATAAGCATGATGAGCGGATACAGTTCTATTCCCGATTTGATTAGCAGCAGTGTTAATTTAGATCTGGCAAATGGGGGTTCGTATTTTTGTGTCACATCTATGGCTTTATTATAGTTTATATTTACATTTTTGATTTTGACACATTCTTCAGTATCAGTATGGTCCTTATTTCTTATTGCGGTAGAAAGAGAAGATGAAACCACGTATTTCTTCTAATTATATTCACGATGCCAACTATTCCATTCTATATTTTTTTTAATGTTTAAATACTGAATTAGGAAAGCTTTGTTTCTAAAAGTACTGGAATCAAGGAAGTCAGTACTATTCCGTAAATTTCTAATGTAAGGGAGATAAATCCAATAAACTTTGGGGTTTCAGACTACTTATTCGGAAGCCGAACTGCCCGGACCGTGCTCTATCGTATGGTATGGCTGGTCACGACCATAGGTTGAACTATTGTACGAAAATCCATGCATCCGAAGTTCGCACAGAATAACGTAGCTCTAGTCTTATTAAATATAAACCATTATATTTCAGATCAAAGTTTGCTAACCTCGAGAAAAACTTATACTTCGGTAAGTAATTATTCTTTTATTATTTAACAATCGGGATTGTTGAAGCCTGAGTTCAAATTGTCAGGCTTGCACTGTTGGTACCAGCAAGGATGGGAAAGAAAGTATGTACATAAAGAACTATCATGCTTTTCGAGTCCAGTTCCTAGGGTGGCAGCCTGTGAGAAAGGCAGAGAAAGAGTGTCAAATCGTTCGGATGGTACATAAAAACAGAGACCCTATTTACTTTTTGGCATTGTCCGCAAACAAGATCATTTAGAACGCGCAGAGAAGTAACCTTTTCCTGTTTGTATTCGCCCAGTCGAACTATCGGTTGAACGTGTGACTAGTTGCTCAGATGTACATTAAGGCTCAAATGTCCTGGATTTGATAGTATATGAAAAATACACTTTTATTTGACCTTAATCATCAAGAAGGTATATTTTATCTTTCAGGGAACAATTCACCCATTCACTCCAGCTCGTTCCACTTTACATGTTTTAAAGGGAGAAATAAGTTCTGTTTTACAAATACCTGAGGTGAGGGATAATACTTTCTTTTGTACAAAATAATTGGCCACATTTTTGTCTAATGTGTGCGATTTAGGTCATAAGGTCTGTCATTGAGTCAACTGGCATGGTTTCGATTCCCAGCTTGTATGTGACAAGGAGTAGGGTCACCTGTCCAACGGTCCAACCTTATGGGTTTTTTTCAGATCTTCCTGTTTCTCCCATTACTAAAGAGCCCTGAACGCAAGTGAATTAATGGAATAAAATTGAACAATATGTTAGACCCGAATTGACCTAGTTCGAGTGGACATCAAATCCAATTTCTTTTTTTTTCTATTCTGTTGAACAAAATGTGTTTTTGATAATAATTCTTTAGTACTTGGTGCATATATCTTTATTTTGTCAACCTTAGTTAAAAATGAATGGGTTATTGAATAGAGTAATGTTGTACTGTTATAATATAGTGATATTTCTTACATAAGTAGTTACTTCCCTTAACTGTCACCCTTAGCTGAATGAATAAACGGAGAGTGCGACATCGGAGATGTTTGACGTCATATGTGGATTGTAGGTTATTGTAAGGGTTAGGCTTGGTCCAGAGTTAGGGTTAGCCCTGTTTACATCTCAAGACTGTGACGAAATCTGCAGGTCCCAACCCTTGCCCTAACCCACAATCCACCCATGACGTCATATGTGCTAAAATGTGCAGGACTGTCTCCAACAATAGTTAATGATTGTGATTAATGTATCTTTAAATAGTGTAAAAATCTTGTTGTTTTAGGCCTATAGGGAGAAGTAGTTTTAGGCAGTCCGAGTGCTAAACCTTACGAAATGTAGGAAACTTGTCTTTAGCACATGAATTGTCTCATGTTTGCAATGTGATGAGGCTAGTAAGCTATGGCGACTTCGAACTGAATTTTGCTCAATATATTTGATTTTTCACGGCATAGGAAATATAATAAAGGTATTGTTTTATGAATTTAACAAAATGGCGCTACCTAGATTAAGAGGGGGGTTGGATGGTTGAATGGTTAGCACGTGCACGCTGTATCTAAGACCTGTCATTGAGTCAACTGGCGTGGTTTCGAATCCCCGGTTGTACGTGACAATGAGTGGGGTCGCCTGTCCAACCTCGTGGGTTTTCTCCGGGTCCTCCGGTTTTCTCCCACTGCTAAAGACCCCTACGCGCAAGCGAATTATTGAAATGAAATTAAAAACCATATGTTTGTCCCGAAATGACCTAGTTTGTGTCGGGTGGACGTTAAACCCCATTTCTCTCTCTCTCTCACCTAGATTAAGATCCTTGATATTTTCACATCATGGGAAATATAATAAAATATTTTATTTTATAAATTGTACAAATGAAGATATCTAGAGTAAAATCTTTTATATTTTCAGGCCAAGAAGATTTGTTTATTTTTAATATTTAATATAATAAGTTCAATAATACTGTTGCTATGGTGTCATACAACAAACAGTATGGGTAAGATATTTAAATTCAATAATAGGTTTTATTTAACAATGGGACTAAAGCACACTTATCTTTTGTTAAGCATAGGGGATGCCCCTTACCCTCAGGTGGGAGAGGGGGGTGACTCCTGGCCCAAGGGCCCTAAAATTATTGTGCCAAATATCTATCTACCATACAAATTGAATTTGTGTGGGTATGACGGACAATAACCAGAATATTTGGCCCCTTTTCACTTTGGTGCCAGAGCCCAAGTAAAATTAGTTTGTGGCCCAATGCAAGCTTAATCTGACTGTGCCTCCACCTTTCATCTAAGTCATACCTAGACGTATCTCGTACAGACCCTCAAATAAACAATACAGTAGACATCACTTATAAACATTCCATGGACACAGTTTTAATAGATCTCTTACATTTAAGTTTGATATACCCCCCATTCATTGAAGTCAAACCAGTGTCATATCATCCAGAGTTTGAATTATGTAAAGAGTGTCACTTACGTCCATCCAGTCAGATCTATTCACATTTGGTGGGATTGGGGTCAATTTGTCTTAATGCATCCGCTTTAGATCCTATGATCTGCCATTGACTTAAAGCTACGTTCCCAGAAAAGCATTTATCGGGTGGTTATTTCCAATAAAAGTATGGCAATATTGGTATATATGAAAGTAGAAATATCCAATTTTACTAGAAAAATAATGGATCCCCTGAAAAACACTCATGGAGCGCATACAGGACAAAAATGTAAGGGTTTCTCTAATCGGCACCCCAACGATTAGGAGTGTCTGCACGCGTGACGTCGAAGGTTGCACGCAGAGATTGAGCACTTGATGTACATTTTGATAAACTTTATAAAGAATTAGACATACAACACTTTCTGAGATAAAAATCACGGAAAAAGACGCGGGCAGTGGATAATCCGAAAATTTAATTAGGCTTCGATATTTGCAATAAATATTCAGTGATTAAAGACAACATTGTCTTGTGTATGCAATGAATTCTCCTCCCACTTCACTTGCGTTGCTAGGTACCGAGAGAGATAAGTCAGTGATACAAATATGACCTCTTTTGATAGATTTTTTATAGCCAGGGTATTCCCCAACAATTGCAATGTTTTGAGAAGGATTTGAAGCAAAATTATGATAAATTAATTAGTTTGAATATGTTTTTAGTCCAAATATATCATCAAATCACCCAATTTTTACCCGGGAATGTATCTATAAGTGCCGTGGCTTTGACCCCACACTTGTACCTGACAAGGAATTTGATCCCCTACCTAACTTTGTGGGTTTTGTCCTGGACTTCTGGGTTCCTCGCACAGCTGATACAAAGACCTGTAAGCGAATTATTGAAATAGAATGGAACCATATGTTAGTCCCAAATGACCTAGTTTGTGTCGAGTGAGCGTTAAGCCCCATTTCTCTGTCTGTGTATGATATTTATATTTTGTTCCCTGTGAATGGTTAAAGTCCCAATGCACTATTTTAAGAATTAGGAATGACTTACATCCTAAAATATTATGACAGATGAATTTCTAATATTGTAAAGGTGAGATCCCTAAAAGGAATCACAATCCAAGTATGGTTCTATTCCTTTCAGTTCTTACAAAGATATGTGGAATTGAAATTTCATCAGTCTTTGCTGCTTCGCTATGTAATCAGTCTTGACTCCATTTTGTTGTCCGCGAAAATTTATTGGTAGGCCTGTTTTAATTCCAATTGAATCCAAGCTGGACCATTATCTTGATTTTGTTTTCTTAATTAAATGTTCAATAATCGATCTGAGTACATGGATTAAGCCGTGAGAAATTTGATTTTTTAGCGAAAAATCCAAATGGTGTATCGTTACTTTAAGATTAAATAATAATATACTATTATTTATTTCAGCTTTAACAGCTTATACTTATCTCACTATCTTCGACATATTCAGGTGAGACAAATACACATATATTCATCATTTAGTAACTTGATTCTATGGTAGGGTGCATCACACAGCGTAAATTGGCTCTATTGAAATTGAAAGTTGTACACGTCACAGCGAATGTGCGCGCTTCAGTGTCTAGCCTCGAACTGATTTCTGGTAAGGAACGCAGTGCGTATTGTGACTTGTCCGTAGATTTGTTTTGTGTAAATTTTGTGTGGTGCAGTCCCCCCCCCCCTTTGCCGTGCACGTAAAAGAACCCTTGGCAGTTGGAATTCGATATAAGAGTAGGCCGTAGCGCCGCTGCCAGGCAAAATTTCCCTCATAGCACACTGTATGGTGTATGCCCGTTTTCAATTAGCCCAGATTAGGTTCAGAAGAGTAGGACGTTAAACCCCATTTCATTTCATTTCATTTTATGTGTATGTTTATATTTTCTCAACTCATAGGGGGTTGGATGGCCGAATGGTTAGCATGTGCGCACTGTATCATAAGGTCTGTCATTGAGTCAAATGGCATGACTTAGATTCCCCGGTTGTACGTGACAAGGAGTAGGGTCACCTGTCCAACCTTGTGGGTTTTCTCCAGGTCCTCCGGTTTCCTCCCACTGCTAAAGACCTCTACGTGCAAGCAAATTATTGAAATAAAATTGAACCATGTGTTAGTCCCGAAATGGCCTAGTTTGTGTCGAGTGGACGTTAAACTCTCTCTCTCTCTCTCTCTCTCTCTGGGGGGTTGGATGGCTGAATGGTTAGCGTGTGCGCGCTGTATCATAAAGTCTGTCACTGAGTTGACTGGCGTGGTTTCGAATCCCCGGTTGTACATGACAAGGAGTAGGGTTGCCTGTCCAACCTCGTGGGTTGTATGTGACAAGGAGTAGGGTCGCCTGTCCAACCTCGTGGGTTTTCTCCGGGTCCTCCGGTTTCCTCCCACTGCTAAAGACCCCTACGCACAGACGAATTATTGAAATAAAATTTAACCATGTGTTAGTCCCGAAATGGCCTAGTTTGTGTCGAGTGGACGTTAAACTCTCTCTCTCTCTCTCTCTCTCTCTCTCTGGGGGGTTGGATGGCTGAATGGTTAGCGTGTGCGCGCTGTATCATAAAGTCTGTCACTGAGTTGACTGGCGTGGTTTCGAATCCCCGGTTGTACATGACAAGGAGTAGGGTTGCCTGTCCAACCTCGTGGGTTTTCTTCGGGTCCTCCGGTTTCCTCCCACTGCTAAAGACCCCTATGCACAAGCGAATTATTGAAATAAAATTAAACCCATAATCATTTCTATGACACCATTTTTATTTTTCAGCATTCTAACATGCTTACTCAGTATTTGGGTTCAAATACAGAAACCTACTCCAGCATTCTCTTTCGGGCAAGTAATCAATTAATTATATAATTAACAATTAAAACCTCTGATTGGCATTTGCATTTATCGGGCGATATGCAATTTTTCACGGCTTAATCCACGCTAAATTGTGAATATTTAACATTTACTCAAGAGTATATAGTCTCTTGGTGTGGATTCAGTTGTTTTAAAATGATTTTAGCTAAACTTGCAGCTAAGTGGGTAAGACGCTGGCTCGCTAGCTTGGAGGTCGGGTGTTAGATCCCTGCATTGGCCGAGAAAGTCCATCCAGATTTTCCGACGTGGTTTCCCCTTGTCAGTGGTGCAGAACGGAGGGCCTGACAAGGACAGCTGTCTAGTCCTTCGGATGATACGAAAAATCAAGGTCCCGTGTACATGTTGTCATGCACGTAAAAAATCCCTTGGCAGTTGGAATTCGATATAAGAGTAGGCTGTAGCACCGCTGCCCGGGCAAAATTTCCCGCATAGCACACTGTATGGCATATGCCCGTCTTTATTAGCCTAGTTCGGAGCAGAACAGTAGGACGTTAAACCCCATTTCATTTCTAAACTTGCAGGTGGCACTGGCTTGTTGTATCGTCTGCAGGAGGATTGGGTGGCCGAATGGTCATAAGGTCTGTAATTGAGTCAAGTGGCGTGGCTTCTATTCCCCGGTTGTACGTGACAAGGAGTAGGGTCACCTGTCAAACCTCATGGTTTTTCTCCGGTTCCTCCGCTTTCCTCCCGCTTTGTCGGTTCACTAAATTGTAGGGTCAAATTGTTATTTTTGTGGATATTTTTAGTTTGAAATGTTAACTGTTTTTATTTTTAGGTATGAGAGATTTGAAGTGTTAGCTGTTTTTGCCAGTACCATGTTAGCACAACTTGGGTCATTCTTTATTTTAAAAGAAAGGTGAGTCACATGGATGTTGGATTATTTTGTAACAAACCCTGACAAATTGCGTGACAAACAAGGCTATCAACACAGATACAATGTAAACAATACTATTTGGCGACGAACATACTTTCACCGTTTTTAATACCTTAAATCACTGTCCAAAGTTTTAGGTAAGAACCCAATTAAACGAAGGACTGTCATGTTGCGGTACTAACGAGAGATTTGATTGAACGGGAAGAACAGACACACTCCCTCAAAAGCTCAAGTATCAGAAGACAATCCAGCCATGGCCAGAGAGGGATTTCTCGGGTCATTGCTTCAGGAATATAGGCAAATAGTGGATTTTGTTGTGTGTATTGGAATGTATCGTCTGTAGAATATTAAAGATTTGAAATCTTTGATCGTATAATAAACACAGAATCGTCAATGGTTACTTGAGCTTGCCCCCATACGATGAAGACAACTGAATATGTCCCAGTATAGTAGACTTTCAACAAATGATTATTAAAACATGTTGTTGTGAGGTATCTAAGCCGTTACATATAGGTATATTCATGGACTACCTTTGGTTATGTAAGACATACAAAGTCATCATCCCTCTTTAAAGGAACATTAGATAAAGAGCTGACAGTTCTCAGTATAATAATTAACAAATAGATGTCTTAAAGAGAATATGCTGAAAATTTCAGTCAAATTGATCCACTCTGAACCGAGATAATAGCGATTGAATTTTAGGCCTAGCCTTGATCATCATTACTAAAGTTTGTACGTTAAATAACAAAGTCTTGATTATCTATTTTGATGTTAAATCATCTATCACAAAATGTATTTAAATCAAGTAAATGGCATCGACTGTTGATTATATGGAGAGCATATCTACAAAAATCTATATTATATTTTTATACAATAGTATAATTTCTTTGAACAGCCAAATCATTAGGGCTCTCACAACAAATCGTTTCAGCGGCCGCTGATGGAATTAGGTCATTCAGATGGTACAAAAAAAAATGAGGTCCTGTGTACACATTAGCATGCACATAAAAGATCCCTTGGCAGTTGGAATTCGATATAATAGTAGGCCCTAGTGCCACTGCATGGGCAAAATTTCCCTCATAGCACACTGTATGGCGTATGCCGTCTTTATTAGCCTAGTATAGGAGAACAGTAGGACGTTAAACCCATTTCATTTCTGTTAATTTATGTGACAGGTCAAATTTTATTTCTTTTATTTTATCAGTGTGGAAGCTCTTTTACAACAGCCTGAAATTCACACGTGAGTACACAAAGTTTTTTGGTCGATTTTATTATAAAATTCTGAATATTTTCAATATCCATGCCGACAATCATCTGTCTGTCCTTCCGACCTTTTGTTGACTATTGTCGTTAATTCTCTAAATGTCAGAATTAAGATCAAAATTTGCTTTAATTAAATGGAAGAGACTGGTTGATTTTCCCTGGATAACAAAAATAACTTGTCACTGCATTTCCAAAACTCAGATTTTTGTCAAAATCACATTTAACCTTTTGAAATCTCGATATCCAATCAGATTAAAATACAGATCTATATTTCGTTTCGTTTTTTTTATACTTTCGATGGCCTAAACTAAATGAAGATCTGACAAGTTGTACGGGAAGGTCGTGTCAGGGGTTGTACGAGCGGCTTTTGAACCTATGATGTCCAACATTGATTAATCAATCAGCGTTGATGTTTCTAGTGGTTTACCGTGAATGGCATGGCAAAAACAAATCGTAACAGACAGTTTCATTTGTTAATCTCTCACATCAACGAGAACGTGGGTTATATAACAACTCTTCCAGATCTCCTAGTGTAGTAAAGACAAGTAAAATAAAATTTTGAACTATAAAAAATGAAATGAAACAGGATCTGTTTTAATCAGATTGACTAGATATCCTAATACATATTCATAAATCTTGTCCAATTAGAAATGCTTATTTAAAGCATGTGACTATTTCTCGTATATCGATTGGTTTCCTAAATTTTATATTTTTAGCGGAAGATTATTAGTGGGTGGAGTATTTGCGTGTAGCGTCCATCTTGTTGTAACGTTTGGTGTAAAGAACCGAGCCATGAACCATATAGTAGCTGCATCTAGTTCCAGTTGGTTACAAGAACACATGTCCGATATGAGTGAAAGGTATTTATATTTTATCTCGAGGTTGACATGAAGAATGTGTCTAGTTTTTCGGATGGGACAAAATGATAAGGTCCAGTGTACAATTTATAATCCTTTAGTGACATTAAACACAATAAAATAAACAGGGTTTAACGTCCTACTGTTCTGCTCCCAACTGGGCTAATTAAGACGGGCGTACGCCATACAGTGTGCTATGATGGAAATGTTGCCATGGCAGTGGCACTATGGCCTACTCTTATTTCGAATTCCAACTACCAAGGGATCTTTTACGTGCACACTATTGTATAAATGGCACCTCGTTTTTTAGTCTCATCCGAATGACTAGACAGCTGTCCTTGTCAGGCATTTCTTCCTGCACCACTGACAAGGGGAAAACAACATCGGAAAATCCCTGTGAACTTTCTCGGCGAGTGCAGGGATCGAACACGTGACCTCCAGGCTAGCGAGCTAGCGTCTTACCCACTTAGCCACTGTGGCTCCCCGAGCACAATAAAAGCACAACGATCATTTCTATGGAATACAATCACTGGTTTATTATACATATAGCGCTACTTTTTGTTTTCATGCACTAACCTGTAGTGATTGTAGTCTACATAATATAAAACACAACAAACATTTACAAATCATCAATTTATTAAAACATATCGAGCACATTTTTCCATTTAATTGGTTTTGTGTTTTTAGAGTACAAGATTCCCCGGTTGTATGTGACAAGGAGTAGAATCGCCTGTCCAACCTCGTGGGTTTTCTCTGGGTCCTCCGGTTTCCTCCAACTGCTAAAGACCCCTACACACAAGCGAATTATTGAAATAAAATTAAAACCATGTTAATCCTGAAATAACCTAGTTTGTGTCGAGTGGACGTTAAACCCCATTTCTCTCTCTCTCTGATTAGAAAATTATTTTTGCATCTACTGGGGATGGATGACAGTTCCCCTTTATATCATTGATAAACTGTATGTATAAAATTTGATTTTAGAATTCCCCTTTAAACTGTTGGTATCATTAGGATGATGGCTTGCTAAACAGGACCTCTCGTTTTGGCCGAAAAAAGTTCCTTAGTATGGTTCCCCTTGACTGTAGTGCAGTACAGAGGGCCTGGCAAAGACAGTGTCCAGTTGTTCGGATGGGACAAAAACCTGAGACCCAATGTCCGAGCAAAATCTGATTCCAAAAATAGGATGCTGGCTTGCTAACCATGACGCTTCATTCTGGCCGAGAATGTTCCTTGGAATTTTCTGGTATGGTTCCGCTTGACTGTAGTGCAGTACAGAGGTCCTGGCAGGGACAATGTCTAGTTGTTCGGATGGGACAAAAAAACGAGGCCAAATGTCAGAGCAAGATTTCACCCTTAGCACACTATATGGCATAAGCCTGTCTTCATTAACCGAGTCGGTGCAGAACAGTAGGACTATACGCATCTCATTTCTATCAAGACTTTCCGACGTGGTTTCCCCTTGTCAGTGGTGCAGAACGAAGGGCCTGACAAGGACAGCTGTCTAGTCCTTCTGATGATACGAAAAACCGAGGTCACATGTATATATTGGAATGCACATAAGATCACCTGGCAGATGGAATTCGATATAAGAGTAGGCAATAGTGCTGCTGTCCGGACAAAATTTCCCTCATAGCACACTGTATGGCGTATGCCCGTCTTCATTAGCCCAGTATAGGAGAAGAACAGTAGGGCGTTAAGCCCCATTTCATTTCATTTCTATCAAGACTATGGCAGTTCTCCTTTAAATCATTGATAAACTGAATATATAATATTGTTTTACTTATATTGTAAATAAACTAGATATTATGTAGCTTATATTCCAATTTATGTAGCATGTGACAATAGCCACAGTACCAAAAGGGTATCGGTTTACGAATTTGCATCTAATTAATGGATTAATGAATGATTTACAAGGCTGGCCTATGACAGCTAGTGAAAGGAAGCTTGTAATATTATTTATGATGTCATCACATTTGCCGGTTTCTTATAATTTATGGGGGATTGGGTGTCATAATGGCTGTCATTGAGTTATGTGGTGTGGTTTTGACTCCCCTCATACTTGACAACGGTAGAGTCGCCTGTCCAACCTCATGGGTTTTCTCCAGGTCCTCTGGTTTCTTCCAATTGCTGCTTATACACCTACAAAATTGGAAATAAAATTGAACCATATCTCTCTCTCTCTCTCTCTCTCTCTCTCTCTCTCTCTCTTTGTTTATCTGTTTATAAAGAATGTGACCATATCAGATGTCAAATTATTAAGATGATATTCCACGCATAAAATTAATTTTAATGGGAATGTATGAAATATGTGATATTAAATTATAAACAAATTATACAGACAATGTTAATGAAGGCTATATGATATGTCAGATTAGTCATTGAGAGTGGGGTTGGATGGCCGAATGGTTAGCGTGTGCACGCTGTATCATAAGGTCTGTCATTGAGTCAACTGGAGTGGTTTTGATTTACCGGTTGTACATGACAAGGAGTAGGGTCGCCTGTCTAACCTTGTGGGTTTTCTCCCGGTCCTCCGGTTTTCTCCCACTGCTAATGACCCCTACATGCTAGCGAATTATTGAAATAAAATTGAACCTTATGTTAGTCCCAAAATGACCTAATTTGTGTCAAGTGGACGTTAGACCCTATTTCCCTATTTCTCTGTTCTACAAACTTTCCCCAGATTTTCCACAGTTACCCTGTGTCAGAAAGGCCTGGCGGTTACCCTGTGTCAGAAGGGCCTAGTGGTTACCCTGTGTCAGAAGGGCCTGGTGGTTACCCTGTGTCAGAAGGACCTGGTTGTTGCCCTGTGTCAGGAGGGCCTGGTGATTACCCTGTGTGACTAATCATTCCAATGGGACAAAAAACACAGGTCCTTTGTACATGTAGGCATGCACGGACAAAAATCTTGGAAGTCGAAGCAAAAGCATAGGACGTAGTGCTGCTGCCTGGGCAAAATTTCACACATAAAACACTGTATGCCGTATGCCCGTCTTCATTTTCCTGATTTGTTGAGAAAATAGGAGAGAGAGAGAGAGAGAGAGAAATGGGGTTTAACGTCCACTCGACACAAACTAGGTCATTTCGGGACTAACATATGGTTTAATTTTATTTCAATAATTCGCTTGCATGTAGGGGTTTTAGCAGTGGGAGGTAACCGGAGGACCCGGAGAAAACCCATGAGGTTGGACAGGCGACCCTACTCCTTGTCACGTACAACCGGGGATTCGAAACCAGAGAAAATAGGAGATTAAACCTAATTTCATTTCAATAAAAGGGAAAAACCCATCATAATTTCAGCATTATATTCTATTAAATATATGATATATTATGATATATTTCAGTTTATGCAGTGTTGTACCAGGACTCCGGAAACTTTTATTACCCAGAATTAACCCGTTTGTTTTAATAGCCCTGACTGGGGGTGTGTCATTATTCGTTACTTATATACTAATAGATACAAAGTAAGTCATATTATTATTTATACGGGTGGGGGGGTTGGATGGCCGAATGGTTAGCATGTCCGCGCTGCATCATAAGGTCGTATCCCCAGTTGTACGTGACAAGGGAGTAGGGTCGCCTGTCCAACCTCGTGGGTTTTCTCAGTGGTGATCCTATCAGGTCATATTATTATTTATTCGGGTGGGGGGGTTGGATGGCCGAATGGTTAGCATGTCCGCGCAACATCATATGGTCGAATCCCCAGTTGCACGTGACAAGGGAGTAGGGTCGCCTCTCCAACCTCGTGGGTTTTCTCGGTGGTGATCCTATCAGGTCTTATCATATATTGAGGTCATTCGTAGCATAAACTTGATTGCATCGAATCGTGGACTCAGTAGGGACAAAATGAAATGAAATGGAGTTTAACGTCCTACTTTTCTGCTCCTAACCTGGGCTAATGAAGACGGGCATACGCCATACAGTGTGCTATGAGGGAAATTTTCCCCGGACAGCGGCACTACGGCCTACTCTTATATCGAATTCCAACTGCCAAGGGATCTTTTACGTGCACGCCAATGTGTACACGGGACCTCGGTTTTTCGTCCCATCCGAACGACTACTCAATAGGGACAATCATATCGCAATGCATCACACGGCAGTGGGAACCTAGCATTAATCTTGCTTCTAATTTGAGGGGGGGGGGGTGGCCGAATGGTTAGCACGTGCGTGCCGTATCATAATATCTGTCATTGAGTCAACTGGTGTGGTTTTGAATCCCCGGTTGTATGTGACAAGGAGTAGGGTCGTCTGTCCAACCTCGTGGGTTTTCTCCAGGTCCTCTGGTTTCCCCCCCACTGCTAAAGACCCCTACGCGCAAGCGAATTATTTAAATAAAATTAAACCATATATTAGTCCCGAAATGACCTAGTTTGTGTTGAGTGGATGTTAAACCCCATCTCTCTCTCTCTCTCTCTTTCTCTCTCTCTCATTTGAGGTAAAATATTCAGACATTCTGTAGGTGTTTACTTGCTTTAACCTGAATTTTAGGATTTCTTTGATCCATTGTTATCTGGTTTTCTCCGGATCCATCGGTTTCCTCCCATTGCTAAAGACCTCTACATACAAGCGAATTATTGAAATAAAATTGAGCCATGTGTTAGTCCCGAAATGACCTCTCTCCATTGTTATCTATCAGTATTTGTTTTATTTTAAAGTCATAAAACATGATGCAGTGTATTTATTTGCTATTTTATTATTTAAGATTATATTATTCTGCCGACACGTGGGCGGCTGTTGGAATAGCCATCATGATGTTTGGTACCATGGCTCCTATGAGCATATACACAGCTAAAATACTCTTACAGGTAATTATTGGTCTATCATGTGAAAGTTTAATATTTGACCAGAAATTTGTTTTAGCTATTCTTTAAACATGCATTATATAAGAGCTAAGTATGTCTTTTGTAAGTCTTCATTGTTTTTATTGATACCTTTAATACATGTCTGGAAGTTCAAAATATAAGGGGGGGGGTGGATGGCTGAATGGTTAGCGTGCGCGCGCTGTATCATACAGTCTGTCATTGAGTCAACTGGTGTGGTTTCAAATCCCCGGTTGTACGTGGCAAGGAGTAGGGTCGCCTGTCCAACCTCGTGGGTTTTCTCCGGGTCCTCCGGTTTCCTCCCACTGCTAAAGACCTCTACGCGAAAGCGAATTATGTAAATAAAATTAAACCATATGTTAGTCCCAAAATGACCTAGTTTGTGTCGAGTGGACGTTAAACCCCATTTCTCTCTCTCTCTCAAAATATAAGGGAGCCAAGGGGTTAAGACGCTGACTCGCTAGACTGAAGGTCGTGGGTTTGCTCCACGTGTTGGCTGGGAAAGTTCATCTTGATTTTTTGGCGTGGTTTCCCCTTGTCAGAGTGGTGCAGAACGGAGGGCCTGACAAGGACAGCAGTCTATTCGTTTGGGTGGGACAAAAAAACGAGGTCCTGTGTACACATAGGCGTGCAAGTAAAAGATCCTTTGGCAGTTGGAATTCGATATAAGAGTAAGCCATGGTGCGGCTGTCCGAGAACAATTTCCCTCATAGCACACTGTATGGCGTGTGCACATCTTCATTAGCCCAGTTGGAGCAGAACAGTAGGATGTTAACATTTTATTGGCTGGCAACCTATCTTTATGTATAGATTTAGAAGTTAAATAAATGCTATATATATATTTTGTAGACTATACCGTCTCCTATACTGGGTTAACTTTTTGTTGGCTGGCAGCCTATCTTTATGTATAGATCTGTTGGCTGGCAACCTATCTGTATGTATAGATTTAGAAGTTAATTAAATGTTTAATACATGTATATATTTTGTAGACAACACCGTCTCATATACTGGGTCAACTTGATAAAGTTTTACGAGAAGCTTCAACATTAGATGGTGTTTTAGAATTTCGTCAGGAACATTTCTGGACTTTGTCTTTTGGTACCTTGGTAAGTCTCCTCCATGTTTGTGGCTGATCCAGATGTCGTTTTTACATTTTCTGTGATTCTTGTTGTACCTGACAAGGGTTACTTACTATAGCCCTGACCGGGGTAATATCTATAGTCCTGACAAGGGTACACGAGTTCCCGTGTATATATTGGAATGCATGCAAAAGATCCCCTGGCAGTTGAAATTCGATATAAGAGTAGGCGATAGTGCCGCTGCCCGGGCAAAATTTCCCTCATAGCACACTGTATGGCGTATGCCTGTCTTCATTAGCCCAGTTTAGGCGCAGAACAGTAGGACGTTAAACCCCATTTCATTTCATTTCATTTCCTTACAAGGGTAACAACTATAGTCCTGACATGGTTAAAACCTTCGACCTGACAAAGAAAAGCTTTGTAGTTTTGTGGATTATCGAGAATAACAAAAACCCTTTATTCTAGTTCATATGGGGGATTGGGTGACTGATTCCTGTGCCGGTTTAACACAAGTAATCATTTAACTCAGCCGTTGTGCTTTTCGATCCCATGTTTATACATGACAAGGAATACAGTTACCTGAGTACCCCCATGAACTCGCAAATTACTAATATCACCCAATCTGATTAAAACACAGATCCTATTTCGTTTTGTTTTTTATCTACACTAGGATCTGGAAGAGTTGTTATATTACCAGCGTTTTGGTTGAAGTGAGGGATAAGCCAATGAAACAGTCTTCTTCTTGGCGTGCCATGCACGGAACTGTGGGTAAACCACTAGAAACGCCAAGCTGATTGATTAATCGATGTTCTAGGGTCAAAAGCCACTCGTACGACTCCTGACACGACCTTCGAGTACAACTTGTCAGATCTTCATGTAGTGTAGGCCATCAAAAGTTTAAAAAAAACGAAACGAAATATAGATCTGTATTTTAATCAATATGTGCCGGAGAATCAACCTATCCATCTATCCTGCTATTATTGTATCCATCAATTTATTGTCATTTATTTCTCTACAGGCTGGTTCTGTACAAGTTCGTGTGAGAAGAGATGCAGACGAACAACTCGTGTTAGCTCATGTTTATAGTAGACTTTCAAACTTAGTTTCATTATTAACGATACAAATATTTAAAGATGATTGGACCAGATCTACCGGATACAGTATGATGTCATCGGCACCGTTTATACCCGCAGCGACATCCCACGGTCAAGATCGCGCCAATTCTCCACCACTGCCACCATTTATTCCATATCAAGGTCAAGGTGTTCAAGCTCCAATGACTAGTGCCGTTGATATTAATAGAATATTGTCTAGTCAAGCTCCGTACAGTCAAACTGGTAGAATAAACATTAACCCTTCTAACCAATATTCATATATGGGCGGAGCAAGTTAATCTCAAAACTCGAGTGACTCCAAAGAAACCAATGCAATTTGGTTCAATCATATATTAGACAACATCATACTCAAATTCGGCCGAAGTCTGCCGAAAGGACGTAATTCACATAATTCAATATGGCAGTCTCAAGGAAGTTTCTGAGAGTGATATCTTTAACTAGTGCGTTTCTGTGGTGGGACAATAAATAGATTTTTATAAAAATCCTGCAATACAAAGTGGTAATCGAGGTGAAATGTTCCGAAATAACAAATTTGACCAAACCAATTTTAACAAAAATTATTTTTCACATAGTACCTGTTATTTTTTCAAAATGGCTGCCAAATTTGGTAATAACATGTCGGCGTATATAACCAATCACTATCTCGTAAGATATGACTTTTACTATGTCTTTTATATGGTTTTATATGAAATTTGAAAATCCAACATGGTAAAAATTCAAAATGGCTGCCAAAATGGAATCCACCTTGAACTCAGCAACCTCAAAACCCTTACGATTAAATACAATTCTGCCATTTTGGATTTCATTTTGAATTTTTGCGGTCATGGATTCCCGAAATTGATTTTTGAGATCAGAAGTGAACCCAGCGAGATAGACATCCACATAAATGACATAAATCCGCCATTTTTGAATCCATTTTGAATTGCCGCCATGTTGGATTTTCGAAATTTATCTTTAAATTCAGAGACATAGAAAACTATATAAAAGACATAGTAAAAGTCATACCTTACGATATGGAGGAAATACTATTTTATTACGATTAATTAAAATTCCGCCATTTTGGAATTCATTTTGGCGGCAATTTGGAATTTCTACCCTCATTGATTCTCTAAATTCGTATTACAAGTCATATCCAACAGGAATAAACCACGATCAACTTAAAATCCGTCATTTTGGCTGCCATTTTGAATTGCTACCCAGATCATGGATTTTTGAAATTATCTTTAAATTCAGAGACATCGAAAACCATATAAAAGACACGGTAAAAGTCACAGGTTTTTTTTTTTGTATTTTTTTCGGCACATTTCACCTCTATAACTACTTTTTGTTTGAAGAATTTAAAACAAAAATAGTTATTCTCCCACCACTAAAACACACTGGTTACGAAATATCGCTCTCCGAAAATTCCTGAAGACCGTCATATTGACTAATGTTGTCTGACATGTGTATAATTTAACAAACTGCATTGGTTTCTTTTGCAATTTGTTTTGGGTAAAACATTATCCCTCATCCGCTAGGGGGGTTGAATGGCCGAATGGTTAGCGCGTGCGCGCTGTATCATAAGGTCTGTCATTGAATCACCTGACGTGGTTTCGATTCCCCTTTTGTATGTCACAAGGGGTAGGGTCGCCTGTCGAACCTCGCGGGTTTTCTCCGGTGTCCCTCATTTACTCCCACTGCTAAAGACCCCTACGCACAATCGAATTATTGAAATAAAATTGAACTGGGCTTTTGATAGAGCGATGTCATGTTGTTAAGGGGGCGTAGCTATCTTTGTTGGATTGTTTTATTGTTGCGTCATTCACTTTTAGCATTGTACAAATCCCAGGATAAAATGAGAATAAAATGTAAAAACAGGCCCCCGAGTTCACAAAGCATTCTCAGACTTAAGTTAAGAATTTACTCAACTTTCAATCAGTGTTTATGATAGATATCTTTGATCTAGAAACACAAAACGTTGCATATAGTTTCTTATTGATGTATTTGATACATTAAAACAACAAAAGTTTTATAAAGGGCTATATTTTAGTTAAAATAAGGTGACCAAGTTTGAGTAAATTGAGAATCCTTTGTGAACTCGAGGTCAGATTGTATTTTACCAGCAGGTTCTTGTGAACTGTAATGGGTGTAAAATGAAGAAGACATTTTTCGTCTTAATAATAGAAATAAGATGAAACAGAATTAAAATTTACATTGAACAAATAAAGAAGTTGGATTATACATTGTCTTAATTTAGAAATTACATGAATAGAAGTAAGAAATTACATGAATAGAAGTTAGAAATTGGGTGATAGCATGTTAGAGTTTTGAATCGAATATACCGTCATATGTTTTGCCCTTAAAGTAGCTAAGTCTCTAACTCAATATCATCCAAAGTCTTCGACATTGAAAACACGAATTATTTGTCAATTTAAATCAACATTGATGTTGTGATCTTATCGGAAAAAAAATGGGCATCTGATATCCAATATTTAAGACAAAATAAACAGTTTACCATTGGTACACGAATCGTGTACCATAGTGCGTTTCAGCGCCATTTGTAACAAGGGACTCGAAGAACGAGGCTAGACATATTCCACAAGTCATGTCAAACGGTAATGCCTTATTCTTTATCTGGAGAGCATGCAAAATAAATAGGCTACTATCGGTGTAGACCGGAATAACCAGACGCTAGAGATTGCCATTTGATTGAGACTGCTGGCGTATTTCCCCCAACATAACTACTTAGAAATTATATAAAAACAGAAACGATTGAATGTAAATCAGTTTATATACATTCATATTGCATTATTATACGCGTTGCGACCCATTTGTGTCAATTTCTAGGTCCAAATATTAGCGATTTAGCTCCTTCAATATAGTTATTGTTCGATTTTTATCAAATTTTCTCCATTTGATACTAAATGTAAATATCTATTACAACAAATTAATTAACCTAATTCTCTGCCACATTTTTCCAATGAAGATTTGACTGTAGAAAAAATAGTGTTAAAATTATAGCAAATTAATTAACCTCATTCTCTGCCACAAATGATATCATTATTTCCAATGAACATTTCAATACAATAGAAAGTGACTGTAGAAATGAAATGAAATGAAATGAAATGAAATGAAATGGGGTTTAACGTCCTACTGTTCTGCTCCTATGCAGGGCTAATGAAGATGGGCATACGCCATACAGTGTGCTATGAGGCAAATTTTGCCTGGGCAGCGGCGCTACGGCCTACTCTTATATCAAATTCCAACTGCCAAAGGATCTTTTATGTGCACGCCAATGTGTACACAAGTCCTCGGTTTTTCATCCCATCCGAACGACTAGACAGCTGTCCTTGTCAGCCTCAATCAAAAGCAGAGTTGTTATGTTCCAAAGTCTTGACCAATCAAATTGCTTATCTCTCCTTAGCCTTAGTCTGCCTTAGTCAAGGTAATGATATAATGAATCTATTCTCAGGCGTTTCATCACTCTCACTTAATTATAACAAAAGTTATCAGCCCATAAGCCAATCAGATTGCTTATCTCTGCTTAGCGTAAGCAGACAATGTTTATCATCGAACTAGATCAAGGGATTCACCTAATGAACACCTACACCAAGTTTGAACATTCTACCTCAATTAGAAGGAGAGTTACTGTGTTCCAAAGTCGCGGCCAATCAAATTGCTTATCGCTCTATTCACCCTGAGCAGGAAAGGGGGGGGGGGGGGCCGGGGGATTGGATGGCTGAATGGTAAGCACGTGCACGCTGTATCATGAAGTCTGTCATTGAGTCAACAGATGTGGTTTTGATTCCCAGGTTGTAGGTGACAAGGAGGGTTGGGTGGCTGAATGGTTAGCGTGAGCGGGCTGTATCATAAAGTCTGTCATTGAGTCGACTGGCATGGTTTTGAATCCCCGGTTGTACGTGGCAAGGAGTAGGGTCGCCTGTCCAACCTCGTGGGTTTTCTCCGGGTCCTCCGGTTTCCTCCCACTGCTAAAGACCCCTACGCATAAGCGAATTATGTAAATAAAATTAAACCATATGTTAGTCCCGAAATGACCTACTTTGTGTCGAGTGGAGGTTAAACCCCATTTCTCTCTCTTTCTGTAGGTGACAAGGACTAGGGTCACCTGTCCAACCTCGTGGGTTTTCTCCGGGTCCTCCCGTTTCCTCCCACTGCTAAAGACCCCTACGCGCAAGCGAATTATGGAAATAAAATTGAACCATATGTTAGTCCCGAAATGACCTAGTTTTTGTCGAGTGGAAGTTAAACCCCATTCTCTCTCTCTCTCTCTCTCTCTCTCTCTCTCTCTCTTACCCTGAGCAGAAAGTGTTTATTATCGAACTTAGTCAAGGTATTGTTGTGATAAAACTATACATGTCCCAAGTGTCCTCACTCTCACTAAATTAGAACTAAAGTTATCATGTCCCAAAGCATCAACCAATCAAATTGCTTATCTCTGCTTACCCTAAGCAGAAATTGCTCATCTTTGAACTCCATCAAGGCAGGGGCGGTTGGGGCCGGGAACCGGCCCGGGCTCTCGTGTCGGAGCGGCCCCTTTTACTGACCGCGGAGCCCGTATGGGGGTTCCGGGGGCTCTCCCCATGAAAATTTTGAAAAATAAACCCCAAATATGCGATTTGGTGGCATATCTGATTATAATCTCTGTCAAATAATATATCTCATAAATCGATTAATTTAGGCCAAAAACCCCGACCTGCAAGTAATTTAAAACCATCAACCTGTGAAATTATCATATCGTCATATTATTAATTAACGTATTATCATTGTATCGTCAAGACCAGCTATCATCAAATTTTGCCGAGGCCTTAAAATTGAATTTTTTGTGGAGTTACGAACCATCGGCAGACGTTTCTGGCGACAGTGTCGGGTGAATCCGATGAAATTTTCGGATGAAATTCGGAATCCCCATTGCAGGATTCCGAATTCCGGCCCACACCCAGCACACCCGGCCCAGAAAGTCTATTATACCAGCCCAATCCAGATTCCAGTGATGGCGTGGCGGCCCGTTAAAGCCACCGGCCACATACAACATGATCATCATCGCTCCATGGCCGGTCCAATACCCCCCCCCCCCCATATAATGTTTAGCAGAAAAGTTTTTTTTAGACGGATTGAACAAAAAAATTTTTTTTCATTTTTTGCCCGTCCCGCCCTTCGAGCTATCGCCCGATTGCCCGATGGCCCAATCCGCCCTTGCATCAAGGCATTGACCTAATAAACACCTACACAAAGTTTGAACATTCTAGCGCAATTAGGAGAGTTATTGTGTCCCAAAAAGTATGATGGACTGACAGACGGACGAACCCGTTTTAATAGTCCCCTGCTTTCTTCGAAAGACGGGGGACAATTATTAAACATACATTATGCAAGATTCAACATTAATTAACCTATCCAGACCATAATCAACTCTAGATGGCATCGCTAGCCTGCGATATTCACTGGATTTAAATCCGATCATTGACCATTAAATCAAAAAATGGATAATCGAGACTATGTTGTTGGTTTTTTGTTTATCGTATCGACACTAGTAATGATGATCGAGGCCAGGTCTAAAATTCATTCACTAAATTCTCGGCTCAGAGTGGATCAATTTGACTGAAATTTTCAGTAAATTCTCTTTACATGATCTAGTTTGTAACTATTATAGTGAGAACTGCCAGTTCTTTATCTAATCTCCCATAATGTATCTTTAAACATACATTATGCAAGAGCTAAATCTGCCTATTGCAAGTCTTTATTGATTTAATTTTAAATGGACGATTGTTTAAATCCAAACTGTATCATAGCCATCCGTGGGTCTACAGAGTTGATTTTGACCTTGTCGTGTACATAAAGGTCTAATTAATCATTCCTATAACATCTAAAGCCTAAATAAAGACTTGCAATAGGCAGATTTAGCTCTTGGATAATGTATGTTTAAATAGAAGCAGAATAAATACTTAACAAAATTCTCTAAGTATACTTAGAGTTTTCAACAAAAATCGTCGATTTACGACTTAAAATGTCGGTCAGTTACCGTTTCTGTTCTCAGTCAATGTAACCAGCAAGCGTGACGACATTCGATTGCAGAAACTCTAGACAAAGGTTTTTATATAATTTCCGCTTGTTTTGCTTCATTCCGAAAGATAATATTTTATTTTATTTTTTTTGTTTATTATCGTTTTTGCTTTGATTATAATTACATTATTCAGTAATGTAAACTCGGTCTATGATATTGGTCTAAATATGATTACTATTTTTTTTAACCTAGAAATTGCTTGAGTACAAATAGGTACCACCCTGTAAACATATATTAAACAACACCCCCCCCCCCCCCAAAAAAAAAAAAAAAAAAAAAAAAAACGTCAGTACGATAACAAAATCAGAGAGACATTTAAATCAAATCATTCTAGAAAATGACTTACTAAATGGATCAAAGCAATTTTTTGTGAATAATATGTTGACACATTAGTGCTTAATTCATCACAATTCCAAGACATTACGAGAAGGTTTAGAGTCTGTACACAATCTATACATCGGTATCTGGTGTGTCCACCGCGAGTGTCAATAACAGCAGCGCAGTGTCTGTACATGGAGTGGACCAGACGATTGATGAACGGCATTGGCATCTGGAACCACACTCTCAGAAAAGCCTGGCGCAATCCATCAGCTGTGTTTGGTCTCGGTACGACGTTATTAAGTCTCCTCTGAATTTCATCCCAAAGATGTTCAATCGGGTTTAAGTCCGGACTAAGGGCTGGCCAGGGCATAACGTTGACACCGTTCTGCTGTAGAAAACCCCGAGTAACTCTGATGGTGTGGTCACGGGCGTTGTCATTCTGGTAAACATCTCGATGACGTGAGAAATGTGGTATGACGTGGGGTCTGAGAGCTTGATCGATGTAGCGCACTGCTGTGATGCCACACCCTCTCCCTGGACCAAGATTTTGGAACACCACAGGACCCACTCTCTGGTTCAGGGCGATTCCACCCAAACCATTATGCTTGGACCTCCCCTGGTCAGGATAACGTTGGCCACTTCGACGCCATATTTTGGTCCTTCCATCTGCAGTTGATACGCAATACCGACTCTCATCTGTGAACAGAACAGTTCTCCATTGCCTGTGCCGCCAGTTCTGGTGTTGTTTGGCAAACTGTAGACGTTCACGTCGATGGCGGTCTTGTCGCCTTGTGGTAACCCTTGGTCTACCAGTTCGGGGCGATCATCCGTGGTGTTGGTGACCCGAAAGCGTTGCTGAAGCCAGTAGATGGTTCGAACAATGACCTGAAAGTGATTGGCAACAGCTTGGACGGTGTGGCCAGCGTCGAGTCTTCCAAGCGCCTGGTTCCTCTGACCTGTTGTGAGTCGTGGCATGCTGCTGACGTTGTAGTGTGAATGATTCAATCAGGTGCATTTTATAGGTCTGGTTCAGGTGAACAGCACGTGCAGCACATGAAAATCATCGAGAACACATTACCATCTCAGAAGACAGGTTGCGTTTTTGAGAACATTTCCTGGGTTCAATTCTGTGTTTGGGAAGGAGCCTTATTGCTCAGGTAAGTTTGGAGATGTGGTCACAAATATACAATAAAAACATTTAGCGAGTTTTATGCAATGCGTCTATTCAGAGTAACATACCAACTTGGCGTTTCTTTTGCTGCTTAGTATATATAAAGACATATTTCTCTAAATTATCTCCGGGGGGGGGGGGTCGATGGCCGAATTGTTAGCACGTGCGCGCTATTTCATAAGGCCTGCCATTGAGTCAACTGGCGTGGTTTTGAATCCTCGGTTGTACGTGACAAGGAGTAGGGTTGCCTGTCCAGCCTCGTGGGTTTTCTCCGTTTCCTCCGGTTTCCTTCCACTGCTAAAGACCCCTACGCGCAAGCGAATTATTGAAATAAAATTAAACCATATGTTAGTCCCGAAATGACCTAGTCTCTAGTCTGTGTCGAGTGGACGTTTTTATGCTATACATTTACAGTATTAATGAGGTAACATGGAATTACTCTAAAAGAAATTGGTAAATTAACGATAAAAGTGTAGTTTTGTAAGTTAGAACTGTATTTTTATTACATGTAACTCTGTATTGATACTGTTATAGTGTATCTTTGTACATGTTTTATTTAGTCGTTCGGATGGGACGACAAACCGAGGTCCCGTGTACACATTGGCGTGCACGTAAAAGATCTCTTGACAGTTGGAATTCGATATAAGAGTAGGCCGTAGCGCCGCTACCCGGGCAAAATTTCCCTCATATCACACTGTATGGCGTATGCCCGTCTTCATTAGCCCAGTTTAGGAGCAGAACAGTGGGACATTCAACCTCATTTCATTTTCATTTATTACTATTTAATTTTAGTCAAAATAGCAATTGACCAATGTCCGAATTGATATATCACTAATCTTTCAAGCCGTTTAACTGTTTGGTTTTAATGTAACGATATATATTACGTAATATAACACGTGTTCTTGATATGTCCATATCTTCTTCTGTATTTAAACATCTGTTTCCTATGTACAATTTAACGTTTCTGGTCAAAAATTATTGTACAATTATTTTAATTCTAAGCTTGTATATATGTTCTATATTCTACTATATAAACTTTAGTCAGGTGACCGGCTCGCACTAGCGATACCTATCTCGTTATTGTGATCGTTAACCAGTTAACCAATATCTGCAGTCAGAAAAAAAGGTTAATCTAAGCGAGAAAGTGAAATGCGTTTTAACGTCCACTCGACATAAACTAGGTCAGATTTGATAAACATAGTCGGGTTACATTCTGCGCTTATTTTCACGCGTCGCTTGAGTAATAAGAACTTACGCTTTGTTGCGCTTTTACCTTTAATTACGTATGGAGTAAATGGCATAACTCCACCCTCTCCTAATATGGCATCTACGCTTGTATTGAGCTTTACTAAACCAAGTTTGACACGGTTGGTTACGCCCCCTTTTAATTTCAACAAATCAAAATCGATTTCAGTCTTCGAATAGGAAGAGTAATAATTACTAGCCCCTTGATAAAATGTTTCAACTAAAAATACTTCCATCATTTCTGATATCTCCTTTGTTTGGAAGTGGACGTTTTAATTGGTAATAATAGTTCCAACACCTAGAGGGTCAATATGCCACGACAAGCCAGATCTAAAGTCGGAATATTGGGTATACCATTTTCAAAAGGACAGGTGAAAACATTTATTTAGATTCTTTTAGATGAAAACAAAATTCAGTTTTATATTCTTAATTTTTTAATACATATATTGTGGTTGGAATTGTTTAACGTCCAGCTTTTCTGCACCAACCCGGCTAATGAAGATGGGTGTACGCGCCATGTAATTTGTTGTGAGGGAAATGTTTCACGATGAGCGATGTTTCCGTCTAGTCTTCGTTGAAGATTAACTGTCAAGGATCTTTTACGTGCACGGGACCTCAGCTTTTTGTTTCGGGGGGTGGGGTGGCCGAATGGTTAGCACGTGCGCGCTGTATCATAAGGCCTGTCATTGAGTCAACAGGCGTAGTTTCGAATCCCCGGTTGTACGTGACAAGTAGTAGGGTTGCCTGTCCAACCTCGTTGGTTTTCTCCGGGTCTTCCGGTTTCCTCCCAAAATGGTCCAAACTTACGTACAATCTATATTCTGAATTAAAAACAGTGTTTGAAATAGAATTCGTTAAACCATTCCCTAATGTTTATGTGTTGCTTGAATGTTTAGTAGGGGGGTTGGATGGCCGAATGGTTAGCACGTGCACGCTGTATCATAAGGTCTGTCATTTATTCAACTGGCGTGGTTTCGATTCCCCGGTTGTACATGACAAGGAGTAGGGTCGCCTGTCCGTTCTCGTGTGGTTTCTCTGGGTCCTCCGGTTTCCTCTCATTGCTAAAGACCCCTACGCGCAAGCGAATTATTCAAATTATTGAAATAAAATTAAACCATATGTTAGTCCCGAAATATAATTTCAAATATAATTACACGGTAAAAAATTAATAAATTCTCTTTACACGGGGGGGGGGGGGCATGGTTTCGATTCCCTGGTTGTACGTGACAAGGAGTAGGATCGCCTGTCCAATCTCGTGGGTTTTTTCCGGGTCCTCCGGTTTCCTCCCACAGCTAACAAGCGAATTATGGAAATAAAATTGAAAAATATGAAAGCCCCGAAATGACCTAGTTTGTGTCGAGTGGACGTTAAACCCCATTTCTCTCTCTCTCTCTCTCTCTCTCTCTCAGTATGTTAGTATTTTTAACAAAAATCGTCGATTTAGGACTTTAAATATCGGTCAGTTACCGTTGTGTATGTTCTCAATGTAGCCAGCAAGCGTGACATTCGATTGCAGAAACTCTAGATGAAAGTTTTTGTATAATTTCCGCATGTTTTGCTTCATTTCAAAAGATAATATTTTATCTTATTTTTTTGTTTAGTATGGTTTTTGTTTTGATTTATAATTACATTATTACATTATTCAGTGCATTGGTCCGCGAAATGTCTTAATCCGGTCGTGGGCAAACATAAAGGCACTGAAGAGAAAGAGAAGGGTGTGTGTGAAGTAACTCCGCAGAAGTCGTATTACCGACAATAACGACATTTTTAAACGTTGTGCGAACACGTCGCGTTAAAAAAACCTCTAGTCAGAAAAAAGGTAATCTAAGAGAGAGAGAAATGGGTTTTAACGTCCACTCGACACAAACTAGGTTAGGTTTGATAAACATAGTCGGGTTACATTCTACACTCATTTTCACGCGTCGCTTGAGTAATAATAACTTAAGCTTTGTTGTGCTTTTACATTTAATTACTGTTAAAAATAAATGTAAAATTACAGTGAAAAATATGTAATTTCTTTAACATAACGCTGTCAAAATACCACTGCATGTTTTTATGCTATACATTTACAGTATTAGTGAGGTAACATGGGATTACTGTAAAAGAAATTGGTAAATTAACGATAAAAGTGTAGTTTTGCAAGTTAGAACTATATTTTTATTACACTCTGTATTGGTACTGTTATAGTGTATCTTTGTATATGTTTGATTTAGTCGTTCGAATGGGACGACAAACCGAGGTCCCGTGTACACATTGGCGTGCACGTAAAAGATCCCTTGACAGTTGGAATTCCATATGAGTAGGCCGTAGCGCCACTACCCGGGCAAAATTTCCCTCATAGCACACTGTATGGCGTATGTCCGTCTTCATTAGCCCAGTTTAGCAGCAGAACAGTAGGACATTAAACCTCATTTCATTTTCATTTCTTGCATATATTTTATTACTATTTAATTTTAGTCAAAATAGCCATTGACCAATGTCCGAATTGATATATCGCTAATCCTTCAAGCCGTTTAACTGTTGGGTTTTAATGTAACGATATATATTACGTAATTATAGTTAACACGCGTTCTTGCTATGTCGATATCTTCTTCTGTATTTAAACATCTGTTTCCTATGTACAATTTAACGTTTCTGGTCAAAAATTATTGTACAATTATTTTAATTCTAAGCTTGTATATATGTTCTATATTCTACTATATAAACTTTAGTATGGTGACCTGCTCGCACTAGCGATACCTATCTCGTTATTGTGATCGTTAATCAGTTAACCAATATCTGCAGTCAGAAAAAAAGGGTAATCTAAGCGAGAAAGTGAAATGCGTTTTAACGTCCACTCGACATAAACTAGGTCAGATTTGATAAACATAGTCGGGTTACATTCTGCACTCATTTTCACGCGTCGCTTGAGTAATAATAACTTACGCTTTGTTGTGCTTTTACCTTTAATTGCGTATGGAGTAAAACGCATAACTCCACCCTCCCCTAATATGGCATCTACTCTTGTACTGAGCTTTACTAAACCAAGTTTGACACGGTTGGTTACGCCCCCCTTTCAATTTCAGCTAATCAAAATCGATTTTAGTCTTCGAGTAGGAAGAGTAATAATTACCTTTGGACGTCAACGTCAAAACCATTTATCCGGATACGTAACCCTTTTAACATTTCGATTCAATGTTTTCGTTAGGTGACCTGGTAATCTATTGCCGTTCCTTTAAAGGTCTATACGTTATTTTGTACACTAAAGGCCTGATTTTATCCAGACACCGTATAATACAGCTTGGGACACCGGGCATGCGCAATAAATACTATCAGTGAAGACTGGAATGACCAGACGTTAGAGATTGCCATTCAATTAAGACTTCTGGCGTATTTCGCGGAACATAACTGATTAGAAATTATATAAAAACAGAAACGATTGAATGTAAATCAATTTATATACATTCATATTACATAATTATATGCGTTGGGGCTATACTATATACCAGAGAACACCGGAAAACAACCGGAAAACTACCGGAAAACACCATGTTATACTGAATACCGGAAAACACACTAAATACCGGAAAACACACTAAATACCGGAAACCACCCTAAATAGGTAACCCGGAGAAGGGCGATGCTATAAACCGGAAACTAACCCTAACCCAGGCACACAGGGGACCAGGCACCCGCTTACCTATTTAGGGTGCCAGTCTCCGGGTTACCTATTTAGTGTGTTTTCCGGTATTTAGTGTTTTTCCGGTGTTTTCCGGTATTCAGTATAAAATGGTGTTTTCCGGTTGTTTTCCGGTGTTTTCCGGTATATAGTATTGCCGTATGCGTTGTGACCCATTTGCGTCAACGTAAAAGATCCCTGGTCATTCCAGTCTTCACTGATAGTATTTATTGCGCATGCTCTCCGGATAAGAATATGAGATCACCATTTGACACGATTTGTGAAATACGTATAGCCTCGTTTTTCAAGTCCCTTGTTACAAATGGCACTGAAACGCATTATGGTACACGATTCGTGTACCAATGGTACTATGTTTATATTGTCTTAAATATTGGATATCAGAAGCCCATCCTTTCCTTGAAAAATAATTCGTGTTTTCAATGTCGAATTCATATCAAAATACAAATGATGTGTCATTTGATAATATTAAAAAATAAGCCATGACATGCATGAACTCATTGATGCAAGCAACGCCTTCGGAAGGGGCAAACATAGTCAACTCTTTAGTGGAATGTGAGCCGATTTACTGCATAACTTTCCTTCTCGATTTAACGATTAAATGGATAATCGAGACTATGCTGTTTATTGTACTGACTTTAGTAATGATGACCTTTAGCAAATTGCCTTTACATTATCTAGTGTTTAACTGTAATAGTGAGAACTGCCAACTCGGTACCGAATCTCCCATAATGTATCTTTAATTTTTCACGAAAACTCAATACCCAATTTTTAAGTGACAACACGAAAAAAGCTCTAAAATGTAAAAAAAAAAAACACCAAAATTAATTACAGTGGTATAACAATCAAAAATTCGTTGACAGCATTCAAAGGGGATTTTTACAAGTTTCATCATATATTACATTTACAAAATGAACAGCAGGATATACTCATTGGCTCTGCAAATACAGAACGACTTTGCATACATTAGCCTACACAGGCACAAGCACCAATAAAGTCATTGGGATACTTTTGAACATTGAATTGCGGAGCCAGACCATTTTTGGATATTTCACAGCCAAATTGTCATGGTTCTAAATGAATGATTACATTACCAAGACAATGATGTACATGTTGGTAGTTAGAATAAAAATATGATCTTAACAACCGAGCGGTATCTCTCATCCATATTCCAGCACCCGGATTCGAAATGAAGTTAGCAAACATATTCCTAGCGCCAATAAAAAACCTATCTACGTGTATTATATTTATCACGATAATAATTATTACCTTTATATTAGAAAATAACATTTTAAGACACATTAAAGATACCTTCCACGGTACAAACTGAGCGATCTGATGATATATTTGAACTAAAAGCTTAATCAAACTAAAAAAAATTTCAAATTCTTCTCAAAACATTGTATTCGCGAGGAAATACCCTACGCAATAAAAAATGTATTAAAAGAAGTCATGTTTGTCAGTTTGTGTCACGTGACTTAGCTGACGCGGCACCATCGCGTGCAACCTATGGCGTCGCGTATGTGTAGGATGGGAAGGATAGCGTTTTACCCCAAAACGAATTGCAAAAAACCCCAATAAAGTTTGGTTCAATTGTGAAACTACGGTGTCGTTAAATAGATCAATGATGAATTACTTCCCTTTTGTGATACGGCCCGTGATACTAGGGTGACACTATCGTCTAGGCCTTTCTTCGACTTCACGTTGTGATAACTATTTCTATTGATCAATTAAGTCTGAAACACTGTTTACGTTAACTATGTTTTTATATCTTTATAACATCCATAATACAGGAAACTACGTACACAGCTATGACATTAAATATAAGCTAAATATGGTGTTCTCTTCGAATAGGCGCAAAATTTCTTTAGAAAAACTGCCTGTAAATTGTACTTTGTAGAGTATATCTTGGTGTTTCTAGCTTCTGCACATCTAACTTGCGGCAACTTTAGCAATTCATCAAAAACAACCTAAATTCATGATTAAAAGGGGACCCGAAATTACGCAAGAACATTGACTAGTTTTGGGAGCCCTGAAACTACAATACTCCTGTTCAGCCCATCCCTAAAAAGGGAGGGGAAAGATGGGATGTTAAAACGTGTTGCAAATTTCTGCAGTACTTGATTACTTTAATCATCAGTAGAAATTCGCTATATAAAATAACAATTTGTATATTATTTTACAGCTACAATAACGAAAGAAAAGTTTGTTTCCGTTTTATTCAAAAAGCAATATATTGTCATTTCATGCAGAAATATATGGTGTTAAATAGTGTATGCTTTAAATTATTATATAAATACAACACAACATAGGCGGCTTATGAAATTTTGCAGTCTAGTAGTTTATTCATCCCTTGATTCTGAGAAATAAAAAACATTTTGCCACCAAAGCTGGTTTGAATACTGATTGATGCAAATTAACGTACCCTTTTCTGCGTGCCCAGTTTGCGATATTTTAGTATGTTTACGGTAATAACATGTCTTAAAATGCTTCTATTATAAAAATAACAATTATTATCGTGACACATATAAATATATATATATATGTTACAGTCAATGTCTACAATCAGGCAATGTGTACAATGCCTTTGTAACCCTAACCCCCACCCTAACCCTGGACCTAGCCCCAATGCTTACCTTAACAACCTACAATATCGCCAACAATCATTGTTTACATCTGGCCTTAACAAATAGATTTAGCCACTCCGGTTTAGTTCATGTTTTCTCCATGTGTAGATTGTTTGTTTATTTTCTTCAGCCAAAAGGTGGCGCCGAAATGGGACCAGAAATATTAAGACAGGCTGGTTTAGTCTCAAGAATAAAGCGCTTCGGTAAGTCAGCAAAATTGTTGCATTTGGGTTGGTATCATTTCCCAGATCCTATAAATCCATTTTGGCGTGGTTTTCTGCAAACACTGAAATTCCAAATCGAAATTATTTTACAGAACCTTTCCCAGTAATTAAGCTAGAACGTGTAGACAATAAACACTTTACGGTATTTAAAATGATATAGCAAATACTATATAATGTCTGTCATTGAGTCAACTGGCGTGGTTTCGATGACCTGTTCAACCTGGTGGGTTTTCTCCGGTTCTTTCGATTTCCTCCCACTGCTAAAGACCCCCTACACGCAAGTGAATCATTGAAATAAAATTGAAATAAATTAGATTATATGTTAGTCCCGAAATGACCTTGTTTATGTCGAATGGGCGTTAAACCACATCTCTCTCTCTCTCTCTCTCTCTCTCTCTCTCTCTCTCTCTCTCTGTTGATAATGGAGATATTTTGTTATTTTTAGATTATGAAGTTGTAGATCACGGAGATATTGAAATAGAGTCTATACCCGGAGATAAACCGGACGGTAATGTTAAAAACCCAAGATCTGTTGGCAGGGCTAATAAAAAGGTGTCTATTTATTTACACAAGCTGATTAAAACACAGATCCTATTTCGTTTCGTTTTTTTTTTTTTAAGTTCAATTTTTTTTTTTTTTTGTCTCTCCTGCACTAGGATCTTGAAGAGCTGTTATATAACAGGCGTTCTGGATGGCTTGAGGGATTAGCCAATGAAACCATCTGTTACGGCGACTTCTTGGTGTGTCATGCACGGAACTGTGGGTAAATCACTAGAAACGTCAACGCTGATTGATTAATCAATGTCTGACGTCATAGGGTCAAAAGCCGCTCGTACATCCCCGGACGAGACCTCTAGTACAAGTTGTCCGATCTTCATCTAGTGTAGGCCATCGAAAGTATAAAAAAAACGAAATGAAATATTATAGATCTCTTTTCTATTTACATGTTTTATAATACAATTTCATTCGTCGCACATTCCGTGGTTCCCCCTTGTCAGTGATGTAGGACGGAGGACCTGACAAGGACAGCTGTCTAGTCGTTCGGATGGGACGGAAAACCGAGGTCCCGTGTACACATAGGCGTGCACGTAAAAGATCCCTTGACAATTGGAATTCGATATAAGAGAAGGCACACTGTATGGCGTATGCCCAGTTCGCAGCAGAACAGTAGGATATTAACCCCTATTTCATTTCACGTCCCACATTCCTTTAGCAAGCCGTGGTGGTTCAGTATGGCGCTGGCTCCTTGAGCTGCCCGAGAAAGTTCCTCTGGAATTTCTACTCTTCATTTAGCTAAGAAGATTCAACTGTATTTTCCGACGTGCTTATTTTATTTCGTCCTACATTTAATGAAGTCGTGTAATTCACCCCGTTCTGCTATAGATTTCTTTAACCTTTTTCAGTAATCACCCTTGGTTACTAGTTAGGCACCGGCGCGCAATGCAGGGTTCGATTTAACTTTAAGTTGTTTCCCCTTGTTAGTGATACGGACATGTCATCGGATGGGCATATTCCCTTTACATTATCTAGGTTTTAACTATTATAGCTGCCAGCTCCTTTAACTATTCACGTATATTTACGTACAACTTGGCATTTTATTATTTTTTTTCAGATTTCTGATAAAGTAGCATCGATAGTGAAGAGTAAAGAATTGTGTTTAAATCTGGGAGGAGATCACAGTATAGCAATTGGTTCTATACATGGTCATTGTCGGGCGGAACCTGGTTTAGTTGTTGTGTGGGTAGATGCTCATGCCGATATCAACACCCCCCTCAGTTCCCCCTCCGGTAATATGCACGGCATGCCCCTATCGTTACTGGTCAAGGAATTGGCTGATAGGTTTTCACCCGTGGAAGGCTTCGATTGGTGTAAACCGTGGTAAGACACGCCTTTTGATCATTTTAAATAGGGAGTCATCAAGGCCGTAACTATCCCAGAGCAACGAGGGGGGCGGAAAGTGTTCTCAGGGGTGCTGTAAAATTAACAGACAATGTATATCTATTGTTTTTATGGTCGACAATTTTTTCACACAGGGGGCGAAACATTTTGCAGGGGGGGGGGGGGCACGACAGTTGCTTTCGGAACGGTCTGTAAGTAACGGACCAAGTCCTCTGATAGTCTCTGTCCGTCTCCATTAAGCTGCAGTGTGACAATATCGCTATACCCCACCCCTGGTTTAAGCCTAATTGTGGGATCCTTACCTTCTATTTTTCACCGTAATTCCGCTGACACAAGTCTGTCGGAGACCGTTCTGAATGGCTCTGGGATTATGATGCTAGTTCCTTGGGCTGCTCGAGAATGTTCCTCTGGAATTTCAACTCTGGTTTTTCGCTTGTCATTGGTGCATGACACAAAAGCGTCTAGTTGTTTGGATAGTACACAAAACAAGGCCCCATGTAGGCCTATATAATTAACTTAACGTTAAAGACTGCTCGACACAAAATTTTTCATCGACGTCGGACCTGACCGTCTTTTTGTGTTTATATTTGAAATCAAACAATTGTAAATCTGCTAGCAGTAAAAGACAATTTGGACTTGCATATGCAATACGAAATAAGAGTAGAGCGCGGCGCCGTAGTCTCGGTCACCCAGAACCTATAGTCTTCAACATACGGAGGGTCTAGAACACTGATCTATCATTTAATGTTGTATTGTATGTTGCAGCATACACGTTCGAGATATTGTTTATATTGGACTCAGAGACGTGGATGAAGGGGAAAGGTAAGTAAAATAATTGATAATTTGAATGATAGGTGGGTTCTTCTGGAATGTTGGGTGGGTTCCTCTAGAGACCAAGTAGGTGCATCACTTTTAGGAGATGGTGTTGTCGAGTGTTTTTCTAAGATGAAAAATGCATAACTTTCTGAGGTGATATTGTGGAGGGTTCTTCTAAAGATAAAGATGCATCACATTCAGGAGATGGTGTTGTCGAGGGTTCTTCCAGAATGAAAGATGTATCACTTTCTGGAGATGATCTTGTCGTGCGTAGCTCCTACTGGAGATCGTGTTATGATGGGTTCTTCTATGAATATAAGATGTAGCTCTTACTGGAGATCGTGTTATGGTGGGTTCTTCTATGAACATAAGATGTAGCTCCTACTGGAGATCGTGTTATAGTGGGTTCTTCTAGAAATATAAGATGTAGCTCCTACTGGAGATCGCGTTATCGTGGGATCTTCTGTGAATATAAGATGTAGCTCCTACTAGAGATCGTGTTATCGTGGGTTCTTCTATGAATATAAGATGTAGCTTCTGCTGGAGATCGTGTTATCGTGGGTTCTTCTAGAAATATAATATGCAGCTCCTACTGGAGATCGTTTTATCGTGGTTTCATCAAGAAATGTGGGCATATTTCGTTGATATGATCATACTTTTCATTTGATTTACGTTTATGTTTTAAAGTTTACTCCCTCTACAACCTTTGATAAAGTGATTTGACGTATTTTCAGATGGATTATAGATCAATTTGGCATACCAGCTTATTCCATGCAGGAGATTGATAAAATGGGAATAAAAGAAGTCATGCATCAGGCTCTTAAAAATCTTGATCCAAAGTAAGTTCTATCAAAGATCAACCATAGCATTGCAGGGGCGGATCCATGATTTCCAGCAGGGACGGGTCCAGAAATTTAAGATCTCCGGCAGGAAATGAAATGAAATGGGTTTTAATGACCTATACTTTTGGCGGACAGCAGCTTTTCCGCCTGGTGGTTGGATGGCCGAAAGGTTAGCGCTTGCGCGTGTTATCATAAGGTCTGTCATCGAAACAACTGGCGAGGTTTCGATTCTCCGGTTGTACGTGACAAGGAGTAGGGTCGCATGTCCAATCTCGTGGGTTTTCTTCGGGTCCTCCGTATTTCTCCCACTGCTAAAGACCCCTGCGCGCAAGCGAATTATTGAAATAATTTTGAACCATAGTGTGTGTCGAGTGGACGTTAAACCCATCTCTCTCTCCCCCTCTCTCTCTCTCTCTCTCTCTCTCTCTCTGATGTGTAGAATATTAATATCTTGTCGGTCACTTTTTGCAGTACTTTGAGCCTTAGTCAAGTTTTATTCATATATTAGATTTCAAAATTTTCACCCATCAGTGGTATAACACTATAAGTATATATGTTGTTTTTTTTTGACAGTGGTACTCGTCCAATTCACCTGAGTTTTGATGTTGATGGTCTGGATCCAACTATAACACCTTCTACAGGAACACCAGGTATCACTTTAACATCACAAATATTATACTTTAAAATGACCAGATGAATGAAATTGTGTTTTTTCTGCACCAACTGGGCTATCGAAGACGGATATACCTCATCGTATTCCAAATGTCAATGGTTCTTTTACGTTCTTTGTGTGTACCGCTGGCCGCGTTAGAGGAGTGATTCTACTGTACATGGCACCTCGGGTGTTCACTTTATCCACACATCTAGACACACACTGTCCTTGTCAGGCTCTCAGCCTTTCACTATTGTCATGGAGATACCGCGGTGGTGGGAATTCCCGAGCTAACCCCGGGAGCGACCCCCCCCCCCCCGTTGTAAAGTCAGTGAGCCACCAAGGCTTCCCTTGGCTAAACTTCTTGGGCGAAAAACATATATTGTACTTTGATATTACGAACCCAAACCCCCTCGTAAGCAAGGCGCTGCTGTTGAAATACATGGTAACATGAATAACAGGAAAATATCGCAACACTTTAGAATTGCTCTACATTTTTTTAAGAGCAGATAAGATACCTTTTCATTTAGTGTAATTCCGAGAATACCAATATAACCGGAAATGACATTTCGAGAACGCTGTGGTTAAGTCCACTCGATACAAACTAGGTCATTTAGGGAGGAAACTGGGGAACCCGGAGAAAATCCACGACGTTGGATGTGACACTACTATCTTGTCACATATTAGATTTGGAATCAAAACCACGCCACCTGATTGAATGACAGACCTAATGACCTAAAGCGCATGCGTTAAACCATTCGATTTGGCCATCCAGCCCCATCCCACCCCACCCCCGTCATGGCATTTCGAACTGCTATAGATTAAACAGCATCATTGCCCAAATCTTGACCTTATCAGAAGCTGATACAAAGCTAGATGATCTGGACTACATTAAAGTTGTCATGTTTTATTTGTTTGTATAGTTTTAGGAGGTTTGAATATACGTGAAGGCCAGTATATAATGGAAGAATTGGCCAATACAGGTAAATATACTCTATCCATATATCTCTACGCATTTTACTTGTTATTATAAAGGACAGCTGTAGTCGTTGCCATGGGGATTAAGGCCATGTCCTGTAGGCCTTGCCAGGGGATAAGGCCACCTCAAATATATTTTCTAGTTTCAATTAATCTGGCCAAAGTGAAGGAGGGGGCGGGGCAGTCCCTGACCAAGGAAAGTTGGTCCCAATGCCAAAAGATACCCAGGCCGCCTCTGCCGAGGAACCGCCAGGTTAGCGATCCCGCGCCTTACTCAATGAGTTACCAAGACTCTGAAAGCATTGACTCATCCGACAGCAACCCTAACGAATAATATTATATGCCCTTTGATGCATCTAAGGAAATGAAATGGGGTTTAACGTCCTACTTTTTTTTGCACTGGGTTTATAAAGACGGGATGCCTCTGAGAGAGAGAGAGAGAGAGAGAGAGAGAGAGAGAGCGTACAACCGGGGATTCGAAACCACACCAGTTGACTCAATGGCAGGCCTTATGATACAGCGCGCACGTGCTAACCATTCGGCCATCCAACCCCCCCCCCCCCCCCCAGGGCTAATGAAGACAGGATGCCTCTAAGGTGTGCTTTATAAAATACCGGAAGTAAATAATGACAAATGTTTCTGTGTTTACAGGTCGCTTGTCAGCCATTGATATAGTGGAAGTCAATCCGTTACTAGGCAGCGAGAAAGATAATATGGTAACAGCAGAAACTACCATATCCGTTATTGAGAAATGTTTTGGTTCCAAGAGAGGGGGATACTATCCGGCAAGCTACGTCTTTCCTTCACTCTAACTCTCGTGGAAGTTATGTACCAAATATGGATATTAAAATATGTTAATTGCTCACGTTCATAAATTATGTACCAAATATAGATATCGTAATATGCTAATTACCCACGTGGACAAATTATGTACCAATTGTTAATTGCTCACGTGGATAAATTATGTACCACATATAGAGATTAAAATATGTTAATTGATCACGTGAACATATTATGTTCCAAAAATAGAGATTAAGAAATGTTAATTGATCACGTGAACATATTATGTTCCAAAAATAGAGATTAAGTAATGTTAATTGCTCACGTGGACATCATGTTCCAAATATAGATATAACAATATGCTAATTGCACAGTTTCTGCACACACTCGAAAGTTATAATTGGGGGTTGTGCACTGTAACTGCTATAATAATATTTAAACACAATATATATATATGTATACCTACCTTGTAGGTAAAATCTATAACTCTGGGATAACTGACTTAATAATTATATTTATCACCCAATAATACATTCTACAGTAGATATCGCTTGTGTGATAAATTTCATAATTTATGCTTTACATGAATTTGATTGGTCAGCTGAAAAGGAACTACTTTTTTTATTTTCAAAGAACAGTTCATTTTTTTTATTAAAAGTAACTTCTTTTTTTATTAAAAAAGAACTATTTTTATTTAATTGACCTTGATGGAAACGCTGGGTCCATAAATAAAAGACTTTGCAATGGTTGAGTTGTCAAAAAATGATGTATCACTACGCCGTAATGTAATCAGGTTCAGTAAAAGTGAAATCTATAGCAAAGCATTATATTTATTTATTTGTGCATGTGCCTCGTTTTTTTTTTTTACTTAATCGACTTATGTTGATATTTTCTGATATCAAAAAAAGACTCGTTGGAGACTCTCTATATAGTTTTGAAGGGGTTACATTTTGAAGTTTAGTGCTTGGGATCTAAAAAAGGTCTTAACCCTAAACTCTGGTTCAGAATCAGAGTTTCATTACATTTTACTTTATATCGTTGTTTTTTAATTACATGTATTTTTTGGGTGTGGTCAAGATATCTTATCGGCTTAATGTTGGGTTGTTCTACTTTTGTCAAGGAATATATCTAATTTTATTTTAAGCTTTATTGAATTATTCTTTATATTACAAAAAGTATTATCAATTTGTTATCATAAAATCTTAATTCGTGCAATTAAGTCTGCTAGCCAGTCTTTCCTTTCGCCATCGGTGCTATTTTCATAATCTTTTATCACTTTTCATGGTACAATTTTCCATTAATTCATCTTTCATTTCATAAGTTTACATGTTTACAATCAGCGTCGGGTTTACCTTTAGATAGGCCTGGGGCCTCAAAATCTAGGATTTAGCTATAGGGTTGATAGGCTAAAGTCTTGGTCCTCAAAATCTAGGATTTATCTATAGGCTTGATAGCCTGAAGTCTGGGGGCCTCAAAATCTTGGGGTTACTCGTCTTGGCAGACTGAAGTCTGGGGGTCTCAAAATCTTGGGGTTACTCGTCTTGGCAGACTAAGGCCTAGTGTCTCAAAATCTAGAGGGGTGGGGGGACCTCCAGCCAAGGTGAATAATATTTTGACACTGGCATAAGCATTTCTTACACGTACTGTAGACTTAAGTAGCTGTCATCATCCCCGGCCTTGCTCAGTTGCGTTTAAAACACACTTGCATCTCCCTATTGGGTGAGGACTCATTAGTGGAGTAGGCTAGCCTAGGGACCCTTTCCTCTAAATTCGGGATTGTTTACACTTCCTGCGTTTTGTTATTTCTCAATATTTCTGTGTATTATATATTTGAATTGGATTATGGGTAAACATTTTAATATACTATATGAAAATAAAATATACTAAAAAAACAAGATTGTTCATTCGTTCATTTGACGGAAGTCGTGGTGACTCAGTGGGTAAGGCACTGGCTCAATAACCAGGGTGTCTGGGGTTCGATCCCGGTATTGGCCGAGAAAGTTCCACTTGATTTTCCAGCGTGGTTTCCCCTTGTCAGTGGTACAGGACGTGGTGCCTGGCAAGGACAGCTGTCTAGTCGTTCGGATGGGACGGAAAAAACCGAGGTCCCGAGTATACATTGACGTGCTCGTCAAAGACAATTGTTTGACAGTTGGAATTCGAGATAACAGTAGGCCGTATAGCGCCACTGTCCAGACAAAATTACCCCGATAGGACACTGTAAGTCTGTATGGCGGACGCGTCTTCATTTGCCCAGTCCAGAACAGTAGGACGTTAAACCCCATTTCATTTCATTTGCCCATCGGTTCAAAGTAGAACGTTAAACCCCATTTTATTTCCTTCGTATGTCGTTTATTTCCACATTGTAACTGGAAATGAAATGAAATGAAATGAAATGGGGTTTAACGTGCTACTGTTTTGCTCTTTTACGTGCACGCCAATGTGTACACGGGATCTCGTTTTTTCGTTCCATACGAACGAGTCGGAACGAGACATCAAGCCCCGAGTTCACAAAACATTCTCAGACTTAAGAATTCACTCAACTTTCAATCACTGTTTATGAGTAATATTTTGATTCAGAAACACAAAACTTTGCACATAGTTTGTAATTAACACAACAGAAGTTTTATAAAGGGCTATATTCTAATTAGAATCAGGCAAACAATTTTGAGTAAATTCTTAACTTAATTAAGTCTGTATCACTGACAAGGGTCAGAAAATAAACTTGGCCAGAAATGATAAGAGATTGTAGTGTTTGGTGGAGGTGTGACAGTTTTGGCGCCCTATTTATCTGCGCCAACCGGGCTATTGAAGACGGACATACACCAGGCAGTGTGCTTTGAGTGACCTTTTATCCGGACAGCGATGCTACGGCCTAGTCTTATATATCGATGTCCAACTGTCATGAGATCTTTGAAGAGCTGCCAATGATATACGCGTTACTTCGATTACTTTCGTGCCATGCGAGCGACTAGAGACTTTTCTCTATCAGTCCTTCAATCCTTTACAAATTGATAACGGGAATCAAGCTGAGAAAACCCGGACAGAGGAGTTTCCCTGTACAACTGCCTAGGGATCATGTTTTATGCACTTTCAATTTCTACGCCTTACCTCGGGTTTTTATGCGCATATATTCACATTCTAAGTAGTAGGCCTACATCATATCCAAAATTTAAATTATTTCATATAAAATTACAAAATCATGGGAGATATTGACAAAAATATTATAGAACTCGGGATAGTCGCGCTGAATACTATACAGTTAGTACCCGATTGGTTGAAAAACTCCTAACAGTACCCGACTTATATTATGTTACAAAGCGCATTAATTTTGTCGATTTTTTTATAAAATCATTTGCCGTGTAGACTATAATATATATAAACATATCTTTCCTTGTCTGTCATTTTTTGGAACTGACAAAAAAAAATTCCTGACGGCATTTTGAAATTCAATTTGAATCTGTTGGCATTCACCTGAGGAAAGTAAAAGTTTACGAATTGGTGAAATCTGAAGTAAACTATAAAAGTATGACTGGAAAGGCAAGGCTATGCTAAAAATACATTACACCGGATGTGATGATATATGGCGCGAAATATTTCCCGCCACATGCGATCACAACAAAGTGAAGTAAATCAACATCGAAGCTAACACAAACTTTCTGAAATGGCAGGATTTGACGATGCTGGAGTTTTCTTCAGCGATAATTTTGGGTCAGAAGATCAGCACGACGAAAGTCACATTAACAGACAACAAGTTAAAAAACGATTCAAGGATTTTATTCGACAGTTTCATGAGGGGAATTTCTCTTACAAATATCGGTATGTATCATGTCACTATGTTAGTATGTACATTGTATGTGCTGCATGGCATGGTCCATGGTGAATTGAATTCATTCATTAACATTAATCAATTATAATTTATGATCTAGGGTACATGTCGATCTAGATGAAAATACATCAATGAGTAACTTTTTTTTGGATAAATTTTATGATATAAAATTGAATGATATAATTCAAATTGATATTATATTTATATGTTTTTATTTCCAATCCGGAAATATCCCAGCATCACCCGAGTAAGTTCAATCCAGATTTCCAGATTTTCCGGCAGGGTTTCCCCTTGCCAGTAATGCTGGGGGCCAGACGGCATGGACAGCTGCCTAGTCGTTTGGATGGGATGAAAAACAGGTTCTGTTTACACATTAGCATGCACGTAAAAGATCCCTTGACAGTTGGAATTCGATTTAAGAGTAGGCTGTATGGCGTATGCCCATCTTCATTAGCCCAGTTCGGAGCAGAACAGTAGGACGTTAAACTACTTAAACCCCATTTCATTTCATTTTCTCATACATTTCATTTCAATTCGTGGTGACGTGAATCCTGTTAGAAATATTTCGATTGGCGAAAATTTCAAAGGAGATAAGAGCAGTCTTGTTTCCATGCAACCAAAAATATAATTGTTATTTTGTTTTTCAGGGATGAGTTGAAGAGACATTATAATGTTGGTCAGTATTGGTTGGATATAGAATTAGATGATGTCATCAGTTTTGATGAATCGTTAGCTGATAAACTAATTAAACAACCTACAGAACATTTACCATTGGTACGTACAATATGATTGGCTGGTCGTGATTTTAATATGTTAGCCTGCGAGCCAAGCTATTTATTACACTGTATAAAATAAACTAGGAATCATCTACACTCCAGTGAAATAAAACCCCTTGTACAATCAAATATTCATGCACATAGTAAAGATCTCTATTGAAATATTTGACAGTTTAGAGTTCTTTCCCTTGACTCCCCACCCACCCGGACTATGGTTATATGGTTAGATCTTTTTGATAAGATGTACCGTAAACAGGACTAGCGCTAAATCCACTTACCCTGGAGCTAACCCTAATGCTTGCCCTAACCTGCAATCTCGCCAACAATCACTTGTTTAACCTTATGTAGGCTACATCTCAAAAGACTGTGATGAAAATTGAGTTGACCTTAACAAATAGATCTAGCCCCAGACTATAATATAGGCTATTATCAGCATATTATATTGTACAGGTATCTTACCTATATTGTACAGGTATATCTTACCTATATTGTGCAGGTATCTTACCTATATTGTTGGAACAGGAACTGGCCACCCAAGAGCTACACATCTTTTTCTTTCTTTGAAAATGGTCTACAGCTGTCAATTCACATTCGTTAGACATGAATCTCAGCATCTTTGTTCTTTGGACAATTGCGTATTGATTGATGGACTTCACAGTTCCTAGACAATGCTGTCGGTAATTTTTCACAGTTGATTAGCAGCACTGCTAATCAAAAAGTCCAATTTCGCCAAATTTGATTAGCAAATTTAAAAATTGATTAGCAGTTTTTCAGTTTCAATGTAAAACACCTAAATAACAAGATATTACTTTAGCTCATAACAAATATGATTAGATTCCATTCTGACTATTCTTAGATTTTTTAGCACTGCCACAAGTATTTGTGACAGTTTGTGAATGTGATGTAGAAATTTAGTTAGGTCTTATGTCTGAAGCCAATTCTTGACAGTGACTTTCGAAGCCCCACTCATTTTAATTCTTATTTTTTTGTTACGTTAGAAATCTTTGTTAGAAAACAATTTCGTCTGCTTTTTATCGTGTATTACTATTTTTCTTCAATCGGACACACCTCGATTAACTAGACAAACACGATATAAACAATAATTTTTTACGGGAATTTTTACTTTGATTTATCATTTTACAATACGTTAACATGTATTTATTTTTTTATATTTTATTTACAATACGTGGGGGATACATTGGATTTATTGCTTTCAAAATGAATATGATATAATTACTTGATGTCTCGCAACGTGAGTGGTACTACTTGATTCCCTATTTCCGGTTTAATAGTCCCTAGAGTTATGTGTTATATAGTATTGTGTCTGGTAGTTCGAGAAGAAAATGTCACACAGAGAATTCAGTTTTGTTTATAAATTTATTCTTGTGTCAATATCCAAAATGACAGGCATATTGATGATTCGCAGTAACTGCGAATCAAAAACGTTAGATTTTAATTTTTGGTTAGCAACGGACAAAATATGTATCGCAAATTGCGCTGCGATACTGGTTGTCGGCAGCCCTGTTCCTAGATGATTACGCTAACGTCATGCTAGGTTTTTCTCGATTGTTATTATTGAACAGATATCTTACTTGTTTATTTTACATGTAGTTTGAAGAAGCTGCGAAAGAAGTAGCTGATGAGATCACACGACCTAGACCAGAAGGTGATGAGGATATGGAAGATATCCAGATCATGTTACAATCTAACGCTAATCCTTACTGCATCAGAGATTTAAAGGTAGGTATATATTTTAGAAATGGGGCCAATTTTAGATGATGGACGGCCATTTCAATGACTGTGCTAGCTGTTGTCTGAATATCTTGCATTCAATGCAAACACCAAACTGTCAAAAGTACTCTAAAGTTGTATTGCAAGAGAAAAATATCTAGAAGTGGCCTGGTATCAGTTGTTTTGGATAGTAAGCATACATTGTCATCAACACAGTACCTATTACAATTATCTAAATTTCATGGATGCAGTCAGGCCTGAATGAAAGTCAGATTGTATAGTCAAAAGCCTGATTTTCTGCTGATGTTAAACATACGTTAATCAAGAGCTAAATCTGTCAATTGCAGGTCTTTCTTTAGGCCTGAAATGTTACATGTATATGAACTATTAGACTTTTATCAACATGACAAGACCATAATCAACTCTTAGTGCCACGGATATCTCCGATATTAAGTAGATTAGAACTTTTCAGCCATACTTTTGATTCAATCTAAAAATGTTGAAGCGAGGCTAAGCCTCGAACAACCATAGAGGTCGTTGCAATTAATGCACGCATCTTGTCAAACCTTTAAAAGCTAATATCTTCACTTGCATTGAAGCAATTCGAATGAAATTTTCAGTAAATTCATTTTGCATTATCTGTTTTCGAAGTATTATGTATCTTTAAAGTTACAATTTCATATTTTAAAGTTATACTTGTTAAAGAATAATCCTATTATTCCTATAATTCACAATTGCCAGTTGAGAAATTAATTGGCAAAAATATCATTTTCAACTCCAAATTCAAAGGATTGAAGATAGCTATTCCATGGTGGGGAATAGGAAAACAAGGGAGGTAATTGTGTTATTATTTCCGTTGGGAAGGTTTTTAAGTGTGAGAAAGATCTATTGAGCAAAAGACATAGAAATAATTATATTTGACTTTCTTAGAAAATATGAAATTGTAACTTTAATATTTGATCAATTGAATTGTAGTCTGATCAGATGTCGAAGTTAGTGAAGGTACCAGGTATAGTTATAGCAGCTTCTAATGTCAAGGCCAAGGCCACCAAATTAACGATGCAGTGTCGTAGCTGTGGTAACACCATGAACAACGTATCTGTTAAACCAGGTCTCGAAGGATACGCTCTTCCTAGAAAATGTAACACGTAAGTGGTCTACAACTTATAACAGGGGTCGAGGGACATAATCCTGAAGCAATGACCGAGAAATCCCTCTCTGGCCATTGCTGGATTAGCTTCTGATACTTTTGCTTTTGAGGGAGTGTGTCTATTCTTCCTGTTCAATCAAATTTATCCCCAAGCACAGCAACATGACAGTCCTTCTTTTGATCAGGGGCCTTTCCTAAAACTTTGGACAGTGATTTAAGGTATTAAAAATGGTGAAAGTGTTTTGCGACTCAAATCAGTATTGTTTACATTATATCCTGTTGATAGCCTTGTTTGTCACACATTTAGTTTTTCTGTATTATTCTGCTATGCACTGGTTAATTGGACATAATAAAATTGTGAGTCATGATGACGTAACTTTATGTAAACATATTTGGAGCTCTGTTTGGTATTGTTATGCAGTTAGCTATTGGTTGTTAATCGGACTATTGACCAGTCATAATTTAGAACAAGAATTTGCCTTTACAGCAGTGAGTAGTGGGATTAGCTCTAGTCAAATGAAACACTGCGAGGAGATTGGTCGCGGGAGAGAGAAGTGGGATTTATTGTCCATTTGACACAAACTAGGTCATGATTCAATTTTATTTCACTTGTGCCTACTGGTGTCTGATTCACGAAATTTTAACTAGGATAAAATCCAAATTTGAGTAATTTGATTGGATAATATTAGATTGATTTTAGTGCTTAGCAAATCAAAATTGAAGATAGACAAGATTTAATGATACCTGGGTTAAAATGTAAAGATTAGCTTGGTATTAGCATATTTTTTAAAATCTACTTGGTATTTTGAATTCAGTTGTTCAGTGTTTTTTACCCCTTTATTTTCAGAGAGCAGGCTGGTAGACCAGCTTGTCCAGTTGATCCATTCTTTATTGTACCAGATAAATGTAAATGCGTCGATTTCCAAGTTTTAAAATTACAAGAAGCGCCAGAAGCTGTACCTAACGGAGAGATGCCGAGACACATGCAGGTTTATGCTGACAGGTAATTTCAGTTTTGATTTGAAAAAGTAATTCTGATGTGAAATGCAATTATTTTTTTTGTATGGGAAAAAAACATTCATGTAGAACTGAATATGGAAATATTAATGAATTCCAGACTTGATGGTTGAAGCTCTGTAATGGTTAAATAAATTTATTGAATAATTTAATTAAGAAATTAATAAAGAGTATTTAATTTTATTTTTTTGATCATTAGAAATATGTTTTGAGATAAAATTAGGTAATATGTAATGATATTTGAAAATCCCCACACAATAGCAATATGATGATGAATAAATCACCTCTGATTTCAAACCATGTTTGTTTTGTACTGCTGTTGAGCAGGGATTTGTACATGTTCCTGAAACTACGACTGCGAGTTTTACAATATCTGGACGTTGGTAGATTACTTCACAATTCCCGAACTTATAGCTACGTTAAATACAGACATGTGAACAGTGGCTGCCAATCAGAGGTTGTGACAAAGCAATCTCCACGGAAACCTTGACATTGAACGAACCTTGAACTTTGCAACCCGACTATCACAGGTAGACATTTTAGCTTGGAAGAGCGAGACTTGGTATTCACCATGATCGAGGAATCTGATAGGCTCACAAGCTTGTACCCAATCGAAATTAGTGCCGAAATATGCGGGGTATTACGTGAAGGGCTTGATAAGATGTACGTAGTTAAAGCTAGATCAAGCCTTCTGATGAAGATGGGATTTGTAAAGATCTATTAATGTCGACTCTCTCTGTCAGCATCATCGTTAGATCGACCGACCTGTCCAGTTTTTGCTACTTTTAAGGGGGGTGTTGGTGTCGTTCCCCCCCCCCCCCCTCGTTGCTAGAATGTTATAAATGAGTGTGTGAATTATTTATTTACAGATATTTATGTGATCGTATTGTACCAGGTAATAGAGTTATGGTCATGGGAATTTATTGTATTAAAAAAGGTGGAAAACCAACAAAGGTAACTTTTATAAATCTGCATTTAGGTTATTATATGATTGAATTAATGTCCAGGGCCCTGTTTAGTGAAATCTTAACTAAAGATAAAATCCAAACTTTAGTAGATACTTCAATTTTGATTGGCTAAGCACTAAAATCAATCTAATATTATCCAATCAAATTACTAAAATTTGGGTTTTATCTCGGGTAAAATTTCGGGAAATAGGCTCCAGATATTCTGGCTTGTGGATACTGCTGCACCGGTTAAAAATCAGATTAAAATACAGATCTATATTTCGTTCAATTTTTTTATACTTTCGATGGCCTCTACTACATGAAGATCTGACCAGTTGTAACAGGCGGTCGCATCAGAGGTCATACAAGCGGCTTTTGATCCAATGATGCCAGGCATTGATAAATCAATTGGCGTTGACGTTTCTAGTGGTTTACCCACTGTTCCGTGAATCGCATGCTAAGAAATCGTCGTAACAGACCATTTCATTTGCTAATCCCTCACACCCAAATGCGGGTTATATAACAACTCTTCCAGATCCTATGTGACAAGGAGTAGGGTAGCTGGTCCAATCTCGTTGGTTTTCTTTGAGTTCTCCACTTTCCTCCAACTGCTAAAGACCCCTATGCGTTTGTGAATTAAATTGAAACACATGTTAGTCTGGAAATGACCTATTTTGTGTGAGTAGATGTTAAACTCTCTTTCTCTCGTATACTCTTCAAAAAAAGTAGGGGATATTCAGAAACAATACAAAACTGCAGAAATGCAGCAGTTTTCATCAACCCTTCCTTGAAGTGTCAAATTTGACAATGAACCCCTCCCACGTGTATGGCGCTATTGCGTGTCGCACATGCAGCTCAGTGTTTCTGTTGGGGCGATAAGTTCTTCATCTGTGAACATACTCACAAAGTATGTCAAGTGTCCATGACTATTTATCATATCACAACCTGCATAGGTATTTGCATCTGAATTTCCCCTACTTTTTTTTAAGAGTATATTTGTATTCTATGAGACGACTTGTTTCATAAATAAAAAATACTTTGTCGGTCTCAAAATGGCCAACGTATTCCATTAAACATGCATTATGCAAGAGCTAAATCTGATTATTGCAAGTCTTAAATTTAGGCTTCAGATGTTATAGAAATTATAAATTAGATCTTTATTTAAACAACAAGACCAAAATCAACTCTGTAGACCCACGGATGGCTCGGCTACAGCTCGGATTTAAATAGGATTTCACTAATTGATTAAATCAAATAAGGGGTAACCTGATGAAAATACGTCAGTTAGATCGAGGCTAAATGATAGAGTGTACTTAGCGAGGCCGCTGTAAAGCGTTTCCGTATGCCATTGAAAACTTTACTTGATAATCGAGATATGTAGGTGGAGTTAACGCTTGTCAATCAAACGTTCGGCGAAGGTAAAGACACATTTCGCTACCATTTCTAGGCAAATATTACAACGATGATAACTATGTTCAGAATAAAGTAATTTGACTGAATTTTTCAATATATTCTTCTTTCAATATCTACTTTTGAACTGTTATAGCAAGAATGGCCAACTCTCTATAAATATCTCCCATAATGTATCTTTAAATATTTCATTTTCTTCAGGGTGGTGTTAGAGACAAGGTAAATGTTGGTATTCGTCAGCCATATTTCCGTATGGTTGGGGTCAAAGTTGACACAGAGGGAGTAGGTCGAAGTTCAAGTAGCATGGTGACCCCAGCAGAGGAGGAAGAACTGAGGCGATTGGCAGGTCAACCAAATGTCTATGAAACCTTGGCCAAGTCCATTGCTCCTTCAATCTTCGGCAGTCTGGATATTAAAAAGGCTATAGCTTGTCTTCTTATTGGTGGTTCCAGAAAAAGGTAAATTAATAGAAAATGACAACAATCCAAAAGTCAAGTCTGTTTCCATAGAAACACTAAAATTATTAATAGGAAAGGACAATATTCTTAAAGTCAAGTCTGTTTCCATAGAAGCACTAAAATTATTAATAGGAAATGACAACATTCTTAAAGTCAAGTTTGTTTCAATAGAAACACTAAAAGATAAGTTTGTGTAAAATATAAACATATTATCGAGATAAGTTCCTGGGAAATAAGCTTGTGTGAGATAAGTTCCCGTGAGATAAGCTTGTGTGAAATAAGTATAAATATATTATTGTAGATTACCCGATGGTCTCACAAGAAGAGGTGATGTTAATATATTAATGTTGGGTGATCCAGGTACAGCTAAATCACAATTATTAAAATTTGTAGAAAGATGTTCTCCTATTGCTGTAAGTACTTGTCTTTTAAATCAGTGAATATTTCAATTATTGGGAATAAGTTGTAGTCGAATAAGTTGTGAATGTTAAAGGGCCGTTGGCGAAAATGTTACGCAATACAAACTTGAATATATCTGTGGGTAAAAACGATATTATATATCATAGGTTTATACACATGTAACAATATTGTATATTATTCTATAACTACAATCAAATATCATTGAATACAGCCATTGAATAATCTATGGTTGTATCCATTGGCTTGGGCACATACTACTTTTGTCCAGAATGACGTCCCTTTCAGAATTACATCAAACTGTAAAAAAAGAAAGAAAAACATGGAACCTATGATGAATTTTAACGTTATTGGTGATTTTGTTTTTGATAATCAGGATAGTACAGTGTATTTTGAGATTTGCATGTAGTTATAGAATAAAAAGAGAACTTGATGACCATTGAATACTTCTCAGTGTATCCCTGCCACATTCCGCTCGCTATACTTGTGCAGGGATACACTCTAGTAGACCATTGAAAAACCTGAGCAGTATGAAGTGATCATTCAGGTATATCTATTTATGGGAATATACAGGTGTTGTGATATATAAAGTATTGTATATTATAGGTATAAACATCTGCATTGTATATTATTATGGTAATATACAAGGGTCGTGATATATAAAGTATATTGTATATTATTATGGGAATATACAGGTGTTATGTTATATAAAATATCAAAGTGGCTATTGTTATGAGTCTGAGCCAAGTTTAGAACGAATTCCAAAATGGCTGCCAATCTCCCCAACACCAGCTTTGAAAAAGGAGCAGTATTTTCAACGTTTTCAGAACTGAAGGCAGCAATTAAGAGATGGGAAGGGTTAGGGTTAGGACTATTTTTACGACTATTCAGTTTTTAACTTCGCCGATGGAGGGCTGTGAAAGCATCGTCGTAACAATAGCCTGAGGACTATTTTTACGACTCGTCGTAACAATAGCCACAGCCTAATTTTATAGAAATATACAGGTGTTGTGATATATAAACTGTATTATATATTACAGGTATATACATCAGGTAAAGGTAGTAGTGCTGCTGGATTAACAGCTTCTGTTATGAGAGATCCAGCTTCAGTAAGTATTACAATTAGATCCTGACCAATTTGAATATAAGTTCTATGGGATCACCTATTCAAGCTTTAATTTTTGAAGGAAAAAAAAAATATATTAAAACAAACATTGAACTGTTTGATTTCTCTTTCAAAATCTCTTTACCACAAAATGTTTGAAGATTTTTATTTACAGCCGCAAAAGGGAGGGTGTTTATTTTTTGCCTATGAAATCTTAAAAATATAATACAAATTTTAATTAGTTTAAGAATTTTGATTGTCTATTTGTTTGCGTTACAAAGGAAATGTTGGAGCATTCCATATATTATGTTCTCTTATGAAACTTTGTGTAAGATGCTGGCTCGCTAGCCTGGAGGTCGGGTGTTCAATCCCTGCATTGGCCGAGAAAGTTAATCCAGATTTTCCGGCGTGGTTTCCCCATGTCAGTGATGCAGAACTGAGGGCCTGGCAAGGACCGCTGTCTAGTCATTCGGATGGGACGAAAAACCAAGGTCCCGTGTACATATTGGCGTGCACGTAAAAGATCCCTTGGCAGTTGGAATTCGATATAAGAGTAGGCCGCAGCGCAGCTGCCCGGGCAAAATTTCTCTCATTGCACACTGTATGGTGTATGCCCGTCTTCATTAGCCCAGTTTAGGAGCAGAACAGTAGGACGTTAAACCCTATTTCATTTCATTTTATGAGACTTTGTCTGTGTCCCCAGCTAATCCCCGTAAACTTTGTTTAAGTGGTGTGGTTTTTAGGTGTAAATATTAAATGTCATCTCAATTAATAAATATATAATTTATTTTTATTAGAAAAATTTTATAATGGAGGGTGGAGCTATGGTATTAGCCGATGGTGGTGTGGTCTGTATAGATGAGTTTGATAAAATGAGAGAAGATGACAGAGTAGCCATACACGAAGCCATGGAACAACAAACTATATCTATAGCTAAGGTAATTATTACATGAAACAACAAAACTATAGCTAAGCTAATTATTACATGAACAACAAACTATATCTATAGCTAGGGTAATTATTACATGAAAAAAAAACAATATCTATAGCTAGGGTAATTATTGCATGAACAAACCATGTCTATATCTTGGGTAATTATTGCATGAACAAACCATGTCTATATCTTGGGTAATTATTACATGAACAAACTATATCAGACATGATTTTTTTCTCGCTATACCCTGGGTTCATCGGTATTGTATTCAAATTGTCTGCCCTTGATCATAGCTTGATTATATGTACCAATCAAAATAGAGTTTACAAACCAGTCTTGGCCTTATTCTTTACTTTCGCAACAATATGACAGCTAGTTCGCTCACTTATTAGAAAGTTTGCAAAAAAATTTAATATAAAAGAAGTGACATGCACATAAAAATATCTTTTTGATGGGAAAGATGTTTGATAAAATAGCACAATCATCAAGGGCAGATAAACCCAGGGCTTAGTGGAGTGGAACGGAATGAGACCACTGGGGATACCGAGGATGGTGAATAACCTGCTGTCTAGGCTAATCTTCTCGCCTATCCCACTTCTCCATTAAGGGGGGGGGGTTGGATGGCCAAATGGTTAGTGTGCGCGCGCTGTATCATAAGGTTTGTCATTGAGTCAACTGGCGTGGTTTCGATTCCCGGGTTGTACGTGACAAGAATAGGGTCACCTGTCCAACTCGTGGATTTTCTCCTGGTCCGTTGGTTTCCTCGCACTACTAAAGACCCCCTATTTGCAAGCAAATTAATGAAATAAGATTGAATCATATTTTAGTCCCGAAATGACCCTTTTTTTGTCGAGTGGACGTTAAACCCGATTTCTCTCTCTCTCTCAGAATGTTAACCCTCATTTTATTTTATAGAGAAATTATGATAGGCCTACATTAAAAAATGCTTGTATCATTATAGGCAGGGATTACGACTACGTTAAATTCTCGTTGTTCTGTACTGGCTGCTGCTAACTCTGTGTTTGGTCGATGGGACGATACAAAAGGAGCCGAGAATATCGACTTTATGCCAACTATTTTGTCTCGTTTTGATATGATATTTGTTGTAAAAGATGAACATGATGAAGGCAGAGATATGGTAAGTTGGGATTGACTAATGGTATAAATATTGGCCATTGTACGCCCCTTTAAAGTACCCTTTTTAACAATGTGGATGTGGATATCATTTAATCTTGTGTATTTAGCACTAATTTCTTTAACATTCGTTTAATATCAAATTTTTGTTTAAAAATTGGTAAAAAATTGTTTAAAATGACCTAATTTGTACTTGTGTCCAGTTTAAAACTGACCAATCCATTTTGATAATGAATGTCCAATTTACAAGTGTTTAATTTCTCGATCACTGTTAACAAAAAAACATTATTTATGATTCTGTATTTTTTCTATTTCAGATCTTAGCGAAGCATGTAATGAACGTTCATCTGAATTCTCTACAAACGACAGAAGAACCACAAGAAGGAGAAGTTGATCTCAACACACTGAAAAAATTTATAGCTTACTGTAGAACGTAAGTAATGTTCGGTTTGAAATAATAAAACAACTATAATATAATCTTTTACAGGCATTTAGCAATTGAACATAATATAACACAGTTGAATTGTTGTTGAAACATCGTGTGTACATAATAGAGTGATTGTTATCCATAGAACTGTGTTGTGTTAAACTATCGTATAATCTTTAACAGGCATTTAGTAACTGGATGGAGAAATACACAAAAACACATACTTATCAAAAAACAGGGTGTTGGATGGCCGAATGGTTAGCACGTGCGTGCTGTATCATAAGGCCTGTCATTGAGTCAACTGACGTGGTTTCGAATCCCCGGTTGTACGTGACAAGGAGTAGGGTTGCCTGTCCAACCTCGTGGGTTTTCTCTGGGTCCTCCGGTTTCCCCTCGCTGCTAAAGATTCCTACGCCCAAGCGAATTATTGAAATAAAATTACACCATATGTAATGGTAACATTTCTATGTAATTTATTTATGAACAGTAAATGTGGTCCACGTCTGTCACCAGACGCAGCTGAGAAGTTAAAGAATCGTTATGTATTGATGAGAAACAGCGCTGGTGACTACGAACGAGAAACGGGCAAAAAAGTCAGCATCCCGATCACGGTCAGGTTGGTAAATTTAATAGACTATTTCATTTCAAAAATATTTCCAAAGTTTGAGTATTCTGCTAAACTTTGACCACCAAGTCTCTGAACATCTCATGGCATAATCCTTCAGTGTCATTGTTGCCTAGATGTAGGTGTTGGGGGGGGGGGGGGGCACTACATTTGGTTTCTCTCTTCTCCATTTTGATTAAACACAGATCCTGTCTTTTATAGTTCAAAGTTTCGTTTTACTTGTCTTTACTACACTAGGATCTGGAAGAGTTGTTATATAACCCGCGTTTTGGTTGATGTGAGGGATTAGCCAATGAAACGATCAGTTACGGCGATTTCTTGGCGTGTGATGCATGGAACTGTGGATATCCCACTAGAAACATCAATGCTGATGTCATAGGGGCAAAAGCGGCTCGTATGACCCCTGATGCGACCTATTTGAGTCCATTTTAACTGTTGAAAACTAGATATTGTCCAGTAAATGCACATTTTAATTTTCAATTTGTAGAATTTGTCATTATTGTATTTTATTTAACAGACAATTGGAGGCTATTATTAGAATATCCGAATCATTAGCCAAGATGAGATTAGCTCCCTTTGCTACAGATGCAGATGTGGATGAAGCTTTGAGATTATTTCAGGTTTCTACCTTAGACGCTGCTACATCTGGAAATTTGGCAGGTTTGTAAATTTCATGTCTGTCATTCTGAGAGGGGGTTGGATGGCCGAATGGTTAGCGTGTGCCACCATATATATGAAGCAGATTGGTATAATACTGTTTTCTGGATTCTGAAAGCAATGCCCACGCCATGTTAGTCCAGAAATGACCTAGTTTGTGTCGAGTGGACATTAAACCCCATTTCTCTCTCTCTTTCGAAGAAATGGGTTCGTCCGTCGGTCTGTCCGTCACACTTTTGGGGACACAATAACTCTCTTTCTAATTGAGCTAGAATGTTCAAACTTGGTGTAAGTGTTTATTAAGTCAATACCTTGATGGAGTTCGAAGATGAGCATTTTCTGCTTAGGGTAAGCAGAGATAAGCAATTTGATTGGTTGATGCTTTGGGACAAGATAATCTTGATTCTATTTGATAGAGAGTGATGAAATTTAGTGTATAGTTTGATTGCTCGATACTTTTGAAAAAAATAAATGTGCTATTAATTAATGTGTCATCTATTTATTTTGGGATTTCGGCGGGGGACATCAGCCTCACTGTTGGCTTGTTTTGTTATGATCCTGATTACTTTGACCATTCAGATTTAATATTAGCTAAAACTTAGGCAATGTTGACAACAAAACTTATCCCCAGTCATGTTGTTTGTTAGTTGTGTAATAACCTGGGTAGGAATGATTAGCGTTTTAATCCTTGTTTCTTGTATTACCCTAGGTAATATTTCTATATTTTCAGGAGCCGAAGGGTTTACAACCGAAGAAGATCAGGAATTATTAAGTAGAATAGAGAAACAGATAAAACGTAGATTTGTTATCGGATCACAAGTATCAGAACATGCTATTATACAAGATTTCGTCAGACAGGTAAGTTACCAAATAGCAGTTTTATACTTATGAATGTTCGAACAATGTTCCAATTTATCAGAACATGCTATTGTACACTGTACAAGATTTCGTCAGACAGTTTTATACTTAGTCTGATTGTAGTCTTAACATGAATGTTCGAAAGAGTGCCAATTTATGTCTAACGTGGCTATCCTACAATTTCTAATATTTCTGGTCCCAAGTTCTCAAAACATTTTCAGACTTAAAGTAGCTAAGTCTCTAACTTAATATCATTCAAAGCCTTCGACACAGAAAACACGAATTATTTGTCAATTTAAATCAACGTTGATGTTGTGATCTTACCGGTAAAAGATCCAATATTTAAGACAAAATAAACATTTTACCATTGGTACACGAATCATGTACCATAATGCGTTTAAGCGCCATTGTATCAAGGGACTGGAAGAACGGGGCTAAACATATTCAACAAGTCTTGTCCAACGGTGACGACATATTCTTATCTGGAGAGCATGCGCAATAAATACTATCAGTGTAGACTGGAATAATCAGACGCTAGAGATTGTCATGCGATTGAGACTTCTGGCATATTTCACCAAACATAACTGATTTGAAATAAGAGTAAAAACGGAAAGGATTGAATGTAAATCAGTTTATATAAATTCATATTACATGCGTTGAGACCCATTTGTAAAGATTTTACCTATATCCTATATATCGTCCGCATTGGACGGCGGATGTTGACAAATTATTCAATTCATTGTATCTTTATTATTTCCGAACTTTATTTACAGAAATATCTAGAACGTGCTATTCATAAAGTGCTACAGTTGATGTTGCGACGTGGAGAGATACAGCATCGTATGCAGAGAAAGATGTTATATCGAATTAAATAAATCTGTTAAATAAACTACAGTTGTTACAAGGTGAAATACAACATCGTATTCAGAGAAAGATGTTATATCGAATGACATAATCTGTTAAATATACTACAGCAAAATAACTAGCATCATTTCTTTAAATCATGGAAGAAAACAAAAGAGTTTGTCTTTTGTCAACTAAAAAGCAATTAGTTAAGAAACATGCAAAACATTAATACTAAACTATTCAAAATCTTGGTTTCGAGTCCCCTGTTGTACGTGACAAGGAGTAAGGTCGACTGTCCAATATCGTGGATTTTCTCTGGGTCCTGTCACTGCTAAAGACCCCTACGCGCAAGCAAATTATTGAAATAAAATTGAACCATGTGTTAGACAAGAACATTTAACTATATGAGTTACCAATATTTTCATACATGCCCAACACTAAAATAAGACAAACTTTCTTTTTTATAAACTTTCTGCCACTTGTAAAATGTTATTTGTTATTCAAAAGTAATTAATAAATCGACAAATAGAAGTATTTAGTGGACTATTTGCTTATCCAGTTGACAAGAGTGCTAAATGAATTGGTGTCGAGTGGACATTAAACCCCATTTCACTCTCTAGCTAACTGAATCAATCATTCCATATTATTTTCACATCCTGTCACAACTGAACCTGTGTAAAATTTGATCATTTATAATGTAACTCTCGTTGAATGTCAATATTCTAGGCCTTTTGAATTAATTGTTGAAATTTCTGGTAATAATGTTGGAATGTCTTTATTATAGGCCCTGCATACCTTATAAATTAAATATTAAAAAATTTGTTGTGAAAAATAAATTTGTAGATCTACTGGACTATTACCATAATTGTATATTTGTAAATAAAGTATTTTGTACATTTTCTATTGGGAAAAATGGTTTTGTTGTGTCTGTTAACAGCATTTTCAAATCGTAATTCATGTAATAGTAGGCTGTAAGGCTGCTGCCAGGGCAGAATTTCCTCATAACAGCTGTGGTGTATTCCCTACCTTATTAACTAGTTTAATACAATGAAATGAAATGAAATGGCTTTTAACGTCCTACTGTTCTGCTCCAAACTGGGCTAATGAAGACGGGCATAGGCCATACAGTGTGCTATGAGGGAAATTTTGCCCGGACAGCGGCACTACGGCCTACTCTTATATCGAATTCCAACTGTCAAGGGATCTTTTACGTGCATGCCAATGTGTACACGGGACCTCGGTTTTCCGTCCCATCCGAACGACTAAACAACTGTTCGAGTCAGGCCCTCTGTCCAGGCGCCACCCCGATATAACCCTTAAGATATTCTGGTCCACAATCAAACCCAAGATAAAAGATAATGCATTTCATGATCTGTCTGCCAATAAAATGGGGTTGACGTCCACTCGATATAAACTAGGTCATTTTGGGACTAACATGGTTCAATTTTATTTCAATAATTCACGTGGGCGTAGGGTTCTTTAGCATTGGGAGGAAACCGAAGGACCTGGAGAAAACCCACCCATTTGGCCGTCCAACCCCTGCAAACCCTACTCCTTGTCACTTACAAGGGGGGTATCGAAACCACACCACTCAATGACAGACCTCATCCAACGTGCATGTGTTAACCATTCGACCTGTATTTGAAATCTGCCTTTAGCAATGAAATCAGGTTTAATGCCCTACTTCTCTGTATTAAACTGGGGTGTCACGTTGGCTAAGTGGGTAAGACGCAGGCTCGCTGGCCTGGGGTTGGGTGTTCGATCCCTGCATTGGCCGAGAGAGTTCATCCAGATTTTCCCGTGCCAACCCCTCCCCCCCCCCCCAAACCCGACCTTATCAATGATGCATACGGAGGTCCTGACAAAGACAGCTGTCTAGTCGTTCAGATGAGATGAAAATCGAGGTGCTGTGTACACATTGGCGTGCACGTAAAAGATCCCTTGACTGACTGTTGGAATTCGATATAAGAGTAGGCCGCTGTCCGGGCAGAAAAACCTCTAAGTACACTGTATGGCGTATGCCCGTCTTCTATATCCCAGTGGTTTCGAATCCCCGGTTGTACGTGACAAGGAGTAGGGTCGCCTGTCCAACCTCGTGGGTTTTCTCCGGGTCCTCCGGTTTCCTCCCACTGCTAAAGAGCCCTACGCGCAAGCGAATTATTGAAATAACAAATCAAACCATATGTTAGTCCCGAAATGACCTAGTTTGTGTCGAGTTGAGGTTAAACCCAATTTCTCTATCTCTCCCTCTCTCTAGCCCAGCAGAAAATTAGGACGTTAAACCTCATTTCCTTTCGTTTCTTTCATTGAATCCGATACCGTGGTTTCGATTATGCCCCCCCCCCCCCTCACCCCCTTGATAAAGACCAGTGCATTATTGAAATGATGGGAAGATAATAATTTTATACGGCAATGTTATAAAATATATACAATAATGTAAGACTATAAACTTATATAACAATTTTATTAAACATATACAGTAAATGTTGGACTATAAAAAATATAAAAACATGCCATAAATTAAAAAAGAAATAACATAAAATATTAACAACAGATTTTAAAAACATCGATAAATTGTTGAAACAGTCGAACACAGTTTGTATTCTGTTATAAGGTCTCAGAAAAATAATTACTGTGTAATAATTACTGTACAAAATTAGCGGATCATTTTTAAATGAAAACTTTTTCATTAACAATATCAGAATCGAGCTAGTCTATATTAAATAGATATATAAAAGGATTCATCGATGAATGAGTTCATCCAGCCTCTACTAGTTTAGAAACAATTCATTAATCAAATACATTAAATTCCACCTGACTGGGTAATGGGAAACACGCAACACAACGCAAAGTAACCACTGTTCAAATTAAACCAAAACGACAGAAATATGTAAGCAGACCCGACATATTTGTGACGCAGTAAAGGCAAAAAGACATCATGTTAGTCAGTTAATCCGACCACGGCGAATGTCCCAGTACTGACGAAAGTTGCTCGACCTACATTGTAAAAGATGAGCAGTGGGTCAATACCGATTCATGTAAATTAACATTAAAGGCTTTTGGTACTTTTTGAGCAGGGCTGATTGTAGAAAATGCGGGGCCCATTTTGGGAGGGACAACGTCACAGGATATGAATAACCTAAACAAGGCCTATATTCATTCATATTTAAGATCAATCATGTTTTACTTCACGATTAGTAATTGATTAATACCTGAAAATAGACACACCTGTCAGTCCTGCTGCCAGATTGCATGGATTTTTTTTAAGTTGATGAGCTGCGGTAGCCCCTTAATATGGGGAAATTGGTCCAATGTGCCGTGGTTTTGGGCTAGGTGTTTTTGAGAGATGGAATGTGAAATATTTAGGTAAACATTACACTTGTAACACAGCGTTTGGGTCTTTCACATCCCAAAAGAGAATATTCTTAGAAACGTCGCCCAAATAAATTAGTAATTGTTTTTCCATAAGTATGTCTTTCATAAGTAACCTATGTCTTCCAGTTATATTGAATGTCTATAAAGGATTACGACTTTTAATTCTATTTTCCGAGATGTAAAGGAGCATATCTCGGTAACCATCACACTTGTAACACAACGTTTGGGTCGTTCACACCCCAAAACTCCTCTTAGGTACATGCACAAATAACACAGCAGTAGCTCATTAAATATTTACAACATCCACAAAAGCAGTAATTAAAATGTTCTATAACAATGTTGGAACGATCCTTGACGAGTTAAAATGTTTTTCGATTCCAAATTTTGTCGGTATTTTCGTCTGAATGTCAGCCAAGGTTCCCCATCGTATTCCTCTGTGATTCCGTCCTCTGTTCCCCGATCGAGGAGATTTCGAAGTCGACTGACAAAGTTGCTCCACTGCGATTTCTCTTCTTCACTCACGACTTCGCGCAATAATGGCGAACTTGTGGACAATAGACGTTTAGCAGAGCCAACAATGGCTAAGGAGTTTTCCACGGGGAGTTCTAAAATGCGATTTGACTTCTTGAGAATTTCCGAGATTTTGGTTTCATCAATCTTCAGAAGAGCTGCAAAAAGATCATGACGTACCCGATCCTCCTCGTTCGTCAAGGAGCCTTCAAAAAACATGGTGTCCATTTTAGCCAGTAAAGCCACCCCTCGTCCTCGAATGGTTTTAGCGGCCGTGTCTCTTTCGCTTAAAATTCGTGGAATGTTTTCTTCCATGTATGGACCATGCATGCCAGTGCCATGATCCATGTACCTCAGGACTTGAGCCCCACCTATTCCAATACCATCAACGCCAGCAAAGACTGCGTGTTTGATCTCGTCAAATTTAAATCCAGCAGACATATAAGTCACCAACCCTCTTAAATGGGCCTCGTGGACGATGGTCAAAGCTTCTTCAAACGTTAGCTGGTACATGATACATTTAGATGGATAGGTGTCGCTTGCTCCGTCCCACGTAACTTTATCAAATCCACCAATGCACGTGATCTCTATGGCTCTACGGGCAATATCCATTCTTTTTGTTAGTACAACTGGGGTTTCCTTTTCGAAATCATCTGTAATGGTTTGGTTCAGATTCCATGCTGCGGACATGAATTGCGAGAATCTGTTTCTGTGGACATGGCAACGTAGAGCTCGCATGTAACGAACTGCTTCCGATGTGGTCAACCCTTCCATAGCAACCTTGCATTCTGCACCACCTCTGGCGAATGCTGCTGAAGCCGTAGCTGATGTCATATGGACGACCTTTAAGAAATCTTCGTCAAAGCTTCCGGAATCTTTCATTCTTCTTCCGACAAAATAAGTATTTGGTGCAGCCGATCCTACATGGAGTCTGACTCGAGAGAAATCATAAAGCGATGGAACCCGGTAAGATTCGATATGTTCCCGAGAAAGATTACCAGGTCGTTCGAGATGTTCAACATGAACGATAGCTCCCAACATCCACTCATTAAACCGAGTGGTTCCCAGAACATGTCCATCTCCGGGATCAGTTAAAGACATATAAGTTTGCGTATGGGGGCGGAACCCGGGAGATCCAAGAGGTCGGTGTCCTTTAAGTGTAACCTGTTTGCCGATAGCCATATTATGATACGCCAGATGTATCGCCAGATACTCAACAGGAGTTGGTTGTCGTCGTTCATCCCGGAGCGCCTGAAGCATCATACTTATGGTGTTGAGGAAATCAGTTGTGAATTTTTGATCATCCCAAGTTAGTTTTATTTTATTAACGTTATCCTCGACTGTGAAGTTGATGTATCCAGTAGCTTCCTCGGGCATCGTTCCAACGAATATCTCATTCTCCATCTTCCATTCCCGGATAATTCCTCGTCCAACACGACAGATGCGGAATGTGGCATCTAGTAGCTGACGGACAGTCAAACCATTCAGGATATTCTCACTCAGGGCAAGAAAAATGTCCATCTTTGATGAATCGTCCTTAAAGACGATCTGCAGCCGCTTCCGTAACTGTCGTTGGACGGAGTCGTTGTCGGTGGCCGTGGTCATGGCGAGTTCATCGCTGGACTGAAATTTTTCTGTCTTACAGTCTAGTTTGATTCTGATGTTATAAAGATTATTGATGACGTCTTGGAGTAGGGTTAGTGACACCTGTCGAAGTGTTCCAACACCCATACATATATCAGCTGCTTCTGGCTGAAATGACACAAGGGACTGATTATAATATAGGCTAACTTTTAACCATCTACTTCGCTCATGTTGACACCAACATAAGGTCCTGTCCAACCTCGTGGGTTTTCTCCGGGTCCTCCGGTTTCCTCCCACTGCTAAAGACCCCTACGCGCATGCGAATTATTGAAATAAAATTAAACCATATGTTAGTATGTTAGTCCTGAAATGACCTAGTTTGTGTCGAGTGGACGTTAAACCCCAGAGAGAGATCTGCCAGAATATTTATTCTGCACCACTTGCCTGTAACTTTGTTGACCAGCAGGGGGTTGAAATCGGGACCAACTGACTAGTGTGCTAGCGCCTTACTTAGTGGGCCACCGAAATCTTTTTTTTTTGGATTCAATACTATCATTTTAAACAGTTGGAGAACAAAGTGACACTTGAATATTTTTAGGATTTGATCTTGTAATGCGAAAGTTTTTAATGGAAATGAAATGGGGTTTAACGTCCTACTGTTCTGCTCCCACTGGGCTAATGAAGACGGGAATGAGCCATACAGTGTGCTATGAGGGACATTTTGCCCGGACAGCAGCACTGCGACCTTCTCTTATATCGAATTCCAACTGTCAAGGAATCTTTTACGTGCACGCCAATGTGTACACGAGACCTCGGTTTTTCGTTCCATCCGAACAACCAGACAGCTGTCCTTGTCAGGCCCCCCGTCCTGCATCACTGACAAGGGGGAACCCCGCCGGAAGTTTTAATGGATTCATCGGATGGTACTATTTTTTATTGTGAATTCCAAACACTATACATTATCCCGGTCGGTGCAGAAAAGTAGGATGTTAAACCACATTTCATTTCATTTCGATACATGGACTATACATTGATGATACATGACCATCAAAATGCCGAGAACCTCGGGAAGTAAACGAATACCAACCCTATTTGTGGAACATTAGAACCAGACCCGTAGCCAGCGGGGGGTAAGGGGGGGGGGAATTGCCGACCATAGCTCTAAAATACCTACTGTAGACTGTGCCCCCTTCACTGCCCCTGATTAGAACTATATCAATGTTATTACCTTTTCTCCTGTGGTTGTTGGTACATACGATATTATTGATGGTGGGGCAATTTTCACACTGTTTCCTTGTTCTGCGATTAAAACAAAAAATCGTTATTAAAATCAACTTTTACAGGAGAACATTTGAGCACATATGACATCATATTATGTGGATTTTGGGTTAGTGTTAGGGTTAGGACCTGCAGATTTCGTCAAAGTCTCGAGACTTAAACCTAACCATGGACAAACCCTAACATTTACCCTTAACCTAACGGACAATCCACATATGACGTCATATGTGCCAGACCGTCTCAGGTCTAGCGTTCTCCACTTTACAAAATATGAATTATCTGAGTTAACATCGTGATATACTAATTCGTGATATAATAGTTATTTTCAGTTACACAAGACCCAATCTGATTACAATACAGATCTTTATTTCGTTTCGTTTTTTTATACATTCGATAACCTCTACTACATGAAGATCTGACCAGTTGTATAGGGAAGTCGCGTCAATGGTCATACGAAAGTCTTTTGACGGTATGATGTCAGATATTTGATTAGCCAATCGGCGTTATGTTTCTAGTGGAATACCCACAGTTCCGTGCATGGCACGTCAAGAAATCGCTACAACAGACCGTTTCATTGGCTTATCCCTGACACCATTCAGAACACGAGTTAAATAACAACTCTTCCAGATCCTAGTGTAATAAAGACAAGTAAAACGAAATCTTGAACTATAAAAAACGAAACGAAATAATCAGATTGCACGAGACAGTATCGTAGTTCAAGACACGCCAGCTTTGGCTGTTGAGCGAACCGTCAACTGTATTTGAATTTATCTTTCTATACTGTAGAGCTCTCTGTGAATGCAATCTAATTAAAATGTAGATCTATATTTAGTTTCGTTTTTTTATACTTTCGATGGCTTCTACTGTAGTAAAGACATTGAAGTATAAAAAACGAAACGAAATAGGATCAGGATGCTGAAATGTTAGATTCACATCGCCATGTTGTCTTGTAAATTTGTAACCAACGGTAGAAAGAAAACTTTAAATAAAAAAGGATTTATTCTGTAGACCTACCTGAAGTTAACACGGACCATTCTTGCTCTTCCTAAAACACAAGAAAGAAAAACAAACTTATTATTATAACTGTTATTTTAAACATACATTCTTCAAGAGCCAAATTTGTCTATTGCAGGCCTTTCTTTAGGCCCGAAATGTTATATTAACTATTAATTAGACATTTATGAACATGACAAGACCATAATCAACTATCGATGCCATCAGATGGGTCCGATTTTCATTAAATTTAAATCCGATCTGCCGTTCAACACCCGTTGATGATTAACCGTAATATTGGATAATCGAGACTGTTGATTATCGTAACAATCGAGGCTACAGTTTTATTAAAATGAGTATTTCTCGGCTCAGAGGGTAGTAAGTAATTTGACTGAAATTTTCAATATATTCTCGTTACATTATCTATTTTTTATTAAAACTATTATAGCGAGAACTGTCAGCTCCTTATGTAGTCCTATTGTATTCATTTATTTCCCCTTCCAGCGAGATTGTGGGGTCACATGAACTAAAATTTTACATCTAGTGGGCCGGAGATATTACAATAATTCTAACAACAAAGCCAAACGTCCTTGAACTTTATTGAATTCTAAAAACAAGGCCAAGCGTGCTTTTCAATGAAATACGTCACGCGAGTCCAATATTTCATCTGGTATAGATAATGTACGATTGGAAAGTTGCCCGTATATTATTGGAAATAATGCTACGCCAACATCAAAGGATGACGTCACATCTGTATTTTAAATACAACTAAGATATCTATGACATACAGTACAGAAGTCAAGAGTTTTACTGAAGTCGGAAAAAGAGAGAGAGAGAGAAATGGGGTTTAACGTCCACTCGACACAAACTAGGTCATTTCGGGACTAACATATGGTTTAATTTTATTTCAATAATTCGCTTGCGCGTAGGGGTCTTTAGTAGTGGGAGGAAACCGGAGGACCCGGAGAAAACCCACGAGATTGGACAGGCGACCATACTTCTTTTCACGTACAACCGGGGATTGGAAAACACGCCAGTTGACTCAATGACAGGCCGTATGATACAGAACGCACATGCTAACAACCATTCGGCCATCCAACCCCCCTAAGTCGGAAAACAATAAAAAATTATTTCTACCGCTAGTTTTCTAAAAATTATCGACACGTCAGGTTTTTTTTTAATTTGTTCCACGGGAAACATTTAAACCCTTGGCACAGACCGTTCGGTCAGCACCCCCCCCCTCCACCCTTAATAAAATGAACATTTAAACAAAATAATAATAATAAAAAAGTTACACACCCTCTTTTTCTTCACTAGAAAATACCATCCTATGAACATGGCTAAACAAGAACAACACACCACTGCTAAAATACTCAGCACCAACGACGCTATCACCAAATTCTCCTGAACAATCATTTTAAAGAATTCGGAATGTCCAACACTCCAAAAAAAATATAATAATAATTCAGATCTGATCAGTTTCCAAGGTTAAAATCACGAATGAAAAACTTCTCTATCACTAATTCGTCTCGCTTTTATATTGTCCAGAAAATAGTACCACAGCCTTATTAACATTACACGCCAGGAAGTAGTACCCCACCCGTACTAGAACGGTCACATAAATTGCGCGTAAGAAAGTAGTACCGGTGTCCTTTTTCATAGAATTATTACTTAAATTGCACGCACTGTCATAAACGCGTCGTTACGCGTGACGAAGCCACCCACTTCCTGTTCGAAAGAAACAGTTATGACGTATTAGTAGACAAGTTAATTGTCTAGCACGTGTCCCAGTCGTCTTCGGTAAAGATTTGTTCCTGTTCTTAAAATAGGCTTGCCCGATTCAGCTATCCCGGAAAATCACGGGGATGGTGGTTATACTGTGAGCAATGTGGTATTGTTCATCGAGATGAATAAGAAAGTGATATTTCCAAAGTATTGTGAGTGTGGAAATGAAATGCAATAATATGGGGTTTAACGTCCTACTGTTCTGCTCCGAACTGGGTTAATGAAGACAGGCATGCGCCTCAGTGTGCTATGAGGTGAATTTTGCACGGACAGCGCCATTACGGCCTACTGTCATATCGAATTCCAACTCTCAAGGGATCTTTTACGTGCATGCCAATGTGTACACGGGACCTCGGTTTTTTGTACCATCTGAACGACTAGACAGCTGTACTTGTCAGACTCTCCGTCTTGCAACACTGAATCACTGACAAGGGGGAACCCACGCCGGAAAATCTGGATGAACTTTGTCTGCTAATGCAGGGATCGAACACTCGACTTCAAAGCTAGCGAGCCAGCGTCTTACCCACTTAGCCATCGTCGTGAACCCCGTGTATGTGTCCGGGGGGGGGGGGGGGGTCTAGCAGATAAGATAAAATAAGACAATAATTTGTTGTGATTAATGTATATTTAATTTGTATTTATAATTTATATGGGAATGCCAGTGGGGAAAATACCACCCACACTACTACTCTATCACATGTTTAGAATTAACCGCACACATTAAGTAATGTCTTGTTTTTGGCTTCAAATGCTATATAGATTATTATTTAGACATACATTAAAGATTAAAGATACATTATGGGAGATTACCAACTCTCTAGACTATTGGGTGGTCGCGATATTGAATGGATTAGAACGCATTCTCGCCATTTAATATTTTATTAACAAGTATAATGGAGAGAGAGAGAGAGAGAGAGAAATGGGGTTTAACGTCCACTCGACACAAACTAGGTCATTTCGGGACTAACATATGGTTTAATTTTATTTCAATAATTCGCTTGCGCGTAGGGGTGTTTAGCAGTGGGATGAAACCGGAGAACCCGGAGAAAACCCACGAGGTTGGACAGGCGACCATACTCCTTGTCACCTGTGTACTTGTGTACAGATTAGCGGGAGGGGGGGGGGGGGTCCTCCCAGTGCCGACGGGTGATATTGGGCTGTGTGGATTTGTAGCATATCTGACCCTCGGTATATGTTTGACACTGGTTAAGCATTATGATTATAATTATAATGTTGAAAACCGCATTGAAACCGCATGATTTGTTGACATTTGCGAGGGGGCACAAAAACCGAAGGGCCGTAAACACTCAAAACCATGATGCAAAGCGCGTTATTGCGTCCCTCTACCTTAGATCCTGTCTTAGGGCAAAATGTTTTCGTCATAGCATACTGTATGGCGCATGCCCATCTTCATTAGCCCATGTGGAGCAGGGCAGTAGGACGTAAAACCGCATTTTATTTTATTGTCGCCGATTACAGCGTCATTATTTAAACAGACATGCAAGAGCTAAGTCTGCCTATTGCATGTCTTTCTTTAAGTCTGAAATGTTATCTAAATTATTAATTAGACATTAATTAACTTATCCAGACCATAATCAACTCTCTAAGTCATAGCTAGCCTGCGATACTTACTGGATTGGAATCTGATCTGCTACTCAACGCTCATTGATAATCGAGACTATCGTACCGACTTTAGTAATGATGATCGAGGCCAGGCCAAAAATTCAATCGCTAAATTCTCGGTTCAGAGTGGATCAATTTGACGGAAACTTTCAGCATATTCCCTTTACATTATCTAGTTTTTAACTATTATAATGAGAACTGTCAGCTCTTTATCTAATCTCCCATAATGTATCTTTAAGCACACGATATAGTACGTACAGGTCATAGCATAGTTTCACCGCTCCACATAAATGCCGACTCGCAGTGACGAATTTAGACTAAGATAATACTCTAGGCTATCCCACTTTTCAGACCCGTCCCAATCCCCCACCCTCACGACTAGAGAAAGGTGAACGGTGTTTTAAACACAATTAAGCAAGGCCGAGAATGATGACGGATATTTAACAGCGTATCTAAGAAAGACTTATACCAAATCATACATCTTGGCTGTGGGGCAGTGGGGCTCCATAGTAATTCACCTCTTTCCCATGCCCCCCCTCCCCTCTCCCTGCAAATTTAGGCCTAACTGGTCATAGAATTAAAGAATTGAAGGGATTTGTACCCACGAAAGACTCGTAATTCTCTGTGAAACAGATTGAAGAGAAATATGATGTCAAGGCTATGATGTATACTTTAATATTCACCGTGACAACACGGATGTTTGATCACGTGTTTGTGTTACCCAAATCTTGTCTGCGTCCTAAATAAGATTGAGCTATATACACGGACAGGAAAATATAGACTTCAAATCGCACCTTGCCACGTGATGTCACAATACTACCATTGTGTAGCGTTAATCCGTTTATGCTCTGACCTCGTGGAATACCCCCGGATCTTAATGTGTTATTGTTCCCGCTTTAAGACATGCTGATTAAAACACATCCTATTTCATGTCGTTTTTTTTTTATAGTTCACAATTTCGTTTTACTTGCTTTCACTACACTAGGGTTAGTGCTAAATGATAAGGCCAGCTCAATGTTTCGTCATAGGTCACGAGATGTAAACAGGGCTAGTGCTAATCCCAACCCCAACCCTAACCCTGGACCTAGCCTCAATGCTTGCCCTAACCCTAACCTACAATCTTGCCAAAAATCACGTGCCCCAACCTTATTTACATCTCAATGACCGTGACAAAAATTGAACTAGCCTTAACAAATAGATTTAGCCCTTCAAGTTAGATCTATTTCTTAAGGCCACCTCTAGATTTGGTCAAAGGTCACGAGATGTAAACAGGGCTAGAGTTAACCTTGTTTACATCTCGGTGACGTTGACCAAATCTGCAGATGGCCTTAATATTTAGATCTAGCCCTACATTAGGCTTCAGGTTCGGTCTAAATATTAAGGCCACCTGCAGAATTCGTCAAGGTCTCGAGATGCGAACAATCACGTGTCATTACCCGGTTTACTTCTTGCAATAGGACTTAATATTTAGACACGGCTCTTTGTGGAGGCCATTGGAAGGGTAAAAACGAAATGAAATTTAGATCTGTATATTAATCAGATTGAAATTAAGAGAGAGAGAGAGAGAGAGAGAGAGAGAGAGAGAGAGAGAGCGAGAAATGGGGTTTAACGTCCACTCGACACAAACTAGGTCATTTCGGAACTAACACATGGTTCAATTTTATTTCAACAATGCGCTGGGAGGAAACCGGAGGACCCGGAGAAAACCCACGAGGTTGGACAGGCGACCCTACTCCTTGTCACGTACAACCGGGGATTCGAAACCACGCCAGTTGACTCAATGGCAGTCCTTATGATACAGCACGCACGTGCTTACCATTCGCCTATCCAACCCCCTCTGAAATTAAGAAACCCCAAATTATGCTAGTTACGAATTAAAGGACAATATTGGTGCCAGTCATTATCGCATATGTGATAGAGCTGGTTAAACACATCCCAAATATAATTTTAACATGTTCATTAGCCCAGTTGGAGCAGAGCAGTAGGACGTTAAACCCATTTCATTTTATTTCAAACACTAGTCAAGATCACCAAGGGCTCCACTCACCTACTTAAAGGTTTTTTTTCGAAGATAACATAAAAAGTTGCCAGTACAATAGTTAAAAACTAAATAATGTAAAGGGAATATGCTGAAAAAATTTAGTCAAACTGATCCACTCTGAACAGAGATATTAGCTTTTGAGAATTTTAGGCCTAGACACATTCATCATTACTAAAGTCGGTACGATAAAAAACATAGTCTCGATTATCCCTTTTTGGATTAAATCATCAATGAGCGTTGAGCAGCAAATCGGATTCAAATCCAGTAAATATCGCAGGCTAGCGATTACATCGAGAGTTGATTATGGTCTGGATAAGTTGATTAATGTCTAATTAATAATTTAGATAACATTTCAGGCCTAAAGAAAGACCTGCAATAGGCAGATTTAGCTCTTGCATAATGTATGTTTAACTGAGTGTTTTTGCTGCAATAAACCCGGGGATTCCCTTTAAAACTAGAGTTAAACATCGACTGAATATTTTTATTTCATTTGAAAACTAATGAAGACAATATTATTGACATAAGAATTAGAGATTTACCATTATTTTGATTGTCTCTTTTTAACGAGGGTTTATCAAAGCTTAGTATATTTTTACACATAGTATATATGTTGTTGACACAGAAAGTATTCACGCCTAGATTCTGTGACGTGTGGGAATGCTAGATGGGGAACCTGATTCAAATAATAAGTAACTAATTTAAAGGGCAACTCCGCTATTAAACAATATAGTTATCAATACACCTTCTGTGACCACTATGTTGTGAGCACCACGGTAGTCCAGGGTGCTGCCTCGCTAACCAGGAGGTCTTGAGTTCGATCCCGGTATCGGCATTGAGCAGTGTCTAGTCGTTTGGATTGAACGAAAAAACAAGGTACAATGTACACATTGGCGAACACATTAAAGAACCCTTGACAGTTGGAATTCGAAATAAGAGTTGGCCATTTCCACCAGTGCACGTTAAGGACCATTTCATTTCATTTCATTTTGCGCAATGCTGAAATTTTCTTGTTGCTAAAATGCTGCTGTCCGGGATGTGTGGGCGGAGCTTTACGCTGTAGACTACAAGTCTGTGCGAGTCGTGATTTCGACGTAAAATGGAGCTGGGTTTCTCCAGGTTCTCCGGATTCTTCCTGCTTCTAAAGAACCCTTCACACGAAGCTATATCGAAATAAAGTGACCTGATTAGACAAGTATCGAAATTGTCAGGCCTTGCCAATAGGCCATTACCCATTATTATATTACAGTTTGTCGATTGCTCGACAGTGTGCAAAACGGAGGACCTGACAAGGCAGATAGAATTCGATATAAGCGTAGGCCATAGTGACGCTGCCCGGGCAAAATTTTCCTCATAGCACACTGTTAGCGTATGCCCGTCTTCATTAGCCCAGTAGGAGCAGAACAGTAGGATGTTAAACCCCATTTCATATCATTACATTTCATCGGCAGTATTTAAACCAAGTTTTATTGGACGATACACAGTGACCATAGGGAGTCCTCCTTTGATATTTTACGTTGATAACTTTGAATGTGAAATAATCTAACACAGTTAAATAGGTGTTGTCAATAGGTGTCCTATCGTCCGTTTATCATTGAATAGGTTGAATTCCCCTTTAACTGTCCATCATCTGCAATGAGTGTTTATTCCCGACAGACTGTAGGTATTATTTCGGCTATACTTTTTGTGAACAGGATTTTCAATAACCCGGATTAAAACTTTTAAAAACATTTCTAAAAAATATGTTTCAACGACAAGATTATACAATTGTTGAGTTTGAATAATATACAAAGTTTACCTGTGATAGGAAACATCGCCTTGTGCCGCATATTTCACAGGACAGGTTACATACAAGATTGGGCCTACCATCACGGCAAGTATGGAATATTTAGCGGGAATGTTAATTGTCTTTCACGTCACGGTATTGTCCGGTCAGTCAATGGAGGTAAGTTCCAACTACGTTTATTTTTATGATCAATTTCCAGAGAGAGAGAGCGAGAGAGAGAGAGAGGGGGGGGGGTAACGTCGATTGAGCACGGAGGACAACGGAGTACCCACAGGACGGAAGGACATAGCCATTAAGCATTACGCGTGTTTTCCGTTCCGTCATTAATTACTAGGTCATGACAAGAAATCGCGCCAGAAAAAATCATAGGAACTTTCTTAGTCAATACCGCGATCGACCCTGAGACCTAGAGGTTAGCGGGCTAGCGCCCTGCGTACTGAATCACCGTGGTTCCAAGTGCTAATCTAACGGCAACATACCCCGAAACACCGCGGTCCCAAGTGCTAGTCTAACGGAAACATACTCTGAACCCCCGTGGTCCCAAGTGCTAATCTAATTCCTGTAAATTTGCCGTTTGTAGTCGAGTGATTAAGAAACTCGATTCTTGACTAGAAGGACCGGGGTTTGAATCTTGGAGTGAGTCCAGAAGAACTATAGAGACTAAAATTTTGTGAAACATAGTGTGTCCAGTCCTTTGGATCGCACAAAAAACACTGGCGTACTCAGAAATGAACCCCTGGGCCCTGTTTCTCGAAATCTTAACTAAAGATAAAATCCAAATTTTAGTAGATACTTCAATTTTGACTCGCTAAGCACTTAAATCAATTTAATATTATCCAATCAAGTTACTAAAATTTGGATTTTATCTTATGTCTGAGTCTTGGTAAATTTTAAACGGATTTCTTCGATTATGAACAAACTACTTAACTTTGGTTATTATAAACTTACCTGTGTGTTTGTAATCAACTCCCGTTCGATAAAATCCATTGCACAACTAATTATCACAACGATGAAAACAAGTTCTCTCTTGAAAAATTGAAATATCACAAACTTTTCCCAAAGAAAAATACCAATATGGAAGATGGTTACGTCGCTCTGCGGAAGATATCATTTCGTATTAGGGGTGACAGCATAGGAAATTCAAGTACAATTACGACAAGAATCCATGACCACTCGGACCAAAGACCACTCGGTTCAAGACCAGTCGGACCAACTGATAGACCACTCAGCCCAAACAAATAGACTACTCGGACCATACAAAAAGACTATTCGGACCCAACAGAAAGACGACTCGGACCAATAATAAAGTGTTGTTTTAATAAATTGATAATTGCGTTTGTTTTAATATGATTACTCGAACCAATAATAAAGTGTTATTTTAATAAATTGATAATTGTGTATATTTTAATATGACTACTCGAACCAATAATAAAGTGTTATTTGAATAAATTGATAATTGTGTGTGTTTTAATATGACTCCTCGAACTAATAATAATGTGTTGTTTGAATAAATTGATAATTGTATCCCAAATCGCAAAATATCGAGAACCACACTTGTAGTCACGTTTAAAAAGGGGCATATAAACGTCCGGCTTTCGTATTATTATGTGCTGTTTATATTAACGCATTAAGGGCGGATAACTTGAAAACGTGTCTCACCCCCCCCCCCCATATATAGTAACCCAGGGGTTAGTGGGGTAGAACGGAATGAAACCACTGGGGATACCACGAATGTGGAAAAGTAAAATTAGGCTATCAGACAAGAACAGTATACCCGTATATGCGACTCGGATGGGATAATTTACTTTTGAACACGCATGCCGCACAAACACAACTATACATTCGTTTTACGGGCTTTATCACACTTCGGTCAAAACTGTCGAATCGAGAATTAATGTTCCGCTTCTTACGGGGTCATACGGGCTTAGTAGCATTATATACCCACCCGGGCACCCAATAGACACGCTGAGGGCTGCCGCAACATGCTTAAAGATGTTACTGAAGCGGTTATTATTCGATCGAAAGAATGCGTATAAAATTAAAAATACACTCAGAGAATTCGGAGGTAAGCTTCATGATCCTTGTTAAATTATTTATAACATAAAGAAGATAGGATATTTATAGTTTATACATGACTTTATTTTTACGAGTATCCGTGCAATCAGTGATATTTTAATTGTGAAGAAAATTTGATAGACTGGCGATCAATGGTTTCCATATAAATCTCCTATGTAATTGCCTTCAATTGATATTTTTCGTCACCCAAACCCATATACGATCAAAATGATCGCGCTGTCAAACTATCTTTCAATGTTAACCAACCCCCGCAACAGGTATATTGGATTCGACCAATACGTCACGAAGACATTGTTGACATCGACTCTGTCGAAATTACAAGTAAATTTTCAAATTTTTCAAGAGAGAACTTGTTCTCATCGTTGTGATAATTAGTTGTGCAATGGATTTTATCGAACGGGAGTTCATTACAAACACACAGGTAAGTTTATAATAACCAAAGTTAACTAGTTTGTTCATAATCGAAGAAATCCGTTTAAAATTTACGATGGTTCACACAGTAGTTAAAATTTCGTGAAACAGGCCCCTGGTCTAGAGTGTCGTGCTTCGAGCTATCGCTGGCCGGTCACCTCTGGCTAGCGTTCTTGGTTCCAATCCCTGTTGTGATGGTATGTGGCTTGGAGATAGAGACGCCTTCCCAACCACGTGGGTTTACTCAGGGTACTCCGGGTTCCTCCCACAGGAAAGACTGCGCGTGCGCTGAGCATAGTAAAATAAAACCACTCGTTTGCAATATCATCCTCGGTGGAAAAGAAGACCAGGCAAAAAAAGACGCTGTCCGGTCAAAATTCTCCGACCTCTAATTTCACACACAATCATAGAAATAAAAACTATCTTCTTTGTCTTACAATTACCAAAATTTTGTGTTGATGAAATATTTAAAACTTCGTTCAATTAATTGCTGGATAAAAACATTTAACACTATTCAATTAATTGCTGGATAAAAACAATTAAAACCCCATTCAATTAATTGCTGCCGGATAAAAACATTTAAAAGACCATTTTATTGATTGCTGGAAAAAAACCCGAAACGAATTGGAGCGAATAAACGACTGATTATGTGGTATTGTGTATTTATGTAAGTTGTATTATATCCGACTATGCGGATGTAAAGGATAGTTGTATTATTAGGTCGTGCCTGGTGACGAGATATGAAAGAGGCCGTTTTAAATAACATGTATTCACGAGAGAGAGACAGAGAGAGAGAGAGAGAGAGAGAGAGAGAGAAAGAGAGAGAGAGAGAGAGAGTGTGAATAGTGTAGTTATATCAAGTCAAGAACGTTGTTTTTGTGTAATTGTAATAAGTCAAGTATAACTGGGTACTAAATGATATTGATAATTATATTCTCAAACTGTGTACGATATACTGTCAATCCTAAATCATACAGTGTACTATGAGAGAGAGAGAGAGAGAGAGAGAGAGAGAGAGAGAGAGAGGTTTAACGTCCCACTCGATACAAACTAGGTCATTTCGGGACTAACGTATGGTTTAATTTTATTTCAATAATTCGCTTACGCGTAGGGGTCTTTAGCAGTGGGAGGAAACCGGAGGACCAAGAGATAACCCACGAGGTTGGACAGGTGACCCAACTCCTTGTCACGTACAATCGGGGAATTGAAACCACGCCAGTTTACTCAATGACAGACCTTATGATGCACACGCTACCATTTGGCCATCCAACCCCTCAAGTATTGACGAGCGCAGGAAAAAGTTAAATGTTATACACACACAGTAAAAAACCCTATAACATGGTGGTGGTTCGCCCCCCCCCCCCACCGTCCCCCACCCCCTCCACCTTCTCAGACTCCGGGGCCAGATATGGTCGGAAATGGCATCTACAGCTTTCAATTTTTTTTCAAATTTTCTGAGTGTAACACTTGAATATGGAGATGTGTAATTTCTACAGTTTTAGGATTTAATAGCATTTCCAGTAATATCTATCATTGCTTGTATTTAAGGTTGATATGAAGAATGACGTGGCTCTATATAATGGAACTATTGTCTTAGCATCTCTGGTAATATCTATTATTGCTTGTGTTGGTGTTCTGTCGCTTATAACATTCCTCTTCTGTTACATGCGCAATAAAAGGGTAAGTATACGTGTTTAAAACGTCGGTTTAAATTAGGAACTCCACTGTAAACTTCCGAATAACCACTCGGCAAACCTCAGCAGATTCCAGTACCCTACATCTAGCTGTAGAGTAACGGAATCTGCCGAGGTTTGTAGACTTTCGAATAACAACACGTTTTGGTTATGTTATAATTTCGCACACTTTGGTATAGAGAACAAAAAAAATAAAAATAAGGAAAACAGATATTTTGATAAAGATTGCAAGAACGAAAGAAGAACTATATAGGCCTAACTCGGAAGAAATCTAAAATACAAAACACAATCGTGTCTTTACTCTTCCTGTGGGGTATGGCGAGATGTCTTTATGAGGTTAGATCTATTTTATAAGGCCAACTTCAAGTTTGGTCAAAGGTCACGAGATGTAAACAAGGCTAGCACTAATCCCAACCTTAACCTTGGACTTAGTCCTAACGCTTACCATAACCCAAACCTAAACCTAAAATCTCGACAGCAATCACGTGTCCTAACCTTATTTACATCTCAGCGACCTGGACGAAATCTTGAGTTGGCCTTAAGAATTAGATGTAGCCTATACTACGATGCTATATTATACCTACAGAAAGATATAATTTTTATACGCTGGATAATATTTACGCCCATTGCATTTGGGGCTAGGATTAGCTTATTATACAGTTAAAAAATCAAACAGAGGATTACAGAGATAGCAGGCCTGGCCAGAAAAAGTCACCGATTAGTTCGGATTGGACGCAAAATTGATGCCGAACCTTGTGCTTGTTGGTGTGCACGTAAAAGAACCCTTCAATTCGATGAAGAGTAGGCGGAACCACAGGTCTCGGGCAGACATATTCTGACAGCATACACTGCATGGCACTTGTCTGTCTTTCATGGCCCGATTGGGTGCATAAACGTAGGGCATGACAACAACTTATTTCGTTTCATATCATGTAAGAATTAATTTAAAATTTTATTGCAGAAGCGTCCTATAAAAAAACTCTCTTCCAAGCTGAATTATCTAGCATCGTTAAAGGAACAGCACTCAAATAATTTTACAGAACTGCTGGATCAAGATACCCAACTGTCAATGGTTCCGGTAAGTAACTTTCATTGGTGTTTTGATTCTAAGAGAAGAGGGAGAGAGAGAGAAATGGGGTTTAACGTCCACTCGACACAAACTAGGACATTTCGGGACTAACATATGGTTCAATTTTATTTCAATAATCCTCTAGCGCGTATGAGGTCTTTAGCAGTAGAAGGAAACCCGGAGAAATCCCACGAGGTTAAACAGGCGACCCTTGTCACGTACAACCGGGGAATCGTAACCACGCCAGATGATTCAATGATAGACCTAATGATACAACGCGCACGCGTTAATCATTTGCCCCCCCCCCCCCCCAAGATCTAAAAACACGTCGCAAAGGAACCAAATATTCGACACAAACCAGGTCACTTCGGAACTAACATACTGTACAGTTTTATTCCAATAATTCGTTTGCGCGTAGGGACCCTGAGAAAACCCACGATGTGAGGTAGGCGATCCTACTCCTTGTCTTCACGTACTAGTATGGGATCGAAACCACGTCACTTGACCCAATGACAGGATTTAAAGCGCACGTGTTAAACCATTCGACCACCCATCAACCCCGTACTTTCTATAAGAAACGCCCGAACAGATGAAAACAGTTATATTTTCACCGTTTGTATTTAGTCAACCCTAATACGACGGGGTGGGTGTGGTGGTTTAAAATTAAAATCCTGGTATAAGTAGTAGTATAATACTCGCGCACGAGTCAACATATAACGTTTTGAATGGGACTTTGCGAACCAGACTACCCAGTTCCTCCATACGATTCTGATGCCAATATGAAACAATCCATTTATGTGTATTCCCTTTAAAATACCTGACAATGGCCAGTATCTATCTAGTCGTTCGGAGGTGACGAAAGCCCGAGGTTTCGCGTAGACGTTGGCGTACACGTAAAAGAGCCCTTGACAGCTGGATTTCAGTTGTTATCCGGGCAAAATTGTCGTTCCCATAGCACACTCCGGTCAGGTCTAAATAATATAGCCACCTGTAGATTTCGTCAAGGTCACGAGATTATGGCTTAGGGTTAGGGCAAAGTCTAGGGTTAGGGTTAGCGAAATCTGCAGGTGGCCTTAATATTTAGACCTAACTGTTAAACTCCATTTCATTCCATTTTCTCTGAAATATTTATTTTATTTTCCAGCTTGAACCAGTCAACATTTGTGTTGGTGTTGGAACATTACGTCAGGTGTCTTTAACTTTACTGCAGGACTCCATTATTAACCTGTACAACATCCGGGTCAAACTAGATAGCCGAAACGAGACGTTTCGTTCAGATGACGAACTCGCCATGACAACAGCTTCTGACAACGAGGCCGTCCAACGTCAATTACGAAAACGACTACAGTTCATCTTCAAAGACGATTCGACCAACATTGAAACCTTCTCATCAATCGGTGATGACATTCTTACAGGAAGCACCGTTCGTCAGCTACTGGATGCCACATTCCGTATCTGTCGTGTTGGACGAGGAATTATCCGGGAATGGAAGGTGGAGAATGAGATATTCGTTGGAACGATGCCCGTGGAAGCTACTGGATACATCAACTTCACAGTCGAGGATAACGTTAATAAAATAAAACTAACTTGGGATGACCACAAGTTCTCTGAAGATTTCCTCAACACCATCAGTATGATGCTTCAGGCGCTCCGGGATGAACGACGACAACCAACTCCTGTTGAATATCTGGCGATACATCTGGCATATCATTGTATGGCAAGCGGTAAACAGGTTACCCTAGAAGGACATCGCTCATTAGGATCTCCCGGGTTCCGCCCCCATACGCAGACTTATATGTCTTTAACTGATCCCGGAGATGGACATGTTCTGGGAACCACTCGGTTTAATGAGTGGATGTTAGGAGCTATCGTTCATGTTGAACATCTAGAACGACCTGGTAATCTTTCTCGGGAACACATCGAATCTTACCGGGTTCCATCGCTTTATGATTTCTCTCGAGTCAGACTCCATGTAGGATCGGCTGCACCAAATACATATTTTGTCGGAAGAAGGATGAAAGATTCGGGAAGCTTTGACGAAGATTTCTTAAAATTGGTTCATATGACATCAGCTACGGCTTCAGCTGCCTTTTATCAAGGTGCTGCTGAATGTAAGGTAGCAATGGAAGGACTGACCACATCACAAGCTGTTCGCTACATGAGGGCGTTGCGTGCGCAAGTTCATCGGGACCGTTTTTCACAGTTCTTGTCTGCCGCGTGGAACATCAATCAAGTAGTCGTGGACGATTTTGAGGACGAAAATCCAACACAACTCACCGATAAAATGGACATAGCAATTCGAGCTATTGAAATTACCTGCTTGGGCGGATTTGAAAAAATCACGTGGGATGGCGCCAGTGACACCTATCCATCGAAATGCATCATGGACCAGTTGACCTTTCAGGAAGCTTTGTTCCTCGTTCACGAAGCTCACTCAAATGGTTTACTCACCTATTTCTCGGCCGGCTTCAAATTACCACAAATCAAGCAAGCCGTCCTGACGGGTGTTGATGGGATAGGGATAGGTGGCGCCCAAGTTCTAAGATTTATGGATTATCAGACCGGCATGCACGGTCCGTACATGGAAGAAAATATTCCTGGGATTCTTGAAGAAAGGGACATGGCTTCCCAGACGATTCGTGGTCGGGGTGTTTATCTGTTGTCTCGCCTGAACACCATGTATTTCGAAGGGTCCATCTCCAGCACGGAGAACGGTATGAGGTGCAAGCTATTTAACGCCTTGCTTCAGCAGGATGAGGTGAGCATTGACTGTGTTCTTGGTAAACTAGGCAGCATCATGAGTATACCGTGCGAGTACAGCTTCCCGTTGTTCGGCTCGGCTAAGCGGATAGCGTTAAGTAAGAATCCGTTATTGAAAGAAGTGGCCGAGTCGTCCTACGAATGGGCGTTGTTTGTGTCTAGATTAAAGGTGTTGATCAGTAAGTGTGAGGAGAATGGTATACAAGAGGAGTATAATGGTGAACCATGGCGAACATTCAGGAAGAAATATCGCGATAACGTCAATGGTGATATACGCTTTAAAAGACAAACTTCGCAGACCGTTCAATATAAAACTCAACTGTAACTAATTGTGATGTATATATTTTATAAACGGATAGGTCGATTCACGCAATACTACCCAATACTAACCCTACACAATACTATCCCGATATTAACCTAATACTCCTCCCCCCCCCCACCATCCTTACCCAATGATTATCAACATTACCCAATATTCACCTAATACCCCCAATACTTCCCTAATACCACCCAATACTAACCTAATACCACCAAATACTAACCTAATACTCATCCAATACTAACCTTATACTCATCCAATACTACCCAATAACCCTATACTCACCCAATACTAACCCTATGCTGACCCAATACTTACCTAATACTCACCCAATATTAACCTAATACTCATCCAATACTACCCAAGATCCCTATACTCACCCAATACTAACCTAATACTCACCCAATACTAACCCTATACACACCCTATGCAACCCAATACTCGCGCAATACTACCCAATAAAAACAAATTATGTATATATCTTAAAGATACATTCCCGGGTACAAACTGGGTGATGTGATGATATATTTGGACTAAAAACATATTCAAACAAATTAATTTATCATAATTTTGCAATTTTGCTTCAAATCCTTCTCAAAACATTGCAATTGTCAGGGAATACCCTGCTATAAAAACTCGATCAAAAGAGGTCACCTCGGTGGAAGCGGACGTAAAATACAACTAAGTAAGTAAGTAAGTAAGTAAGTAAGGTCATTTTTGTGTCGCGTGACACAACGGGTGCGATGTCGGAGGAGAATTCATTGCATACAAAAGACGATGTTGCCTTTATGGCTGACAATTTTTTACAAATATCTAAGCCTAATTAAATTCTCGGATTATCCACTGCCCGCGTCTTTTTCCGTGATTTTTATCTCAGAAAGTGTTGTACGTCTAACTCTTCATAAAGTTTATCAACATGTACATGAAGCGCATAATCTCCGCGTGCAACCTTCGACGTCAGACGTGTAGACACTCCTAATCGTCGGGCTGTCCTGTATGCGCTCCATCATAGGCGTAGAAGCTCAAAGTAATTCAGGGGGGCATAAGAGAAAATTGCCCAAAATCAATACCGTTTTTTCGGGCATACATATCATAAGAGAGCTTCGGGCATATTTTCCGGCATGCAGTAGACAAGGAAAAGACGAGAAAATACTTTTCGGGCAGTGTGGATCTCATAGAAATAAGTTAGTTATATTTTTCTCTAAACGTTAATAGAAAAAAAAGGTCGGCTCCTACGTCTATGCGCTCCATGAGTGTTTTTCAGAAATCCAGTATTTTTCTAGTAAGATTGGATATTTCTACTTTCATATATACCAAAAGTGTCATACTTTTATTGGAAATAACCACCCGATAAATACTTTTCTGGGAACGTAGCTTTAAGAAACAGAGAGTGAGAAATGATGTTTAACGTACTCTCGACACAAACTATGTCATTTTGGGACTAACATATGGTTCAATTTTATTTCAATAATAGGCTTGCGCGTAGGGGTCTTTAGCAGTGGGAGGAAACTGGGGGACCCGGAGAAAACCCACGAGGTTGGACAGGCGACCATATTCCTTGTCACGTACAACCGGGGAAACGAAACCACGCCAGTTGACTCAATGACAGACGTTATGATACAATGCGCACGCACTAACCCCCCCCCCCCCCCGTCTCCCTCAACTAATAGCAATAAAAAACAAATTATGTACATATTTTAAGAAACAGTAAAATATTTTTTTATGTATATATTTTTAAAAAAAAACTCTATATATTTTTGTGTATATTTTAAACAGCTGTAAATTTGTCGTACACGCCGTATATTCTAAATATAGCCATTCTCATCACTATGGTTAGATCCGTGTCGCTTTTACGAGAATGGATTCATGAATCATACCTGAATCGGGATAGTCGTAATTAGAATGTGCGAATCTCCAAGAATTCGGAATAACCGATATTTGAATTTTTCTCGTTATATAAATAACCACGAATCGCAATTACGATCATGTGATGTGTAATAATTTTAATGTTGAAGGAGACATGTTTAAATGAAATGAAATGGGGTTTAACGTCCTACTGTTTTGCTCCGAACTTGGCTAATGAAGACGGGCATACACCATACAGTGTGCTATGAGGGAAATTTTGCCCGGACAGCGGCACTACGGCCTACTCTTATATCGAATTCCATCTGTCAAAGGATCTTTTACGTGCACGCCAATGTGTACACGGGACCTCGGTTTTTCCCCCCACCCGAACGACTAGACATCTGCCCTTGTCAGGCCCTCCATCCTGCATCCTTGACAAGGGGGAATCACGCTGGAAAATCTGGATGAACTTTCTCGGCCAATGCAGGGATCGAACACCCGACCTCCAGGCTAGCGAGTCAGCGTCTTATTAAAAGAGAGAGAGAGAAATGGGGTTTAACGTCCACTCGACACAAACAAACTAGGTCATTTCGGGACTAACATATGGTTTTTAATTTTATTAACATAATTCGCTTGCGCGTAGGGGTCTTTAGCAGTGGGAGGAAACCGGAGGCCCCGGAGAAAACCCACGAGGTTGGAGTCTTATTAAAACATTTATACATAATTACAATCTGATTAAAATACAGATCTATATTTCGTTTCGTTTTTTTTTATACTTTCGAGGTCATAATTCATAGGTTTGACCCTATGACATAATTCCGTTTCTTTCTACAAGAAACGGCTAAATAAAGTTGCTTTATTGTACACTATGGAGAATTTAAGTTTTCGTGGTCGCTTTATTAATCTTATGCGGGTAAGGGGCGAGGGTGTAGTCAAGCTCATCAGGGCACATGATTTTCGACTCCTGTTCCTGGACTTGCCTTAGGACACAAGTTTCTCGACTCGCGTTAGGACAGATTTCTCGACCTATCGTAGGACACAGGTTTGTCTACTCGCCGTAGGACACAGGTTTCTCGACTCGGGGTAGAACACAGGTTTATCGATTTGCCGTGGGACATGGGTTTTTCGACTCGCCGTAGGACAGAGGTTTGCCGACTCGCCGTAGCACAGAGGTTTGTCGATTCGTCGTAGGACAGATTTCTCGACTCTCTGTAGGACACAGGTTTCTCGACTCGCCGTAGGACACAGGTTTGTCGACTCACCGTAGGACACAGGTTTGTCGACTCACCGTAGGACAAGTAGAACCTTCAGGAATTTAGGAATCCCGGTCCTTACTATGGGGGGCGCTGATGTGGCAAGTTTCTGGTGGTTGGAATAGAAAAAATGAAACGTACCGACTGAGCTAATGATGATGGGCATGGCGTATGCAGTGTACAATGATGGACATTTTGCTCGGACAGTGGTGCTACGGCCTACTCTTTTATCGAATTCCAGTCGGTTATTTACGTGTGCAGTGCCCCATGAGGGACATTTTACACCAACGGGCCGTCGTTTTTTGTATCATTCGAACGACTATACGTACATCGTCCTTTGTCAGGCCATTCGCACTACACCACTGACAAGGGGGAACAACGCCGGAAAAACACGATGAACTTTCTCGGTCAAGACAGGGATCGAACACAATCTCCAATAAGCATGCCAACGGCTTGCTCACTGAGCCACCGTTGTTTCTCCCATGAATAAGGGATCCCAGATATTACTATGGAAGGTGACGATATGGAAAGTGTTCCTGATCGTTCAAATAGAACAAATAAACAAATTCTAGCCCGGTGCACATCATTCGTCGTGCAAATTAAGACACACTTCAAGACGAGAAACCCCGCTGTACTCGAACCGCCCCCACCCCCACCTTTTCATTCCATTCCTTGTCAAAGGGCCAATCTCGATTATATTTAGAAGAATAAAACGGTTTAATTTTGTGTGGAAAGCCCTTAAAAACCTATACCCTAGGACTGAGCAACTAAATCAATATACGTGATACGTTTTCAAACAACTTAAACCCGTCAGTATTCATCTGGAAATGGAGACCGGTGTACTAAGCTGTAGTATACAGTGTCTGGATAAAACAGACTTTTATTTCATAAAATAATGTGTAGGTGAAATTTACCGTTCGTTTTCAAGAAAAGAACATGCATCACGCACTGTTTTGACCTCTAAAGGAGCGGTAATGGATTATCAGTTCACCCAACGTGTCCGGATAAGCGGGTTTGACGTTCACGTCCAAGCGACTCAATATTTTGAGCTGAATTTTAATCAGATAATGGATTTCCTGGTTAGCTAGTCAGTGCTACTGCTATACTTACTAAACACTATTGGACTACACCGGTTGATACTTTCCCGGTGAGGGAGTGCGTTTCCTATAGTCTCGATCTTGTTGGTTTTATAGACTTGGTTATCACACAGTATTTATTAAGGTCAGATTTGTATATTTTAACCGTTTAATCATATTTAATAAACAACACGTGATATATATAACAATATGATAAGATACGTCATTATAACAAATTATACACTAGAAACAGTAGAAATTTAATGCTGTTATACAATTAGTATAACCTGGACAATCTGGTATACAACACGTAGGCTAGATTATCCTGGCTATAATAAAGTAAGGCCATAGACGAAATAATTTATACAGAAAACATGAAGAAAAGAAATAAATAATATTGTACATTTCATTCATTGTTTGGACTTAATGCTGTTGATTTCTTTAAAAATCGGGACTAAAAAGAAAGGCGTTATCACAGTTAACAAGCACATAATACAAAAGGCGCGCGACAAAATAGTTCTAAATGATAAGGCCAGCTCAATTTTTCGTCACAGGTCACGAGATGTAAACAGGACTAGCACTAATCCGAACCCTAACCCTAGACCTAGCCCCAATGCTTACCCTAACCCCAACCCACAATCTCGCTAACAATCAGGCACCCTAATCTTATTTACATCTCGGCGACATTGAGAAAAATTGAGCGGGCCTTAGGGGGACAATAACACTCTTGCTGGCTTGACAGCTCCAGAAATTAAATAATAGCCTTATTCTAAGTATTAGATGTTTATGTGTCCTACATGTACCTGTTGTGTAAATTATCCATTACATCCTGTTTTACTTGTTCAGAGGGTTCAAAAATATTTTTAAATCCAAGTCACATTTGAAAAGGTTTACGTTAGGCTTTTCAAATCATTTAGTTGAATTTTCAAATCATTTAGTTGAATTTTTCCAATTTTTTAAATTAGGTGTGTTAAGATGAAATGTGTATCATCAATTAATTGGAATATTGTAAAATAGTACAATTTGTTGACTAGAATAAAGATTGGAACATATTATTCGGTTACAACAAGAGTGGTATTGAGCCTTTAACAAACAGATTTAGCCGCGAGCGCCATGTACACAAGACACGTGGAAATATTCCACATACAATATTATAATACATACCACACACGCCCTTTACATTAATACGTGGGAATATATACATTATTTCATTATATACTATATATATTTCATTGTCGGGGAATTAATGCTGTTTTATTTCCTGTTTATAAACAGCAGAATGGTTGTTTCTATTATTAATTGCCAGGGAATGACCTGTTTTATGAATTGCATTTCCGTAGATAAGGCGCACAGGCTTCGCGGCTGTTTTTCTAAGAACATGTTCGACTATGTTTAAACTTAATGCTGTCAATTTCTTAAAAACGTTACTAAAATAAAAGCTTTTATCATAGTTATTAACAACAAAGATACGTGGGAATATATTATAGATCATTTCACATGGCATATACGTCATAATAGTGTACGCAGGATATATCATTGTCGGGGAATTAATGCTTTTTAATGCTTTTTAATGAGCTGTTTATCCAATGTATTTTAAAGAAATTCTGAAATAATAGTCAAACTTATAGAAATATTTCAATTATAGAATCTTTGGCTGGCTAAAAATTACCTCTTCATAATTAAACAATAGAATTATACAAAGTTGCTCGTCTGACTAAATTAGGCACATTTTGGAATGGAAACATTGACAATAGAATTTCACTTTTACTACTTTGTAATGTGGCCGTAACAATTTTGAAACTTTGGAAGCAATTAACCCAGTCGGAGCAGAACAGTAGGACGTTGAACCCCACTTCGTATCATTTTTTTTCGGAAACATGTATTAAAATTATTTTAGTTTATATTTCAGCGAGATAAAAAAAAAACTAATTTAAAAAAATCAAAGCTTTTTGTTAAAAATTATTAAGTTTTGAAATTTTAAACAAAATATGGTTCACCAAATAAAGTGGTTATTACTGTTATCTTTTATCAAGGTCACAAAAAATTAAAATTAAATTGCTTTGGCCTTACACAACCTCTAAGTTTCTTTGATCTGCAGGGATAAAAACAGAGCTTATAGTAAAATAGTACATGTAAGATATTAGTAAGCCACCTGACATGTTGCCCTTTAAAGATACAATATGGGAGATTAGATAAAGAGCTGACAGTTCTTGCTATGATAGTTAAAAATGGATAACATAAAGAGAATATGCTGAAAATTTCAGTCAAATTGCTCTACGCTGATTGAATTCTAGGCCTAGCCTCTATCATCATTACTTAAGTTGGTACGATAAAAAAAAGAGTCTTGATTATCCATTTTGACATTAAATCATCCATCACAAAATGTATTCAAATCCAGTAAATATTGCAGACAAGCAATGACATCGAGGATTGATTATGGTCTTGTCATGTTAATTAATGTCTAATTAATAGTTCATATAACATTTCAGGCCTAAAGATAGACCTGTAATAGGCAGATTTAGTTCTTGCATAATGTATGTTTAAACTATTCTAATAAAACAGGAATAATAGACAGTATAACAGATTCAGATATATATAGAACAAAATATACTAAATTTTACAGATTGTTGATTTTAAAATGGGACAATATTTTACTATTCAATACTGATCACTAATACTGAACATCTGATCACAGAAAATTACAATATACAATTACTTAAAGATCGTTGTTAATTAAATACATGGATGTGTAAATACTAATAGTATATCACAATTAAATCAAATACATTTATAATCAAAATATCTTATAAAATAAGTTATTAAGAGATGCGACAGTAGGACATTCAGACAGTAATATTTTATGTAATAAATGGATTATTCAGATTGTGATATTTTAGAGAGAAATCATTAAATAACAGATGGGCAAATAGGTTATTAAGATTGTAATATTTTATGTAATAAGTTATTATTAGATGGAACAATACGATATTGAGATAGTAATATTTCATACAACAAGTTATTAACAGATGGGAACAGGTTGTTCAGATTGTAATATTTTATACAATAAGTCATTTACAGATGGGAGAATACCTGTAGGTTGTTTAAATTGTAATATTTAATACAATAAGTTATTAATTTACAAGATGGGACTTTCAGTTATTCAAATTCAAATATCATATTTAACTGTTTTATAACAGAAAAAAGCTATTAATAGATGGAATTGTAGCCCTGAGTTCGAATTCCTAAAACCAGTATACAACCCTATCCAACTTACATGTTCAGAACTGTAAGCTTTGTTCAAAAAGGTTGTGTTCTTTAATTTTGAAAACCAGGCCCCCCGAGTTCACAAAGCATTCTCAGGCTTAAGAATTTACTCAACTTCAATCACTGCTTTATAAGAAATATCTTTGATCCAGAAACACAAAACTTTGCACATAGTTTCTTATTGATGTATTTGATACATTAAAACAACAAAAGTTTTATAATGGGTTATGTCTTAGTTAAAATAAGGCGAACAATTTTGGGTAAATTCTTAACTTAAGTCTGAGAATGCTTTGTGAACTCAGGGGCCAATCTCCAGATCAGTTTCTGTAACGATTACATCAGTACTTGAGATAATGCACATGACAAGAGCCATACTTATTGAATAAGAGATTCAGGATACTCACTCAGGTTGTAATAGTCAAATAAACTCAAGTACACGGAATGTAAACAGATAGCAATACATATTTAACATATTATATTCTACACTTTGTAACTGAGGGACTATATTTAGTTTAATGTTGTAGCATGCAGTACAATGTAGTAAAGGATGTAATTTAAAAAAAAGAGAGAGAGAGAGAGAGAGAGAGAGAGAGAGAGAGAGATTACCCACTCTACACAAACTAGGTCATTTCGGGACTAACATATGGTTCAATTTTATTTCAATAATTTGCTTGCACGTAGGCATCTTTAGCAGTGGGAGGAAACCGGAGGACCCACAAAAAACCCACACGTTTGGACAAGCCGCCCTACTCCTTTTCAGGTACATCTGGGGCATCAAAACCATGTCAATTGACTCAATGGCAGACCTAATGATACAATGCGCATGCACTAACCATCCATGTAATCAAAAGTCAAACAAAGATTATGGGACTGCATAATTATGTATCACAAAATATTAAACCTTTGGTCTTTATATAAGAAGGGAAATAACTCTTAAAAATTCACAGAGATCATTCACAGGCCTCAGTAATAAAATAATTTTGGCAGGATAATAAATAGATTAGAAATCATTAATAATAAGTACACTTAAAAAAACATTAATTTTAAATTAAAGAAGTTCAGTTTCGATAAATATCCTCAAAATAATTAAAACATTACCAATTATCAACACACCACCATTAAATTCTAATTTTCCACAACGCTTGAACGGTTTGCACAAAAAATAATTGTTCACAATTTACAACTTTCATCTTATATTTTAATGTTTTCTTTCACCTAGATCGACATGTAGTGAAAATTGGAAAAATTACTTTTTCGCATTCTATAGTTTACGAAAAAGTCTGAAAATTGTTTTTGATAGTTTGCAAAAAAAAAAAAGGTTCACAATTTACAACTTCCATCTCATATTTTGATGTTTTCTTTTGACATGCAGTGAAAATTGGAAAATAGCTTTTTCACTTTCTGTAGTTTACGAAAAAAAGTCTGAAAATTGTTTTGATAGTTCTTTTTGAATGAATCACAAAATGGTTCATATTTCAATGGGTTTAGGAATCGGTTTACGAATATGTCTCATTGATGAACCTGGTTCAACAGGTTTAAAAGGAGCATGAGAACCGTAAGGTCGGGGTATGGGAAGATCGGCATCATCATCGGGGATGTAAGCGTTGGGTCGGGGATCAGCCGTCGTGTACAGACCTCCTGCGATTTTATATTGTTCCCCTTCTTCTTCCATCATCAATCGTTCTTCTTTGTCCAACGATCTTCGCTCCTGGTCTCGTAAAAATCTCACCCATTCGTTTTCGATCTCATCAGACGGTGGTTCTCCTTTCTCCATTCTAATATAACATTGTTCTAATTCGACTTCATTCTCTTTCAAATGTTGCTGGAGTCTCATCGAGTTGGCTTGATTCATCGACAGCTCGGAAACCAGCGCCATCATTTTTCTAGTCGTGTCTTTGATGCGACTTTGGACCAAGTTCACATTTTTCGCCAAAGATAATGTGTCTTCTTTTCCACTCTCCGCTTTTCCTTTAATTCTATTGACTATTCTGTTAGTTTGATCATAAATCAACGCCTTTTCTAACAACTGCTCCTCGGCTTCCGCCAGTCGTAATTCTAGTTCTTCAATCTTGGCTTGCATCTCTGGAGGGGAAGGATCGTTCCCGTCAATATATCGAACCCGTTTATCATTGTTGGGATTCTCCAGATTCTTCTCCAGGGACAGCAGATGATCTTGAACCTTCTGTAATTCGATCTGCAGATTAACGAGCTCTTGACCCAAAGTTCGTTTTTCTGGCACCGTCTTGGACATCAACCCAACACCACGTTTCTCTTCCGTTATTTTCATTTTCAAGAAACGGATCTCTTCTTCTCGAGCTTTCAACTCCACTTCACCATTCCTGATCATCTGATCCTGTATGTTCACCTTTTCGTAAAAGATGCAGACTTCTTCGTCGCGTTCGATTAACTTCAACCCTCGTTCGTTACGATTTTGCACGGCCACTTCGTAACGTTTTCGTAACCTGACCATCTGTTCCTCGGCCTGATTAATCATCAAGTTCAGTTTCATAATGTCCATTTTCTGTTGATCTTTTGTGTCGCGCATATCCTCGTGAATGCGCTGCTGCTTAGCGAACTCATTCCTCTGACTGTCTCTCTCAACTATGCTGGCCATGTGCTTTAATTTACTCTTCTGTAACATACGATCCTTCTCCATCACGCTCGTCCGCAAAATTTCAATTTCATTTTGTAGAATTTTTATCTTTTCTTTCATTTCTGCTGCCTTCTGGGTACTGGTCTGAATAAGATTAACGCATTTATTTCTCTCGTTTTTAATCACATCGTAAGATTTGGCAAAGTCTTTCAGCTTTTGTTGCATTTCCTGGTATTTTTTCTGATGGTCCTGAATCTGTAATTGTTTTGTTTTTAAATCTTCAAAGGCCCGATGATATCGCGTTTCTGCTCTCATGAAATCTCGTGCCTTCTGTTCTCTTTCGTCTGCTTTGATGGCAGCTAGACGGGTCAACTCCACCACTTCGATCCTCAAGTCACTCTGTTCGTACAAGAGATTTTGTTCTTCCTGGGCACTGGCTTCCAGCTTCACATGTTCAACAGCTGTCAGTGATTTCTCTTGGGCAAGGGCACGCTTGTTTTGTTCGACTTCCTTCTGTAACTCTTTCTTCTTCTTTAAGTTCGTCCCGTCATCTTTAGGCATGGTGTCTGCTTGTGATTTCAATTTATCGTAAATCATTTTGGTGTGATTTAATGTCTCCTCGGAAACCTTCAGTTGATTTTCGGCTTTCTTTAAATTTTTCAAATCTCTATCCTTTTCCCGTAATCTTCTGGCGTGAATATCGTGTTGGTTTTTCTTCTCCAACTGAATATGCCGAAGGTTCATTTCAACGGATGCCTTATCCCCCATTAAAACAGCCTCCCTCTCCTTCGACAAACTACATTCTCTATTGCTCGAGTCCAGTTCTTGTTCTTTGTTGTGAAATAAGGCCTGATTACGATCAAGTTCCTTGTCAATCTCCAGTTTTTCATTTGTCAACTCTTTCCTTTTATTTTCTAGCATTTCTTTCGCCTCCTTCAGGTTGTTGAATTCTTCCTCATATTCGGCCCCTTTTTTCCCAACCTCATTTTTCTGACGAGTCAATTTATCGGATTCTTTCATGATAGAACCAGGGATAGTTTGAATCTGAACGAGTTCACCCTTTAATTTCTCCATCTCATCATTCAGTTTTTCATATTCTTTCTTTTCCGTGACCATTTGACGATTCGCTGTATCCAAATCTTCGCGTAAGTTTTTGGATTCATTTTGGCGCTGGGCGATTTCCTTTCTCATGTCATCGCAAGCGGTTTGCAGTTCTTTGATTTTTTTCTCAACTTCTCCTTGTTTTGGCAGACGGCTATATTCCCTTTCCACAAGTTTCTTTTCTTCTTGTAGACATTCTATTTTATATTCCATTTGATATTGTCTTTCTTCCGTTTGGGCCAACTCGTTTGTGTATTTTAAATACTGTTCGCGTAATTTTGTAACTTCGGTGTTCTCACTTTCGGGAAAGTTGTCTCCCTTTTCTAATTCTATTCGATTCTGTTCCAGGACTGAGTTATATTCTTTGGCATCTTGTAATAAGTTGGATTCGTTGGTTCTGGCTACTTTTAACAAATCGTGAAGTTCTGTGTATTTAGATTTCAACCATGCTACTTTAGTACCAGTCAGCTTTCCCTGTTGGAATAATTCATCGAGGCGCTGAAACGCAGGACTAGCTGAAACCTCGACTTGATTTTCTTCAGCCCTAACTACCAGTGGTGCAACAGCGGAAATAGGAGCTTCATATTCCTCTGGGTTGATAGCCAACTCGTCCATCTCTCCTTCGTCACCGCTCGACATCTTGGTATTTTAAGTGGTGTCGTCGGTGGCTGATTGTATCTGGAAGTAGACAAATATTTTACAAAAATGAAAAGAAATTGAAATGGGTTTCCTCCACCAAAGAAATGAAATGGGGTTTAATGTTTTACTGTTCTGCTCCGACAGAGCTAATAAAGACGGACATATTATGTGACCCGCTCCCACAACTTCATTTTGTAATACGGGCACAAAAACATAAACTGTTGCTTTCTTGTTGCCGTGAATGAACCAAACTCTATTCCAGATGATACGACAAATTCAGAAAAAATTGTATTTTGGGAAATTGAAATTGAAATGGGTTTCCTCCACCAAAGAAATGAAATGGGGTTTAATGTCTGACTGTTCTGCTCCGACAGAGCTATTAAAAACGGACATATTATGTGACCCGCTCCCACAACTTCATTTTGTAATACAGGCACAAAAACATAAACTGTTGCTTTCTTGTTGCCGTGAATGAACCAAACTCTATTCCAGATGATACGACAAATTCAGAAAAAATTGTATTTTGGGAAAGCTCAGGTTGTGGATTAATCAATATGCTGCCAGCTCTATTTTTATAAAAATGACCAAGTGCCTGGTTTTGTGGGAGCGGGTCACATATGCCATACAGTGTGCTGTGAGGGAAATTTTGTCTGGGCAGTGGCACTATGACCTACTCTTATATATCAAATTCCAACTGCCAAGGGATCTGTTACGTGCATGCCAATGCATACGGGTCCTTGGTTTTCTGTCCCATCCTAACGACTAGCCAGCTGTCTTTGTCAGGCCAGCTTTGTCCTACACAATAATACTGACAAAATAGTCAAATAAAATTGAAATATACAGTTACAGTTTAGACTTAATTAGTTTTTTATTGTCTGATCTTTCCGAGTCCTGTCGCTCCCCGCCTTGCCATAAACACAATCTCAAATTACAATGTCAATCACTCAATACTGAATACGGTAAACAATTTATCTAAGTTCCCCTGGCAGTGGCACTGCCTGGTCTGGTGTGTTTCAACTCAGACAACTGATTCAATCAATGTGATTGGGAGTGTGAGTTACTTTTATTATTGACAATCATAACATTCTGGTTACCGAACGCCAGTCCTTTTCTTTTAAAAATCCAAATAGACTAATGATGGTAATAAAATACGGAATAATCAATTTCTTAGATAATAAAATAAATGTTAAACAAACCTGTTTAGAATAAGTAAATAAATAAATTTTAACGAAAAGGTGTTTCCACCATGTTTATGGTTACTACCAAACTTTTACTGCTGCCCTCTAACGGAGATGAGATAACTCTGAGCATAGTCCCGATTAACCCGCTTGCTAATAGATAGTGCGATCAGCCACCCGCTCGTTGTGAAAGGAATTTTATAGAGCGTGTCGGCTATAAATAACCGATGCACTGAAGCAACTATTGAAGGTTGACGATTATGAATTAGAAATTTGAAAACTTTACAAGGTATACGAGGAGCTTTGTACACCAAATGGGTAAGGCGAAATTCACTTTATAAATCACACCTGTTTAAACTTCAATGTAACAAGGCCCATTATTAAATTATTAATATTTCCTGGTTATTATGGTTACAGAGAAAGTACTTCGGGTTTGTTGTTATTTATTATTTATAGATATGTGCGTGGATCAATGTCTGCTCCACATATTCAAAAGGGTATCCATAATTCTAGAGACAGAGTGTAAAGTTGAAAAGTACAGATCGACTAGGTTATATTAAAGATAGCTACAGTATATTATAGCTTGCAATAATTAGGCCTACCAATGTTTTGATTACCGACGATAGATGATGTATATATAATATATCAGTTAAATCTATATTATGAATTTTATCGATAGAGTGTTCCAGTGAGCATGGCGCGCTGGCTCTACACTGACTAGTTAGAACGTTACTCCGGATTTCCAGTCAGGTTTCCAATAGTGCGGGATGGAAGGTCTGGTAAGAGAAATGCGCGTAGTCGTTCGGGTCGTGCGTAAAATCGACGTGCACGTAAAAGAACACTTCACAGTTGCGAGAAGAGAGAATGTTGCTGTCCGGGCAAATTTTCACTCTTGTATGTTCGTCTTCAATAGCCCGGATGGCGTCTGTGGTGAAGACAGTGAAAATGTTCATGGACGGACAACCAATTAAGGTGCACCTTTGTACATTCTGGCGTGCACGTAAAAGACCCCCTGGCAGTTAGAATTTGAAGAAGAGTAGTCGAAAAGGCTGCTGTCTGGGCAAAATTCTACCACGTAAGCACGTGGACACGTAACCAATGAAACGAAAATGACCACTTGTTAGTCTGAGAATAACCAACGTATTGTGTTGACGACATAACAATATTATTATCCAGTCTCCAAACTGCCTGTCAAACCTTAGGGGCTTTCTCTTGGTCCCCTGGTTTCCGCACAGCTAAAGATCCTTACACTCAACCGAATTATTGAAATAAAATTGAACCGTATGTTAGTCCCGAAATTTTGAAATTTGTGCCAAATGAACGTTAAACCCCATTTCTCTCTCTCTCCTCTAAACTAGTCAATTATACAATCTTTATAAATTCCGCTTGATATCCCATGTTCAGCATGTGCAAGGGATAGGTCCTGTAATTTGGTTAGATCTATTTGATAAGGTCAACTTCAAGTTTGGTCAAAGGTCACGAGAAGTAAACAGGGCTAGCGCTAATCCCAACCCTAACTCTAACCTTGGACCTAGCGCTAATGCTTACCCTAACCCTAACCTACAATCTCGCCAACTATCACGTGCTTTAACCTTATTTACATGTCAGCGACCTTGACGAAAATTGAGTTTTCCATAACAAATAGATTTCGCCCAGTAATATTACTAGTCACGTAACATCATTGGTACGGATTATAAAATGCACATACCTTGAATACCTAGGAAATACTAACCCTAAATATAAAATCATGTCAAAGTTCATGAAGGGGGCAGACGCGTAAATATGGGAGTGGAGGGAGGGGGAGACAGGGGAAAAAAATAGTCGGTCTCAAAATAAGTGCAGTCACTACAGTCGGTCTCAAAAGTATGCATCGGCGACTAAATGAATAAATGAGGTAAACAAACAATGCTAAAATAATTTATGTATATTTACCACAACAATATATAGAAATGAATTGAAAATGAAATGAAATTGGGTTTAACGTCCTACTGTTTTGCTCCGATACTGGGCTAATGAAGACGGGCATACGCCATACAGTGTGCTATGAGGGAAATTTTGCCCGGGCAGCGGCACTATCGCCTACTCTTATATCGAATTCCAACTGCCAAGGGATCTTTACGTGCATTCTAATGTATACACGGGACCTCGGTTTTTCGTCTCATCCGAAAGACTAGACAGCTGTCCTTGTCAGGCCCTCCGTTCTGCCTGACAAGGGGAAACCACGTCGGAAAATCTGGATGAACTTTCTCGGCCAATGCAGGGATCGAACACCCGACCTCCAGGCTAGCGAGCCAGCATCTTACCCACCTAGCCGCCGTGGCTCCAACAATATATAGAAGATATAGATCCATGTAAATGATGTAATTATTATCACTTTCAGAAGTCACAGATTCACAGTACTTTTTACGTTCTTGCAAAATTCTTAATAACATGAATTCCCACTGAATCCCCCCCCCCCCCCCCCAAGCCAGGAAATGACATTTCAGGGACTCTTAATTAAAATATTTCTCAGGGGAGCATGCCCTTGAACACCCATAGAAAGCTCGCACCTGCGGTGTTCGGCTCGTGACTGGGTCACTGGTATTCGATTTAGAGCGGGGGCTAAGTGAAAGGGGTGCAATATCATGCGAATTCATATAGAACTATTAAAAATAAAAAAATCCTTAAGAGCTAATTGCATTCTGTTGTAGATTGCACGATAGAATTCTCATAATTATTACATAAAATGAAATGTGGTAAAACGTCCTATTTATCAACATCTCTCGGGCTCATGAATACGAACTTATCAATAAAGCTTTGCAGTATATTGGTCGTCCTTACTTTAACACTAGATGTTTCTATCCGTGATGCTCTGTTTAAACTGATGAACAGACAGGTGTTGGAGTTTGAAACTAGATAATTTTATCACAATCCCTGCATTCACCGGTCAAATACACATATTTATTACCTCAGTGTACCTTTATATCAAATTTAAAAGCGCAAATTTGAGTTTAAAGCCGAGAATCAGATTGAGCGCGTGGAATATCTTTTTCAACCATCCGTTAAATTATGGACTATGGAATGAAATGGAGTTTAACGTCCTGCGTTTCTTCACCAACTGGGCTAATGAAGACGGGAATACGCCATACATTGTGCAACACTGATCAGCAGTGAATTTTCGCTAGGCCGCAACTTAATGAGCCAGAAATATTAACTTTTTTCCTAAGACAAATTAAATTCTAAAACATTTTTTTTATGTATTGGAAAAATAAATAAGGGCGTTTGACGTATTTGTAGGTAAAAATTATTTCCTATTTAGTGTAAATGGGTATTAAAATGACTAAAAGGCAGCATTCCGCCCGAAGCAGTAACGTCTTATGTAAACAATGCACGCGCCATTCAGCCAATGATTGACGCCGCGTGCTGTGACGGCACGTGTTAAGGCCGTCATCTTTGACACAGATATTACTAGACTCGTAATTCTCTGTGAAACAGATTGACATTGTGCTTTGAGTGAAATTTTGCCCCGACAGTGGCGTATCCACTTTCTCTTCATCGAATCAAGGGATCTTTAACGTGCACGCCAACGTGTACACTTGTTGTCCGGGTCCCAACCGAAAGACCAGACCGGAAAATTCCGAGACATCTTTTAGACGAACACTGGGATCGAATCTAAGACGTGTAAGGTTAGGACACGTGATGGTTGGCGAGATTGTAGGTTAGGGCTAGGGAAAGTATTGAGTCTAGGTCTAGGCCCTGTTTACATCTCGTGACCTTTGACCAAACTTGAAGTTGACCTTATCAAATAGACCTAAAGGGGCCCATACACGTTCAATAATTCCGTCAATATTATTGACTCAATATATTGACTCAATAATATTGAACGTGTGTGGGCTATATTGATGTAAAATATTGTCAATAACCATCATTGCGCCAATATATTGACGGATCAAAACCATTTTGATGTTTATTGATGGTTAATTAAAGGAGCTAAATCGCTAACATTTGGGACCTAGAAATTAAAACAAGTGGGTCGCAACTCATATAATACTGTAACATGAATATATATAAACTGATTTACATTCAATCGTTTCCGATTTTACTCTAATTTCAAATCAGTTATGTTCCGTGAAATAAGCCAGCAGTCTCAATCGAATGCAAATTCCCAGCGTCTGGTTATTACAGTCTACATACGCCGTTTGGTTTGGTGCAATATGTCTAGCCTCGTTCCTCGAGTCTCTTGCTAGAACTGGGGCTGAAACGCATTATGGTACACGATTCGTGTACCAATGGTAAAATATTTATTTTGTCTTAAATATTGGATATCAGAAGCCCATCTTTTTCCGGTAAGATTACAGCATCAATGTTGTTTTAAATTGACAAATAATTCGTGTTTTCAATGTTGAAGATTTTGGATGATATTGAGTTAGAGACTTAGCTACTTTAATATATTGACGGACGGTCAATTTATTGAATGACAATATTGATCGTGTGTGGAGAGTCTGTCAATAATTGCGTCAATATTTTCATTCCATCGTCAACCTTGGAAGAGTAAACATAGCATCCATTTTGAAAAATGACCAAAAAATGATGAAATTATTGATGGAAATATTGAATCGTGTGTGGGCAATTCCCGTCAATATTATTGAGTCAATATATTGGGTCAATAATACTGACGGAATTATTGAACGTGTATATGGGCCCCTTAACCCTCAGCTATTGGTAGGGTGGCCCATGCACCTACAGAAATACAGTCAACCGCTGATAGTTCGAGACTACCGCTGAAGCGTGCACATTCGCCGTGGCGAGGCCAACTTTCTGACAGTATGATACTATAAATAGCCATGGCACGTGCAATTCTCTACAAATCTATCAACTATTACAGCCGTAAAAAATTTATTGTTGACGATTTTGAATAGCAGTAAAATTAAGCTTCTTGGTTATTACAGCAGATTTAGAAATTACGTTCGTTTCATTTTTTAAATCGCTTAATCATTAACTGTACCGTTCAGAGCGGCATCTTTTGGTTTAGTACAAATAATATCTCTGAAGCACTCCGGTTAGACAGGAACATGATACTAGCAGTAGTTTCATTTTACTTTTACAAGCTTCTTAAAACAATTGTTGAGCTAGCTAACGTGCTCATTTCTAAATTCAATTTCTTGTTCTAGCTTTCTGTTATGTTTCGTAAAAAAGTAGTCTTGATTATCCCGACCTGTCAATCAGCCCTTGAATGGTCGATAGACTGGTTAAGCGAGACTAATTTCAAAACAAGGGCACGTAACCTATCTTTTACTCAAGAGTGTCTGGATGTTATGGACGACACATGGAACCAGTTT